AATGAGCTGAAAATCCAAAGTTCACCGGTTCACTTGAAAGACCCCTTAAAAAGTTGAAATTTTATGAACAGAAGGCGGAGACGACACTGTCTGGGTAAAATTGTTTTCATAACACACAGCCTGTTATACTAGTTTTCATTAGCCTGATTCGTGTAGAAATAAAAGTTAAGCCTGATTTCATTTTATTCTGGACAATCAATATCGAAAATTATCTATACAATATACAACAACCTATTATATGGTGTGTTTAGGTTTGTTTTGTATAAATAGGAGTATTATCTATAGGAACGTAATCCTAATGATAATGGATGATATATATAGCAATCTGGTAATGAGTTACAAGATAAGATGTTGTTAATGGTCCTACAAACATGTAAATCATGATTCACTGCCTGATTTTCATATCAGTTATATTCATTTATGTATCAAGTCATACATATTCATGTAACACCTTTAAATAGGACAAAATTAAAATGGGGCCCTCCTATAAAATTGTCCTCATGATTCACCCTTACAAAGCAGCAACTGTGATTGAGGAACTATTTATTGTACTATAATTGCTGAGATACATATGACATAACTTGATCTCTTCACAGGTTAAAAAATTATTTAGCAATGCTTTGGGAGATGGTGGATTGAGGTAGAATACACAAATAATGTACATTTTATTAATTCTTCATGTGTGATTTATTGAAATAAAATTTGATACATATGTTAGTCCCAAAATGACCTAGTTTGTGTCAAATGGAGGTTAATCTCTCTCTCTCTCTCTCTCTCTGTGTACAGAATCTTATCTATCCAAGGGATTTGCTGAAACTTTATGAAATCTAAATTGAAAATCCTAGATACAACTTTTTGATCAGTCTGGACTTAAACTATATATAACCAAATCATGTTTGAATCATGATTATTTTTTTAAAAAGAGAGTTGTAACTGCTACAGGCTACATATTTGATATAAATTTAATGATTATTTCTGCTCTCATTTGGTGGTATTTTAAATTAGGCCTGTCTATACACGTTACATTTTAGACTTCTATCTGACAACCACCCAATATTTTGTAGTATATGCACCACGGATATGCCAGTGATATTAACATGTGTACTCGTCAGTTTTGACCCAAGTATGACCTCTGCACACATGTACATAATAAAAGTTTTGGCAAAAATGGTATAAATAGCCTATAAATTGATATTAAGATTAAAGCCATGAGGGGCCATATTCTGGTAAAGTGCTGGGCCCTGTTTCACGAAATTTTAACTAAAGATAAAATCTTTTAGTAGATACTTCAATTTTGATTGGCTAAGCACTAAAATCAATCTAATATTATCCAATCAAATTACTAAAATCTGGATTTTATCTTAGTTAAAATTTCGTGAAACAGGCCCCTGTCCTTCACAACTCCTTCTAGTTGTACATATCCTATAATTAACAATTTTTGACAAATTGAAGGGGTTTAAAGGAATAGGCTTTGTCCTTCAGATATATAGTCACATACATGTCTCATGAAATATAGGCTTGCGACTATTATGTATATAATTATACATATCAAATAGGGTGCCCCACCATCAATAAATATCTCCAAATATCTCCAAATATTTCAACAATTATACCACAATAAGTATATATATAACAAGTCTTAACTTACACCTCACATTTATAGTCCCTAACTAAACGGTTGTGTTGTATTTAACAAGTTATAACCATTTCAAATAATTAAAAAAATTAGACTGAAAAAGTTGTCAAGCTGCCGTCATTGAATCCAGTCATTATTTAGTGCAAAATAAATTATCTGCCTTAATATGAAATTAGTCGCTCTTAACCAATCTACTACCGTTCTCCGACCGATTGACAGGCCAGGATAATCAAGACTATTTTCTACGAAATATTACAGAAAGCTAGATCAATAAATCTAATTTAGAAATATGCATGTTAGGCAACTCAGCGATTGTTTTGAAAACCGTGTAAAAACAAAAGGAAGGTACTACTAGTATGCTATTCTTGCCGAACGAAGGAGCTTCAGATATATTAATTTTACTAAAAGCTGGTGTAACAACAAATCAGAATTATTATTGTTATTCAGAATCGATAACAATAGATTTTTTATGGTTTTAATAGGCGATGGATGTGTTGAAAATTTCACGTGTGATAGCTATTTATAGCATCATTGACTATACTGACTATAAATACCGCCCAGTATTCTCGCACTGCATGACTCGCCAGAAATCAGTTCGGGACTAGTCACTGAAGCGTGTACTTTCACTGTGGCATGTACAACTTTTAATTTTGGCTGTGTGGGGCACCCTACATTAAAGTAAATAATCTGTACACATGACATTTAAATGGTATCAATCTTTTTTTGTTGGTAGGCCTAACCAAAATAAAAGATGTTCTCCTTTTAAATTTATAACAGGTCCCTCTCAATCAAAAGGATAATAAAAGTGTTTCGTCAATATTTTAAAACATTGTATGTAATGATTTTAAATATACTGAATCAATTTGTACAAAAAAACATGGTTAAAAGTGTATATGTTACAGTCAACCTGTGTAATCGGTCATTTCACGTAATGACTAAATAAATCAGTCATTTCGCGAAGAGCCTGTGAGCACCAAGCAATACGTGTAATGACTGAAAAATCCAGACATTACACGAAATGACTAAAATTCCTACCTTCTTTTTACACTTAATGCCTGATTGCAGATTTTGCAAATCAGGCAATATATGTAGGCCTAACACATAAAAGGACAATGTTGTCATTGTCTGATGGACACATCTGTTCATTTTAAAGGTTATAGAGGTCACAATTATTATCCGATTAAAAAAACCGTTTGGATATATCACCGTTACACTGTAATTTTGCCTGAGTTTGAATTTCATGAAAATTGGACCAAAACTGCCCGACAAAATGGCCGCCCCTCGATTTTAGCTTGTATATCCTCTAGAGGTCAGAATTTTGTGAAAATCGGGCCAAAACTGCGCGAGAGAGAGAGAGAGAGAGATAGAGATGGGGTTTAACGTCCACTCAACACAAACTAGGTCATTTCGGGACTAACATATGGTTCAATTTTATTTTAATAATTCGCTTGCGCGAAGGGGTCTTTAGCAGTGGGAGGAAACCGAAGGACCTGAAGTAAACCCACGATGAAACATGTAATACATGTTTATAACCCAAAGATATTGGTTACTTTTGATATTCGCGCATATCGGATCGTAACTTCCTGAATTATGGCCCTTGATTGAACCAAAAATCACGTTTTTAGCTTGTGGCCCCTGTAGAGGTCACAATTTTTATCCGATTTAAAAAAAAAACGTGTGAATATATCACCATTACACACTAAGATCTTGATTCCTTTTAAAAATCACGGATACCGAACTTCACTTTCTGGATTATGGCCCCTGATTATTCGAAAAAAATCGCATTTTTTCCGATTTTAAAAACCATTTAAATACATCACCATCCAACAATAAAGAAGGCTAAATTCGAATTTCGGGAAAAGTGAAATGAAACTGCCCGACAAAATGTCCGCTCTTTGTACGCAAATTGTGTAGAAGTGTGTAATACATATTAAAACATATCTTTATATCCCAAAGATCTCGGTCCCTTTCGATATTTGCACATTTCAGGCCATAACTTTCTGGATTATTGCCTCCGATTGTACAAAAAATTGCGTTTTTCGTCCCATCAGAACGACTAGACAGCTTTCCTTGTCAGCCTCTCCGTCCTGCATCACTGACAAGGGAGAACCACGCCGGAAAATCTGGATGAACTTTCTCGGCCAATCAAATTCAATGTACATGTATAACAACTTCATAGAAGTTAGTATTTACAAGAAACTGAAGACAGTGAGACAACTAACTCAGTAACTGTGCAGTCTGTTCACAAAACTTGATTAAAGACAAACAGACAACTATAGAATTTACTACAGAAAACACTATAGCTTAAAACTGTAGGAAAAATTATGAGATTTGCACTACAGAATATTTCTGGTCATTATTTCCTTCAGACCCCCAAAATTAAGTAGAACACTATAGAATTTCATCCTATAGTAATTGGAATAGCTCCCCCAATGCCCAACACTCTAGAATAGAAACTTACACTGGTTATCAATGATGCAGGTTTCAAGGGACGAATAGATGCAAATGTTTCAAAAACAATATCAAAATCAAAATGCTTCAACCGCTGTCATAGCAGTATGTTATGCAAAAACATGCGACTTTAGAGATGAACCAGTCAGAATTTTTGAAATAAAATGAGATTTGACAACTATATGCATATTTTTCTGCAATGTATGATTTAACGTTTGATTTGATGTCCAAAAATGGTTTACAGTGTATTTTTATAGGTTTAACAGCCGACCATGATTTTTAGTCATTTCGTGTATTGACTGGAATTTTTAGTCATTGCACGTATTGCCTGATGCTCACAGGCATTTCACGTAATGACTGATTCGTTTAGTCATTACATGAAATGACTGGTTACACAAATTGACTGTAACATATATACCGGTACACTTTATAGACTGTCACTGTCAATGGTTTGTCAACAACATTTGATTATACTGCCAATTAATTTAAATATTGACATTCCATTTAGTACTAGTAAACATTAGCATGTTTAACTTTCTCTGTTCATGAGAACCTGGTAATGAGTCTTATTAAAACAAAATATAGTCCCAATGTTTGATAATCCCATAGTCTTATTAAAATCCAAGAAATAGTTTACTTCTCACACAGTTTGGCTTTGAACCTGCTTTTATAAACAATCCATTTTTGGCCTTCAGGCAGTGGTCCAAATGACCTATGCCATCACTTCTGTCCGTAGTCCTTCTTCCGTTAATCTGTTTGTCCGATTAGTCATTTATGACTTCAGCTACAAAGAAATTATTCATATGTTGATAACCTGACCTTACCCACTGATGGGTGATTAAACCCACCGCTGCTCTTGTTTGTAGATTGATAATTTAATTAGCTTGATTAATATATTTTCTTTTTTTTTCAGATTTAACATTATTAATTCAAGGAAATTTTGATAGTTCCCAAATAACTGAAGATTGGAGAGAAGTAAGTAGAATTTACACATTAGTCAAAAGGTGAAGTGTGTTTTAACTTTCTAAATCCAAAAATTATTTTTTTTTATGAAAATCTGAACAAGGACTAGAAAATAAGCATAGCTAATATAAACTCATCAACTAGATCATATTTTTGAAGCAATGGTTACAAGCATTGTCATCTCATTAGCCATTGCTATACTGTGGTAAAGTGGTATTTATGATTAGTTATCTTCGCTTTGGTTGTGTTCCTGCATCTAGTTTGAAGGAATGAAATGTGGTTTAACATCCTACTTTTCTGCACCTACTGGGCAAATGAACATGGCCATACACCATATTGTGTGCTATGAGGGAAATTTTGTCTGGACATCAATGGCATTCCAGCTGTCATGGGTTTTTATATGCACATAACAATGTGTATACAGCACCTTAGTTCTTAGTGCATCTATAGACTTTCTCAAGAAACTTCAGCCCTTGTCCACTGCGTATGCCTTAAAATTTCAACAATGTCTCTATCCCACTGCATCTCAGATTCAAATGACCAATACATTCCCAAAAACCAAACAACTTCGGTGCTTGTTTAAATAATTTAGAAGAGTTAATCAAAAACAAAACAGAATGTATCAATTCAGTTTTAAGTACCGGTATGTTGATTTGGTGAACCAGTAAAAACAATTGCCCATTATTGCTATCAAATGTGGCTTTGGCTAATAATGCTTGTTACCACTGCTTTAAGAATATGCTGTATATAGATATCAAGTAGCTTGTTTGATATATTGTTTTAGATTTAAAATATTGATGATATTGATGAATCAGAGGGTGTTATTTGATACGATAATGTTTAATTATTAATATAGATAGGTGTAAGGTACATGATCATAATCTTACAATCAATAACTCAATTCTTGCTTCTAATTAAAGTAACTTAGCCTACAATATCCTACATATACTTGTATGAATTGTACCTGTATTGCTAATGCTTTAGGCCACATCAATTAAAATTTTTGTTCTTCAAGAACAACTATTTAAAAAATTATGGCCTCATTTCTTTGGGAAGAAAAATGATTTAAAAACAAAAGTTACTTGGTTATTCTTCTCAATTTTTTTATTTTTATCAAGACCATGAAGAATTTTTATCAAGACCATGAAGAACTAACAATAAAATTACTTTGGCCTTAATAGTTGATTAAATAATATCTTCAATTTGCTGTCACTGATACTTCAAATAAAATATAGTTGAACTAGTGGATAAATTATATTGATGGATCACTTTTTATACACCCACATTGAAATGTGCTTGTATATTGTCATCATCCCTGTCTCCCAACCTTGTTGTCATTTGTGGTCCACAAATGAGGCCTAAAAACCATTACAAATTAATGATGTATCTCAATTGTTGTAAACATATCTGAGAGTAGATGACGTCCAAGTTCCTATTGACTTATTATATTATTTTGTAATTTTAGGTAGCCGATTATGGCATGGGATTTTCAGTATGTCTGGTATTCGGACTCTTGTTTGCCATTTTTATGCCATTTGTTGGGTGCATCTTTTGTTGTTGTCGTTTGGCCGGAAAATGTGGTGGAAAGAGAAAAAGTAAAGATCCTAAACGTGCAAAATGCAAGAAAATTTCCTATTGTACAGTTCTCCTCATTATAAACATTTTCAGTTTGTAAGTACATTCATTGTAATATTGATACTGTGTGATTTGATGATATATTTGGACAAGAAACACACTCAAATCCCTCTCAAAGTATTTTAATCTGAAAAAAACTACCCCATACTGTGAGAATCAGTCATGTTTATCACGTGATTTGATTTAAACCCGAACTTCACCTGCAGCCACATTAGCCAGAATTGCCTGTCCTGAATTGGGCTTGTCAGTGTGTGCCTGCAGCCAACGTGTACCACTCCCTTGATCATTCTTCGTTCCTAAGCAAGGCCATGATGATTTGATGTTAATAGCTATTTGTTTACCATAAATATCAAAGTCTAAATAAATGCCTAGATGATACTCTGACATTTTTTTCTCAACTGTTTAATCACAGAGTATATACTGGACATTTGAATTGCTGAGTGTTCTCAATACCGTTAGCCATTAGATCAACACATAAGAAGCGCTCCTTACGTCACTCAAGGGTGTTTTTCAGGGAATCCAGTATTTTTCTAGTAAGGTTGGGTGTCTCTACTTCAGATATATACCAAAATTGCCATACTTTTAATAGAAATAATTACCAGATATGGGGAAATCAGCAGAATCAAACCTGGCACCTGATTTTAGTGAGCCAGTGCCTGTACCACCCTAGTTATATGACAAATTCTTCTATATTTATTTCAGAGCTGGAATAGTCTGTGCCTTTGTTACAAGTGATTTAATACACCAGAAACTGGAAAATGAGAATAATGAAGGACCACTTGGTACAATCGATAGTGCCCTAACAAAAATAAGAACATATGTAAATGACACAGTTAATGTAAGTATCACCAATTCTATTCTTAATCTTATGAACTATAGTAGTTAACGCCATTTGTAGTACAACCTCACACCTTTACGGATTGGCAAGTTATCCAGTTGATTAATATGAGAAATGCCTATTTGTAAAATAAAGTTACTTGTCCCCAAAAACTGGAAAACATAACCATTTTCTCTAAACCAATCCTTGGATGGATAATTAATGCCACTTGTTAGATTTGTGTCGATCGATATTGAAATATCTCAGTGTTTGTTAAAATCAACTTTAATCATTATTATCAATGATATTTGCTATCACTATGATCAGACCAGCTGACACTCATTTAAATATGCATAGTGTCTGGGATATGTTATAATATATCAGACATATCACGATGAAATTTAAATTGGTTGGTTTTTTTTTTATCTTTTTCAGGATTTACAACAACAAGCATTAGATAAATTTGATAGCGCAAGAAATGATATAATTACATCAATTAACAGTAAGTTTCATTTGGCAGATATTCATTCCAACATATTATAGACGGCACTTTTCTCATATCATGTTGCTTGGATTTTTTAATCTTTGTCAGCCATTATTCATTTGATAATATCACAAAGCCAGTTAAATTTGTTGTTTGTATATTTGAGTGATTAATCAGGAGGCTGCAGGTGTAAATTTTCCTTCCCATCCTCATAGTAAGTTAGCTTCAACTTTGTTATCAAAAGTAACAAGGCTAATAAATGTACCAAAGGTCTAACTCTTCATAAATGTATAATTTTATCTTTTCCATGGACAGAAATACCCAATCTAATTAAAATTATATTTTCTATATTTCTTTATGGTTATGATTTTCTACACCTCATAGGAACTAACATATGGCCGACATTCAGATGTATGACGTTGAATGTGTTATGCGCAAGACTTTAGTGAGTTTAAATATAGATCAGTCTGAATGATGTCATGGCATGATTATGATTGAAAGAGTTGTATTTTCCTTGGTTGCTTAAAGTACACAAGTAAGGCCGGCAAAGTATGAAATATAGATTTGAATATAAAACAAAAAGAAATTGGAAAAACCTGAAGTTATATAAAATCTAATATTTTTGTTACAGGTTCAGCAGCTACAGCTGTAGATAGAGTATTAAAGTTAGTTAATGCCAGTACTTACTTAAATCAAGCCAAAGATCTTAGTAACAGTAAGTGATAAATATTTTAAAATATCTGAGCAGTTCGGAATTTAATGTGGCATCTTAAAAACTGTACCTAGAAAGGTATTGGATTTAGAATACAGGTTTTGTGGTTTGATTTTTGGAGCAGTAACTGGCCCCAAAGTGCTACTTATCTAGTTGTTTCTCATGTTCTTCTTCTCTGGGGGCGACACTCTTTTAAACAAGTTCAATATAATCAACATAAAACTTGACATGCTTGTTCCTTGGACAATTGACAGACTTTTAATTTTGATGACTTCACATTTCCAAAAGGGCAGTGATAACATCCATAAAAGTACTATCATACTGGTTGTTATCACACTAGGTATTAAAATGTTTTTGCCTGATTAACCATTACAGAGGTTAATGAAGCTAGAAATGAACTAATAACTATCAACACAACATTACTTGATTTGAAAACTAATGGAGATAACTTAACAGAAGAGCTAAAGCAACTAAAGGAAGACATTAATACTACATGTGCTAGTAGAGCGAGTGGATGTAATAAACTTGATTTAAATGATTACAATACAGATGCTGATTTCAGTAAGGTAAATGACTGCTTATGAACCTACAGTGATAATGGATTTCACACATTTATGCTTGTTGTTCAGACCTAATCTTTAGAATATTTCACCTAATTTCACGATTTTTATTGTTTACTTGACAGCTGTTCTTAAAATATAATGGCATTCAATTGTTCTTAAAGATTGATTTAACAATAGCCCCCACCTGAAACAGCATTTATCTTCCCTGCTACCAACAATTATGTCAGCTTATCTAAATAGAATATTTCTATTATATTTATGATCTAGTAGTGACAATCGTTTCCTCTGTAATTGACAAGACGGCCCTAATGTAAAGTCTTAGATTCCACATGTTGAGAGAATAGCTATTATAGTATTTGTTTGTAAATAGTGACCCTGGTGACATCAACTTATATTCCCTAAAATATTTCAATATTATTTCAGTTGGGTGACTTTTCTACAGAGATCACAAAAGTATCCGATAGTTTGAATATTTCCGAATTTGTGAGAGAGGTGAGAATAAAATTTTTAAGATCTGTTTATGACTTTGTCTAAATGTACATATGCATACTTAAACATCACTACATCTACAGAATGTTTTGTTATAAGACAAATTTTCAGTATAATGCCGACGTAAGGCTTGCTTCTAACAGAATTATTGTGAAGTCTTTTTGTTATAGAGCCGCATTTAAAGTTAACGTATATTGAATTTGTGTTGTTATTTTTAGGCCGAAGGTAAAGTGAATGACGTAAAGAAGAATTCTACAGATGTCATTAGAAGCAATATAGATGGTAGGCCATTGTTACATTTTCTTTTCATTCATGTACAGCAATACACTTTCTGTAGCTAAAATCACTCTTTTTATATGCCTACATTGAAATGTGGTCATATTTATTGTCCTCACCTCTGTCAGTGCTACTGGTCATCGGTCGGGCATCTGTAATTGCCTGTGGACGCCCAGAGATTAAAGTTAATATTTGATTCATTTTAAATTTATTAACAGGGGTTAAGGTCATGAGACAATCTCCCAAAATTTACTGTCAGAGTTATGGCCATTGATCACTTTGAAAAATCTTGTGGACGGTTTATAAGCGAAAGTTAATATCCAATTGACTTTGAATTTAAACATAGTGTTTAAGGCCATGAGACGAAGAATCATATTGGTTTTCAATGATTTCTGATAGTGTTATGGCCCTTGATATTAAATGTTTTGTTAACTAAACATCATCCTTAGTATCTCCAGTGGTCTCATTCCGTTCTAAGCCACTATACCCTGGGTTCATCCATGGGGTATTCATGTATTCAAATTATCTGACCTTGATTGTAGCTTGATTCTACAATGTGACAGTTACCTCCCCTTGTCAACATCTTTTATATTTAACAATTTTTTTGATTGACTGATAAAAATAGCAAAGTAATCAAGGATGGATAATTTGAATATGTGTTTCTCACATGGATGATCCCATGGATTAGTGGAGTGAAACTAAATGAGACCACTGGGGATACCGAGGATGACTTAACATTAGTGTTGGGCAGAACTAGAAGCCAAACATATTCTAATGATTTCTAATGATTACTTACTGGGTGGTTATTCGTAATCAGATTTTAGTGTGTTGTAAATGTTTTTGTTACTGACGAAAGAAAAAATATGCAAAAACCCATGTTGACTGCTTGGACTACTTAGCTGCTGTGGGCATATGTTTCGTTACTTCGCAACCTATTTTTCTGTTTTGAAGATGCTGTTCCTTCCCGGAAATTCAGGAAAAATTGATATTCTCCTATATAACACACAGATAAAATTTTGCGTGGATCATGCATTGTACAGACCTATCGGAACAGCAATATTCACAATGTATTTATCCTGTGCAATGTTGGTTGTTTACAAAAAAAAAAGAAAAGAATTTGTATGTGTTTTCCATCTGTAATATTTTTTGTATAATATATGGTATATTGGGTGATGAATCTACAATTATTTGAGATAGGACAACTCAAAGTTTTCTCACACATGTTCAAAATGGATATTTATCACTGTAGATCTTCAAATTTTGATTTATGACTGCATGAGTAATATATTTATAAATTATGGTGAATATATTTAGCATTATCTCGTAGTTATATTAGTTATAACTAGTCAAACTGTCAGTGAAATACAATTCCAAAATCGGTCATACAGGCTGTGTTTTAAAAAGGACCTCGCTCTTTTGTGCATTGAAAGTTCAGGGGGGACTGCTCAGGGGAAAAAGTGTGTGTTATACGCAGGTGTATATATACCTTTAAATAACATACAAGTGGATTTCTTTTTTTCAGAGGCATCGACAGCTGTGAACAAGATAAGAACACAGATGGTTACTGGTATAAATGATTATAAAAGTAGTATACAAAATACAGTAAGTCTTTCACATTGCATGTTTTTTCTGGGTTAATGGGAGATTAATGCTTGCCTGCATATGGTACAAATTAAGGACCAATAGCATGGTTTAGCATCCTACTGTTCTACTCCGACTGTTCTAATGAAGATGGGTATATGCTATGAGGGAAATTTTGCTCTTATATCAAATTCCAACTGCCAAGGGATCTTTTATGTGCACTCCAATGTATACAGAGAGAGAGAGAGAGTTTTGGGACTAAGACATGGTACAATTTTTATTTCAAAAATTTGTTTACTCATAGGGTTCTTTAGCTGTGGGAAGGATCCAGAGGAGAAACCCCGCTTTCAAATTATATCAACACAGGGATGTAGCCACGCCGAGTGGCACTATTTTTGCCGCCCAGCACAAAGAAAAAATCGAAGAAAGCAGCCCAGTCGTAATTAAACCCCTTCGTCCTTCTCTGTACACAAACTCAGCGCTCAAAATTTACCAAGTGGGGTGGGGCAATTTTATGCTCGGTCGTTATCTAAAAGTTTTTAGATCCCTGGCAGAGCCTCTGTATCATTGATGAAAATTCAGTGAATTTGGTAAAAATTTGAATATATAAATGGAAATTTGATTTGCACTTAAGCAAATACAAAAGGCAGCAGATCAGTGATGGGATTTTTTTTCGAAACGCCCAAAATTGTCCGACCGGGAATATGTCCAATCGGACATCAAGACATGGTGAATAATATTCAAATTCCAAAATTAATATAGTGTACTGAGTGTATAACTACCGTGCAACCCGATTATCGTTGATAATAGGCTGGATTGATTAGGTAAATAAGCGATCGACTATTATCGTGTTATATCGTCTTACACACCTACCTTGATTAACTACTATTCTGCCTTGATTGGCTGACTTAATATAATTCTTTATCGGACAATTCATCAAATCAATCCTGAACAGAAGTCATTGCTTCTCCTTTGTCGGACGATATATCAGTCCAATAAGAGTGATTATAAACTTAATCTGATTAACCTGTGATTTCTCCAGACCATTGTCTCACATTTTAATCTCCTTTGTGTCGGACAATAACACGTAGAAATTAGTCATATATGTCACATATCCTGATAGTATATAACACCTCAAATCAACATACATTGTATCCGATAACTTGTCTGTGATATATTTTCGGTGGAAGCTGAAGTTAAATAAAGATATTTCACACACATGGCGCTTATAGAGTTCAGTAATTAAAATGAAAGTATAAATCTCGCGAGACACGTGAAATTAAGAGATGTATACGTGCTGAATTCAATACGCCTGATGTCCGAGAAAAGATTCTATTTTGATGGCATATTGTCAGATTTATGATCATATTTTGAAGGGGGTTTATGTCTTTAAATAAATAAATAAACACGCTAAGAAATGTTGACGAATATTTCGATTGGAATGACGTAAGTAGTTAATTGTTTTAGACGATAGCGCGTGCTACAGTCGAATGCAATTATTTAGCAGTTAGTTGGTGTCACTCGCTCATTAGAGCGTCGTTAACTACGGTTTACGGCCAAATAAATTTCGGGATGTCATTTTTTTACCTTCCGTATATAAATCGAAACAGAGTATTGGACGATTGTTGGACTTTGCTGAAAAATGTACCGACGTATGACCCGAAAAATACGGTAATTTTGGGGGAGTTTGAAACAAATCAGCAGCAGTCGGCACGCTGCCAATTCTATAGTATTACGATGTCATGTAATTTTGTAGGAATATTATTGACATAAATTTGAATACCGTACGGGTTTTAAACATGAAATATAACGAGGTGCACCTATTTTTTTTTACATATGAATTTGGATATATTTTGTTGACACGTGATACTTAATTGTGTTTTGAAAACGTCTGCTTAAATTACGGTAAGAGTTATGCCCCTTTATTTTCGGGAAAAAATGTCCGACATGAAATTTTTTGAAATCCCATCACTGCAGCAGATGCTCTGAAAATACACCAAGAAAGGTCGAATTTTCATAAAAGACAACGCCCCCCCTCCAAAAAAATTTTTGTACTCCCTCCACTCATAGGCTATTTTTTCCACCACTCAACAAATCCGGGCTACATCCCTGTCAACAGTTTTATTTTTGACCCAAATGACTAGGAGATCTTGTTATTTTAAAAATATGAAATTTTCTGGTAATAGGTGATGTAATTGTTGAATGCTATTAGTATATTAAACATGCAGTTAATAAATTATTTACATATTTTACTTCATATTATTGTTACCAGTACATATGATTATTTACATTACAGATGAATCCATTAACAAATTTTCAAACTCAACTAGATAATAGTCAGGAAGATGTCAAACAATATGGAAATTATATGTAAGTATACATACTTCAATTGTTATTAGTTTCCTTTTATATTGTCTATTTGTCATCCAAGTCTTTGTCACCAAGATGTCTGTTTGAAACAGTAGGATTAGTATAATACATCTTGGTGATCTAGTCTATATTTTGGTGATCTTGTCTATGCCACCATTTATGACACTGTTCTTACCTGTAAAAGGTAGTGTTTAAGAATAATTGACTATCAAAATATTTGTAAGAAATTTGCTGACTGATTTTATTAGATTGTTTGTGTGGGCATTAACACTGCAAATTCTTTGCTTTTTAGTTGGTATGCTGGTATAGCAATAAGCTGTGTGTTCCTATTAATCTTAGTGTGCTATTGTTTGGGAGTTCTGTTTGGATTATGTGGAGAACGACCAGGACGTGGGGCAGCATGCTGTAATACAGGAGCTGGAGGAAATTTTTTGATGGCGTGAGTATTTAACTTTGCACTAATTATTATGATATGTCAATATTTAATGAAATTGAATGAGGTTTAAAGTCTCATAAACACAACACTTCAGTCATTTTGAGACCAACATATGGTAATTTATTTGCAATGTGAGGTGAAGAATTTTGCCCAAACAGCAGAATTTCAGTCTTTTCTTCTTCAAATTAAAACTCCAAAGGGATTGTTTATATGCACTCAAATGTGGCTAAACTTAGATTTTTTGTCCCATCCAAAATTCTAGACTAACTTTCCTTGTCAGATCCATCAGACAATTGAGAATTGGACTTCAAAAATCCTAAATATTCAATCCCAGGAAATTCTACTCCGGAGGCCAGTACCCTACCATTTGATCACCTTGGCTCCATAAATTTTATGGCATAGAAAAGGAGAGATCTAGAGTGGGTTAATGGGGAATATTATATTTTGAAGTTTAAAACCCCTCATCATATTATTTTGATTGTTAAACCTATGAATTATGAGTATTTATTAATATTTTGTGTTTTAGTGGTGTTGCGTTTTCCTTTATGTTCTCATGGATATTGATGATAATCTGTATCATATTGTTTATACCGGGTGGATTAGTCTATACTGAAGTCTGCAGATATTTTCAAACTCATGATCCCAACCTTCTAAAGGTGAGTATTGTGACACAGTTATGTTGTGTCTCTATCTGTGTGTAAGAAATGAAGAGGAGTGCTTGGCCCTTCCTAAGATGAACAAATCATTCTTTTAAAGAATCAACAGAGCCTGGCAAGGCACTATATTTTAAAATGGCTATACCTCTTTCATTATGTTGATTTATTTGTGCAATTTGTCTTCATTGAGAATTTTTTGCCCATAGGTAAAGCCTGTGTTGAGACAAAACGATAAGCCAAAATTTAATCTTAAATTCGTGAACTAGCTGATTTCCACTTATCATTCGAAAAAAAATTATTGTAAGGAGCATGTCAAATCACAGATCAACCTAAATGCATCAACCTAAATTAAAAAAGTTTAATTTTTTTTAAAGTATATACTGGTATGGGATATTTTCTTTCTTTCTTTTGCAGCCATTTGAGGACCAATTTACACAAGGTTATGACCTGTCACAGAAGTTATATCAAAAGCCTAATGCTAATATAAGTATTGTTCAGATACTCAAGTAAGTAGTCATCTTTGTATATTCAATAGAATTGATATATTTTTGACAGAAATAGTATAATTACACAATTGAAGGTTATATTTTTAGGCAAACAGTATATTTTGACTCAATTTGTTTTAGGGTCCTGACTCTTCAGTGAAAAACGGGGTTGCGTGGCCGAATAGTCTAATGCATGTACATTCAATCATAAAGTCTGTCATTTAATGATATTGTGTAGTATCAATACCACCACTATCTGTGGGATTGACTGCCCAATCTTGTGGGTTATCTCCAGGTTCTCCGGTTTCCTCCCATTATTAAAGACCCCTACACGCAAGTGAATTATTGAAATAAAATTGTACTGTGGCTGGATAACTTCAGTGATGTCAGTGAAACTTCAGTGCATTTTAACACAGTAATCTCCACCTCAAAGTAACCTCAAAGAAATCAGTTCATATAATTTGAATATGATCATTTATATTTCAGTAACTGTAAAAACAATCAAGCTATCTATACAGCAGCATATTTAGAAAATCTAATCAGTTTAGATTCAGTACTCAATTTAACAGTAAGTTCATATCTTAAAGCTCAATTTACGTAGTGCCGCTGTCCGGGCAAAATTTCCCTCATAACACACTGTATGGCGTATGCCCGTCTTCATTAGCCCAGGTTTGGAGCAGAACAGTAGGACGTTAAACCCCATTTCATTTCATTTCATTTAAAGCTCAATTTAACAGTAAGTTCATTTATCTTCATTTAACAGTAAGTTCATTTATCTTAAAGCTGAAATTAGCAGTAAGTTCATTTATCTTGAATCTCAAATTAACAGTAAATTCATATCTTAAAGCTCAGATTAACTGTAAATTCATCTCTTAAAGCCCAAATTAACAGTAGGTTTATATCTTAAAGCTCAAATTAACAGTTAATGTGTATGAACTCAATGTCTATATTGCCTTTTAGTTTGAAATATTGTGCCTAATGAATACTGATTTTCCGATTTTCATTCTGACGCATTCTTCTCTCCCTCATTAATGTAATGACAGAAATAATAATTATGTTTTTCTTTTCAGTCGGTTAATACCCAGATTGATGACATCGCTAGCTCAAATATCAATTTTAACAATATAACAATCTTATCACCAGAATTAAAAAAACAAATTACTGATTTTGGAAAGGCAGGAATTGGTAACATTGACTATGTTGCATACGAAGAAGAGGTAACAAAATATATTCATTTCATCTTTGTTTATATATTCTGTCTTTTCGTTTATATAATTATCGCCAGATCATTTTATTTGATAGTTTTATGTCCTTTGGATTCAGTAGAAGGATTGGATATAGTTAGCAATGGCTTGTAAAGAGTCTGTGGGGGTGGGGATGGGGATGCCCCCTGACATCCATTTCAGGAGGCATTCAATCAAAGAGTGAAATTAAGATTAAGTTTTTTTAAATTATCGCTGTTAACTTTGGTGTTCAATCTACCCTACTTAATTTGACTAAAAAGTTTGTTTCATCTTTTTTTACAAATTTAGAATATCTTCCTTTCTGACATTTCTCAGTGCCAGAGAGTCTTGGGGGCATACAAACAAGGGGTTGGCCATGGATATCACTAAACCTCAGCATGCCACTGTTATTTAGTAGAATTTCTTTGAAGGGGTTAATACAAATATTTAAGATAAATAGTTTTAATTTTGTTTTTCTTCCAATGACACTTTTCTGTGTAATTTAATTGTATCTTAATACTGATTTTTTTCCTAGATGAAAAGAGTGGGTAATATTAGTGCATGGTTAATGAATGATATGTGTGCATGTTATAAGCATTATGAATAGATTAAGATTTGTTGACTAGGTATATATATAATGTAATGGAGTGTATATGTATGATAGGAAATATTTAATACTGCTCACACTTTGAAAGTTGACTTTTGCTAAAAAGAAATGCATTTGTCACACACAAATCCATGTTTACATTTCTAAAAGGGTAAACATATATGTTGTCTTTCTTGATGGTATAGTCTTTAGTAATGTTTCAAACCACTTTGGGGGGTTAAATGCCTGAATGGTTAGCACATGCGCACTGTACTATAAGGTCTGTCATTAAGTCAACTAGAGTGGTTTCGATTCCCCGGTTGTACATGTCAAGGAGAAGGGTCGCCTGTCCAACCTCGTGGGTTTTCTCCGGGTCCTCCGGTTTCCTCTCACTGCTAAAGACCCCTACGTGCAAGCAAATTATTGAAATAAAATTGATCCATGTGTTGGTCCCAAAATGACCTAGTTTGTGTCAAGTGGACGTTAAACCCCATTTTTCTCTCTCAAACCATTTTTATCCTTATCCTGAAATCATTTAAGATGAAGAAGATAGGGAAGCTGGGAAATCATGTAAATTGAGTCAGCATGCACCTCTACAATACCAGTCAGCAGAAATGTGTATTCATTAATGCCTCTATTCAGAAGTGAGCATTATTAATTATTGTAGTGATAGAGAGTTCCTAGTTTATATCAGCAGTTTTTGTAATATCATATGAACAATCTTTATATCAGCAGTTTTTGTAATATCATATGAACAGTTATGCATAGGTGTACGGGCACGATGAATGTTAGGGGGTGCAGAACCTGAAATGCCCAAAAATGTTTCCGGTTACAGACCACGATGCCGGTCCTCTACGAGAGGCGAAGGAGTGGGGATTACCGTGAAGGAACCCCACCCCCCAAAGAAAATGTGTAATAGCGGGAACCTAGCATCTATTTCTATCGTAATACCTCACTGGTTTGCACAAATGAAATGAATAGTCAGACCGTTTTTATGCTCCTTAACGTCGTACAGGCCCCATGAATGTTAGGGGAGGGGGGGGGACAGAACCTGAAGTGCCTGAAAAAATCTGGGTTACAGGTGTCGGTGCCGATCGTTTGTGAGAGGCGACGGAGCGGAGCGTACTGTAATGATTTTACTAGGAACTAGGTTTGGCACTAGGTTTCGTTTTTACCAGAAACTATTTTTGTTGTATGCGTACTGTAACGAGTTTACTAGGAACTAAGTCTCATTAATTGTGTACTGTAATGAGTTTACCCAGAATAACCAGGTTTCATTGTGTTTACTGTAATGACTTGACCCAGAATAACCGTGGTTTCGTTTTGTGTACCGTAATGATTTTACTACCCTAATGAATAGCTAACAGGACATATAGAGTGATAAATCTTGAATAAATTTAATTGCAGTTTATAATATCGGCTAATCACAATATTAATATAGACCAAATTAGCCCACGGTTTGCTTGAAAATATCTGATAATATTGTGTCCATGTCTAAAAGACAAGCCATTTTGAAATGATAGATGAATGCTATTGTTTTTATCATTCTTAATTTTTAGAAAAAGTATCTATTATTTAATAATTTTATTCTATTACAAGAAATGAAAAATATTTTTTTTCTAATTAGATTAACTTAGAAAGCATGATGCAACAAATATTTTTGTGTTCTACTAGAATGCATGAACCCTGTAATATATGTCACAGTCTGTTTATTTTGTATCTTACTGCTTAACCCTTGTGCATATACAAGGGGTATTTCGGTACCCCATGACCATATCCTTAACGTTTGTAAGGAACTGGTTCATAATTGTCTTGCAAACATTTTATACATTGTTAGCTACTTAATGTTGAGTATAATGCTGCAAAAAGAACGGAAGTGAGGCAGTGTTAACATTCACAGTTAAACAAGAAACTAAGAGTATTACATTATCAGACAAGTGTCTTTTCTGCTCTGCACTCGGTGCTAGCTTTGTTTTTGGAATCTTTCTTACTGATGATATTGTGTTGGTCATTCTAGTAATCTAGATCCGAAAGCAAATCTAGAAATCTAGGTACTCTACCAACCCCATCAAAAGACGATTCTACATGGAAATGACAATAAAGTTATTTGTAGATTTGTATGGTTTCAAAAATACCTTATAATTCATATTGTCACTGGTAATACCTCAAATGTTTGTTACTCTGATTGATTATTACTCAGTTATTATATGAAGCTCTAGTTTGATCGTATTTGAATAAAATTATGCATCCTAAAAACAATTTATGTCTGGGGTCTGATTACCCCTTGTTGCCGACAATGTTTTTCATACCACATGTTTTCAGGCAAGTTCCCCACCCCCCTTGTCAGTGATGCAGGACGGATGGTCTGACAAGGACAACTCTCTAGTCATTCGGATGATACGAAAAACAGGTCGCGTGTACACATTGGTGTGCACGTAAAAGATCTCTTGACAGTTGGAATTTGATATAAGAGTAAGCCGTAGTGCCGCTGTCTGGGCAAAATTTTCCTCATAGCACACTGTATGGCGTATGCCCGTCTTCATTAGCCTAGTTCGGAGCAGAACAGTAGGACGTTAAACCCCATTTCATGTCATTTCATTTCGTGCAAAGTGTCCGCACCAGGGTTAAATTTGCTAAGAATTATGTTATTTGGATTACTAAAAGATACAAGACTTTTTTTGTCCAAACAAATGGAATCTGGTCTGTTAACAAAAGAAGCACTTTCTGCTTTGTGTACAACACCAGCCACCACTAATAGCTCATGAAGCTTGAAGCAAAAATTTTGACTTGGATTTCATAACCAAAGTTTCATGATAGAACCATATAATTATATACAGAAACTAGAGTCTGCACTGATCACGTGACTCTCATGCCCACACCATAAAAAGGTTTGTGCCGGAATGGAACAACGGCCGTCATTGTTAGTTCTGATGACTTTGAACTTAAATACCTGGATGTTCACTATGTTATCGCTTCAATCAAGCTGTGCCTAACTATTTTAAAATGTGCATAAATATTAAAATTTTAAATTTTCTCACCCATATATTTTTTTTAAAATAAAAATGATAATATAAAGCTTCATAGACTGACTTATCTCCAGGGTCCTCTTTTCACGTAAAGATTAAAGAACAATTTAAATTTGACATGTCAGCGATCTGAAACGCAGTGTCTCTATGACCACTTTACTTTTGCTTTCTCTTTTAATTGTTATTAAAATATTGATCTATTAAATTAATGTCCCCAGTATTTATTCTTATACAGTAAATTTGTTAATTTGTCAGATTGTTTTAGAAATTTATGGAACTGATTTATAAAGAGTTAAGAGAAGTTAATGTTTTTTTTAACAATAAAATGGAAGGCATTAGAAATATTGTTAATTGAATTAATTTTTATCACATTTCATTTATAAAAGAAAAATATTAGACTACTGATATTTTTCTCTACAGTAAAATTATAACATACCGGTATATATTTGGCTCACTAACCAGGAGATTCTGTGTTCTATTCTAGTGTTAGACAAGATTTTCCAGCATTATCAGTTGTGCAGGAGGTTCTGTCAAGGAATAGTGTCTAGCTGGTTGGATAGGATGAAAAAACAATGTCTGCTCGTGTACACTCTTGGCGAGCAAATAAAAAGAAGTCCCTCCCCTGACAAAATTTCCCTTTCTTCATTAGCCTCATTGGTGCATTCTGTTGGTAGAATTTTTTGATGTATTCAGTAATCTGTTGAGAAATTGTGACAAATGTTTGTATTTTGTATGTATTACCCTGAATGATGTGATGAATGAATGTCTGAATTATTAGAACATAGCATGGCTTTTAGATGAAATATTATTGAATAGAATTTATATATGAAAGGATAGAGCTTTTCAGAGCTCTTTCTTCGTGGGACAAGGGTTACAGTTACAGGTTACAGCATTCAACTTGTTATTAAATTTAAGTACATTACTTAAAGTATAATTAAAAGTTAGATATTTAATTTTCCTGGCATACAAGCACACTGACTCTAAGGTTTCCACAGTTCAGCACCATTATTCTTAAATACATGTATATTGAACTAAAATATTTTATGAATACAGTCTTTTGCTTGGCTTAAAGGTAAAATCTGTCTGAGTTTTATTTTTAAGCGAATGAAAAGGCTGAATCATTAAAATATTGTAATTTAAGATTTAAGTTTTCGTGATATTGCCTTTAGTTTAGGAAGTTAGTTGTACTGGAGCATATTGGCTATCATTGATATTATAAAACATTGCTCTAATTTCAGTCATATTTGCCAGACTTGACTGACTGACAGTGAAATTGACTGTCAGGTAAACTTTACATGCAATAACATAAGATATTTAAAAGAATTTAACCTTATGACACAATCAATACAGTTTAGTTTATGATATTAATATGTAAAAACCCCTTGAAAATGTATTAAAAAATTGAGATAATATCAAAACTTGTCAATTTTTTTCAAATCCTAATAAACAAAATATGTCAGGTATTCTCAGAATGGCAAAATGTTGAAATGAAAGCCCTGTTAAAATGTCATACATAGCAAAATTCATCAAATATTATATAAAAGGCATTGGTTCATGAAGTTAGTACTTACTGAGCTTATATTCACTGGTATAGGTATATCAAAAATACAGTGCTTGTAGTAGTGGGGAATTTTGAAAATAGCATATATATAGCAAGCTTTAAAAATCTACTATACATTGTTATGTATTTAAGAATAAAACACTCTTTAGTTTAGCTGAAAGTAAAGGCTTTATTTTGACATGTTATTTTCATTAGCTCTTTATAATTAAATAAATTAAGCGTAAGTTATTTTGACATAAACTGTTGAATTTTGAAAACAAAATCAATTAATTCTTGAGATATAAACTTGATTTCGAAAAGAAATAATCACCACTTTCTTTTTTTACACACATCAAATAGTCAATGTCCCTTGAGGATTATCAAAAGACTATTCATACATACCAAACAATGCAGTCTCTAGGTATTGGTCTATGCACATCATATTTCCAATGGCAGCTGTAGGATGCTTCTTTGCTGAACTACATAATCTTAGAAAAATCAAAAACCTCAGGCAAACATGGTGGTCATACTTTTTAGTCGATGACCGTGTCTTAAAGATTCAAAACTTGAATTAAGATCATCAATCTTTCTTATTGATATTATTAAAGCAATGACAAAGTTTTATCAGGTATAAATGTTCACAATTTTCAAATAAGAAATGCACTGGTACATACATGCACATATACCTAGTTGTAATATTAAGAATATAGATACAGCGACCAATATATTATTTGTTAGGTTCTTTTTTTATATAAAATCAGATCATCAAAAATTTTTGAGTTGATTTAATGGACCTAGTAGGTAAATTAACAAAGTATGCAAATGATATATAAAAGGTTAAAAAATTTTTTCTTTTGTTATCAGATCAACAAGAATTTAACTCGAGTTGATTTAACGGAATTAGCAGGTAAATTGACAAACTATGCAAATGAAATACGGAATTCAAACCAGGTATGTAGTATGTTTTATTCTTTATCTAACATAGACTTTAATTTTTATACCCCCACATTTTCTTATGGACATATATTGTCATTGTCCCTGTCCTTGCGTCCGTTCATTCACAATTTGTGTGTGGACCCTCTACAGATTTTGATGAAATTTGAAATGTAGGTTTTCAATCTCAAAGATCTGGGTTTCTTTCAATATATGTATGCATTGGACTGTAACTTCATGGATTATGGCCCCTGATTGTGCAACCACTTATTATAAATGTCTTGCATATCTTATCACACATGCCATTGGATCAAAACAACATTAGAAATGTCAATGATAAACAAATCATTTCATGAATGAAAAAAAAGAAATATATAAATAATCAGTACTAGATAAAGACTGCTACGAGGTAGTTACTACCAATGAGTGAGTGGTCTATATCAGACATTTAAATGAGGGGAGATTAATAGTAAAACACCCCTGTCTTTAAAATAGATTAGTTGTACGTGCTTTCGGTGAACACGCCTTGACTCTAACATTTGTTGGTGACAATATTGAACATATTTTCAACGAATATTTAATATTTGGGTTGAAAAAATGGAAATGTCTCTTATTATATTGGCTTGACAACATTGACTTGATCGACTTCTTTATTAGCCCACGCCAAACAAAACTTAAGGCAGGGATATTGAAATGGGCCCTGTCCGCTCTTCCATCCCGATTTTCTGGTGCATGTGCATTGTCAGCAGTATTGCATTGTACTAGTCACAAGAATGTTGCTGAGGCATTGTAATGGTATTAATATTGGTATATCTAGGATAGCGAAAGTCACATGATAATTGACTGTGTCTCTTTAATATGATAACTATGGTTGAGATTGAAGTGTTGTTGAAATTTATGTTTTTAAGGCAGAGGCTAACAAGTTTGATGGTTTTGCTCAGAGATTAAGAGATATAGATAATACAGTTGTTTCAAAAATGAAAGCTGATGTGGTAAGTAGAGTAATTAGAATATTACAAAACTTGGAACAACTTTGAAATTGAATGAATTGATATTCCCAAAATATAAAGAGCTGTAGGACCTGTTTAGCTTCAATGTTCTTAGTCTGTTACAAAAGTAACCACAAAAAATTAAATTTACTTTTAATTATGTTAGTCTTAAAATGATTTGTGTAAATTTTTGGCAAGACTTTTATCTTCAATTTTATTCTGTTTTGGGATTGTAGCTGTATATCAGTTAGTGTTTGATCTGCTCCCTAAACGTTATGTTCAAACATGGGTGTGGACTGTGGACAGCACCTAGTTATTTGCAAGAGATAGAAAATCAAGGTCATAATAATATGTACATTTTGGTTGCACAAAACAGAACCCTTGACAGTTGGAATTCAATAGCTGTCCAGGCAAAATTTCCTTCACCGCACACTATAGGTGCAGAAAAGTAGGACATTAAACCCCATTTCATTCATTCATTTAAGATGGGTGCTGCGCATGAAGCCGCATGTATGTTCCTTTTCCGGAACACTTGATGCTAACTGTCATTGACCTTATCAGTAAGAGCAAGTTCACACCGCTAATGGCATTTGATTTCTCTTGACACATGCATTACATTTTGACATTGAAATGTGATCTTATATTGTCACCACTCTTTGTCCATCAGTCCGGCATCCATATCTTTTAGTTAAATACTAGTTCATTGTAATAAAAGGATCTTGGCTTAACTCACTAAATTCATGATGTGTGTTTATCAGTTCACAATATCATATTGAGATTTTAATTTTGCTAATTTAATCTGTATAGGTCTCAATAATTTCACATTCTTTATATTTTTTATATTTTGAACAGAAAAAAATGGGTGATAATTTAAATAGGTTAAAGGCTAAATCTAATGTTGAAGTAAGTAATATGAATTAAAAGATATTTTTATTAGTGTTTTAGTCATTTATTAATTTTTATACCCTCTGAATCTGCCCAACCCAAATGCACAAGATATTAGGCAGGGAATTTGGCTTACCTGAAACTGTTCCTCAGTTGAGAATTGCAAGATCATTTGCTATTTGTTTGTGAAGACCAAGATTTAAAATGACCAAAGCCTAAAGTGATTTTTGATTGTTAAAATTTTAAAAGTAAAAACTTATATAATGTTATTATGGTGTTGGTAGACTATAACCTTATACAAGTATTTGTTTAAATTCTCTGCTATAAGATAAAATGTGTAATAAGTATGTCACCACAGTATTCTTTTAAACACTTTACAAATTTCAATATTACTATAGTTTATTTGTGTGTATATGCTTTATAACGACTTGTGAAGTCTTGTTGAAATCGGTGTATTGTAATGAACTACATTTGTAATTGTTATCCACATTTAAGATAGTGTTTTATTTGAATGTGATCTCAATGTTTATAATGAATATGTTGTGTGTTTTAGAATGAAACAACAGCACTTGTTGCTGGATTGGAAACATCACAAAATACATTTAACGCTGATGGAGTCACTTTTGTTAATGATGTAAGTAATTATTATTAGACAACACAGCATGTCTCTCATGTCCTGTGGGGTTAAAAGATTGAGTGATGTGTGCTGTAGATCATAAGACCTGTTATAAATCATGGGTTTGAGAACTGATGTGTACATGACAAAAAGTAGAATTGCCAGCCTGATTTTATCATAGGTTTTCTGTTACTACGACCCTTCCATTTTATAATAACTTCGACTCAATCTAGAACAACTATGTAGTTTCCAGAGAACTTTGTGAAATAAGGGTCATAAACTGTTGATTGTAGCTACACATGTACACTCCACATGAAAAGATTGACAAGAACTTGTATGGTGAATATATACCATAGGTTAGTCCTGAAATTACCTGATTATTGCCCCCCCCCCCTGTATTGTACATGTATTGTAGTTTTGATCTAAACAATTTATCATGTAAAATATTTATATATGGGAAGTGGTATCAGATGTTCTAGAATGAATCAGATACTGTGTTTTATGCATTTGGAATGAATGGAACAATAGTCTTGTATACCAACAAATTATTCAAATAAAGATATAGCCTATTTTATAATTGATTATAATCTACTATACTTGAGAGATTAATAAACTTCTTTCTCTATCCCCATCTATTAGATGATCAAGGATGTAGTTGCTACTGTTAAAACTACAGTATCCAATACAGTTGGTGGTGTTAAAGATTATGTAAGTACAATATATGTATATTCAACTAATACTAATTCATTTTAGACATTCGTCTTTTCATTTATACTTAAAAGTTAGTAAAGGGAGGTGGGATGGTAATTATATTCATGTATTAATACTAAGAGGCCATTTGGTAACATTTCCCTTCAAAAGAATAAACATATGATAACCTCTATAGACTGCTTGACAAACTATCTTTAATTTTCTTTTTAAGGTAAAGAAGGATGCTGGGAAATGTGCTCCCCTATTTGAAAGTCTTTATTTGCTTACTGATTCAGTCTGTGTTGTGATGTTAAATCCTTTGGTAATATATTATAAATCTCTTTTTTTTTTTTTTGTATTTTGCCTCCTTGGCAAATCTATATTAGTATGTGCAGGAGGACATCACTACACACAAACAAAACCATTAAGACAAACCTGCGGACAAGACACAACTACATAATTACAAACAAAACAGCAAATATCTAATCAAGTGAATGGATCCAAGGGCCACACTGTGGTCTATAGTCCCAGGCCTGTATGATGTCTCTATTTATCTAAATTCCAACCTTGTGGGTTTTCTCCGGGTTCTTCGGTTGCCTCCCACTGCTGAAGAATCCTACGTGAAAGCGAATTATTGAAATAAAATTAAACTATATGTTAGTCTCAAAATGACCTAATTTGTGTCGTGTGAATGTTAAACCCCATTTCTCGCTCAATCTATTTATCTAAATCTTACATGGTTCAACTTTAATATAACAAACTTTCAAGTTTCCAAAAAATGAATACAATATTTTATGTATTGATATGTTATTTGTTTTTGGTGTATCTTAAGTTGTTTACTCTTTATCATACGTGCTGTTTAGTTGTATGATGTTTCCAAATTTTTGTGGTATGTCTTATTTTTGATTAGAATGTACCGAGATAGAATCCTGGTTTTCAATTTCTATTGGTTTGTTTTTACTGTTTTGTAGAAGTTAAACGAAATAGCGCAATTTAACGTTCAGGTGTACCTACTAATTCATATGAGAAGAAAAAGCAAGGTTCACATGTGTATATAATGGCATGGGCATAAAACAACCCTTGGCAGTTCAAATTTAAAGTAGATTGGCTGAAACGCCACTGTCTGGCATAATTCTCCCACTCGAATTGCACATGGAAATATAATTTGCAATATGTTAGTCTCAAAATAACCAAGGTAATGTGTGCCATTTGTTGACAATATGTGTTATTTACATTGTGTTGTATTTCTTAGATGATTAAATAAGAATTTGATTATTTTATTTTTCTACAGAATGGTTTTTGGTTCAGTATGGGATGGTGTCTATTCTTCTTTATACCAAGTATTATATTTGCTGTTAAACTGAGTACCTTGTATCATAGAGAAGAAGAATATACTGAAAAAGAATTTGATGAGCCGTGAGTTCTAAATTTGTCTTTTGATAAGAATAACATACATTTACAAAACATTTTTAAAGGATAAGAAAGTCTAACAACTATCATATCATTTATTTTATAACGTTGAGAGGGAAGCTCAACGAATCATCGCTTTAATCTAGTAATTGTGTTCCATATTATATATATTGCTGTGTTAATTACATATTGTCGGTGAAGTGTCAAAAGGGTGTATCTAAAGAATTTCTAAAGATTAAGAAATAGAACCTTTTGCATTTCAAAATTTCCACAAATCAAGATACAACATTTGGACACATGATACCCAGAACAGTTCTAATTGGGAAATTTAAAAAAAAAAGTGTATTTGACTAATTTCCCGAGATACACCCTTTGACACTTCACCGACGATATTTGAATTGCTTAATGCCAGTCAAAAAAACTATAACATTGCTGGTATGATTCAATTTTTATTTTGTCAGAATTCATTGATGCAGTCTGTTGACTAGTTTTTGTTTCAATTTTGACTTAAAAGAAAAATTGTTGACCAAGAAATCGCTCTAGAAATGTAAATATCAATCTGGCTAAACACATTCACACGCCAGATGAAAAGATATTGTGTTCTTTTAACAAATAGAATTTTTTCTTTAGAAATAGTGTTAGAATACATGTATAAATCTATCTTTGATTTTTTTTCTGGATAGAAATTTTACAATGTATGCTGGCCCTAATCCAGATAGAATACCACTAACAAGGTAGATATTAAACAACACATCTAACTTCATTTCTTTCTTTATCATCTCTTTTTATCATTCATTGGTCTGTTTTATTAACAAATACTTACGAGTTTGATGTGCTGGAAATGAATGTATTTTTAAGTTTTGGTCGTGGTTTTTTTTTTGTGTACTACATGGTATGATAGATAGCATGATGTTCCAGACTTTTTAACACCTTTATTTATTAATCAACAAAAACTTATTATACAAACATCAAACTCTTGAGATTTGCTTTCTAAAATTTTACTCTCTTAAAAATAGTATAACCTTATTTTTTCCTATTAGTTTATTTCCAATTTCTCTCTACATTTCTGTTCTTAATTATTTTGAATATACTTTTTTTCTTGCCTTACTCAAATTACGCAATATTTTTGAAATTGCCACCACATATATGTACATTTAGAAATATTTATCTATGTAGAAAACTTTAAAAGAAACAGTGAAATTGAATTTTCATTTAATGTAATTTTTAAGATTTATCAACATAAACTAATGGAAGATGTATAAAGTTAAACACAATATTATATTAACTCTTTTATCTTGAATGCTTTGGGTAGGATTTATAGTCTGTCCTGAGGTCAGAAAATAAACTGCCCCATTAAGCCAACTAACTAAAATGCCTATATGTAATACTCTCATTTGGAGACTGGAAACATTTAATACAAGATATTTTCATACTGCTTTAATGTTTGCTTTGTGGCAGTATGGATCAGCCGCATGAAAGAGGTTATGGTGCTCACAACACTGGTTACCGTGACGATGGCTACAATGGAAAATCACGGAATGGATATGCGACGCATGCTGAAAGCCCTCCGGCTTATGATGATAACTATAATAGAGGTAGTAAGAGGCCTAAAAATGAAGCTAATGATTCAGCTACTGGTGATGGGGTCCCATATTATTACTACCCACCCCCCAATGAAACTCCTCTGCCTGACTATAGCCCTCCGCCTCCACCATCTTTATATTCTAATCGTTACTAACTGTAAGTAGCTATATGTCTTTACTAAAACTTTAAAACTGTCAAACTGTGTACATATAGACGATAAAGTCAGATAAGATGATCAAGAAGATAAGTTAAATACCCTGAGACTTATTAAAGGCAACTATGATTTTAAGCTAATTAAAATTAGGTCTGTATTTAATTTTGTTTTTATGGTTCTGATTTTTCTACATGACATGCAGAAAAGTAGGGTGTTAATCTGGATTTTCTTTCATTGCATTTGATTACAGTACTCAAGTAATAACACAAATAATAATAGTAATAACACTTGTCAGACGTTTAGTGAACTTCCAATTCAGTAGTATAAAAAGACAGTCTGAAATGAAAAAAACCCCAACCCAAACAGAACCAAACAGAATAAAATTAAGAGTTAATCAGATAGCAATAACTTTGTTTTAGAATTTAAAAGTCAACCGTTTGATCGGTTTGTTTCTTAACTTGATATTGAAGGGTTGCAATTATTATTTCTATTACCCTATTTATCAACTTATCTGACTTGATCTGTAGTTCAGCAATTCTGTGGTCGATGTTTGTCTTTTGCTTTGCTTGAAAATATTTTTGGAAGGCAGGTTGCATGATAAACTAATATTGCATTTAGTTGTTATGGCAAAGTAATATTTATAACCGCTATATCACATCATTTGCTAATATTCAAACTACTAATTCTTAATGTTTCATGTAGTACTTGTCATTCTATGTTAAGAATTTCAAGTTACACTTGTCATTTTGAATTAAGAATTGCATGATACATTTGTAGTACATGTTATTCATAATTAAGAACCTCATGTCGCATTTGTATTACCGTACATGTTAAGAATTTCATGTTACACAGGTAATACTTGTCATTCTAAATTAAGAATTTCAGGGGAATAATTATAGTCTTATTACAGCCAATTCTTAGAGGAATGTTTTTGTATGGTTTTGACATATAAAAAAAGACAGTACCACTATATCAAAATATCAGTTTTAATTCTAACATGAAGACTTTATATTTTCTGCATACTAACAACAAGAGTTTTTAGATGTGATGAGTTAAAGTTGGAACAATCATATGTCATGGATTATTCTTCTATTTCTGACCAGTTGTAGTGGAACGTCGCAATTGTAAATTGAATCAACGATGTTTAACATGTCTGGACTAAAACCTCTTTAATTTTGTGCTGATTGGTATTCAGAAAACCAATCAGCACAAAATAAAAGAGGTTTTAGTCCAGACATGTTAAACATCGTTGATTCAATTTACAAACGCAACCTTCCACTACAACTGGTCAGAAATAGAAGAGTAATGTTTCCCTCTTTCCCTGGAGGTATAAAACATATCAGTAGATTGTGTTTAAACCCCCAACACAGGTTCTGTTAAATGTGTGCTGTGGAACCTTGACTAATAAGATTGAACCTCTTTTTTGCATATCATTAGTTTCTTCCTCATATCACATAGCATGAATATCATTTGAAATAAGTCTAGACTGTACTTCACAATACTAACAAATATTTAAATGTATATTAATTTATGCACAGATTAATTTAAAGCATGTTTTGTGTTTAAAATGGGTAATAACTGTTGTTTATGTTTGAACTAAACATTAAGTACAGTACAACTGATCATTACTATATAGTAAAACATCACTGGTTTATTTGGCCCTAAATACTACATAGTACATAAGAAGAAGATAACACTGTAACCCAGGTATCATTTAATCTTCTGTATCTAGCACCAATTTCTTTGACATTCGTTTAATATCAAATCTTTGTTTAAAAATTAGTAAAAATCGTTTAAAATCACCAAAAATCATCTAATTTGTACTTGTGTCCAGTTTAAAGCTGACTGATTAATTTTGATAATGAGTGTCCAATTTACAGGTATTTAATTTCCTGGCCACTGTTCAAAAATTAATCATTATACATCAATAATCAATTGGGTTCTTTATATTTTAACAGTGATTGAGAAATTAAACACTTGTAAATTGGACACTCATTATCAAAATTGAATGGTCAGCTTTAAACTGGACAGAAGTACAAATTAAACGATTTATGGTGATTTTAAACAGTTTTTACGAATTTTTAAACAAAGATTGGATATTAAACGAATGTTAAAGAAATTAGTGCTAGATACACAAGATTAAATGATACCTGGTTTACAGTGTAAACAGTGCACATGTTTCAGTGATGGAAGATTTATTCCTACTGCATGCTTGATGCACTCTACATGTTACTATGATGCCTGTACACTAACATGATGCACAAAATATACTACTCATAAAATTGCCATCATTGAAACATGTGATTATCTTCTTCTGTATTATGTGATATTTAGGACCAAATATACTAGAATGACTTGTTAACATTTAATGTTTTCAATCCACTCTTAAGTCCAATAGTGCACATATGTATAAACTGTACCTACAAGTCCAATACAAACAGTAAACTTCTTAGGAAACAAGTATAATTATACTATGGACCAGGAACCAACGTAATCACAGCCATCTTGGAATTGTGACGTCATATCAAAAATCAAAGTCTGTCAATCACTGCACAATTGTTCAAGTAACAAAAATGCTAAATTTCATGTTGATCGTACTTTAATCAGCAGAGACTTTATCTTTTTTGAAAAGAGCTTTGTCATGAAGAACAAGAAGATGAATAGAGCTTGGGGTCGGTTAATGGTTCAAAATATCTCGTACAGGTGTTGCCTAGGAGGACATCACAGAGAGCAAATAAGCATTTCTCAAGGTCACCAGTCCTTATTATTTTCTGTAATATGCATTTCAACCATTGCAACAAAATGCACTTTAATGGCATGATTGAAATGAAAGGGGTTTTTCCAGCAGAAAGGAGAGGAAAGGACTGTTCACTTGGTTTGTTGAAAGACAATTTTCAAAAAGTGTGCTTTGGGCCAGATCTTCCATTTCCGATATAAATCACAATTATCTGACTTTTTTACCAATATGAAATAAAGTTGAATTCAACTACTAATGTTATAATAATTCGTATTTAGATAAACAATAAATGGATATTGGTAAGTTTTAAGGTCAAAGGGTCAGATTAGTGGTTTTGGATAATTTTTGTCTATCAAAATATAAAAATTAGAAAATGGATTGAGGGAATCACTTCTTAGGAAAATTCATCCATTTCTGGTCTATTCATCCATCATTAGATTTTTCTTTCATAAATAGTAGATTAAATTGTTTAAGCGGCATTAGTTACTTGAAAGATTTATAAAGACGAGAGAAATAAATCTTTCAAGTAACTTGTATTCCAGATAATTGTGTCATGTGTTAATAGAAGATTAGATGCATCAATTTGTTTAAAGTTGCTGATTGTCACTTAATAGATTATGAATCCTTTACAAACTACAATATTGTGAATGTTGAATCTTCAAACGGAATATCACTTGAGAAAAAGATCAGTTCCTTCCATTCAGTACTTACAAAGATGCGACAAATTGAAACTTTCACAATAAGCATTCGACGCCACCTATAAATGTTGGGTACAATCTTTTGATGGACCTCTTTATAATCTAATTTAATCCACTCCAGGAGATTATCTACCTTTGATATTTTGATTTTGCTTTCTTAATTAAATCTTAAATAAACAATATGTCTCCATTTTAAAATGGATTAAGCTACAGAAAATTAGATATTGTCCACGAAATACATATGACGATCAGTGGCTTTAATTGATATTACAAAATTATCAGAATCATACAAGTGAAACAATATTGTGTTCAAATACATAACCTTATAAAGTTCATCAAGAACAGATATCTATTTTGTATCTTTACAAATGCTTAAAGAAGGGTGAGGGGTTTAACTTAGGCTTTATCAGTTCTTTAATCAAAACTTTACAATACTAATCAGCCTAAATAATTCATGTCTGATCATTTGAAACTCTTTCTTCCAAATTGGAATCATCCATAATAAAATGAACATCACCAAATAAAAACTAAATTTAAGGGCAGAGTTTATATTTTATTATCATTTTATTATTTGAAAGTTGGTTATGGTTGACACAAGAACTTTCACTTTAAAATTTTGCCAGCTGGTCACTTTTAGCGGATTAGCACGATATCTTTTCCAAAGAATATGGCAGCATTATTTTAGGATTATCGCATTTACATATAAGAACTATAAATTTAACTGTATTTTTTGTGTTTTAAGGTTCAATTCTTTGAAATTCTAATTTATGACATATATTGACTTACCAGTAAGTTATCCAGCCCATCAATTTTACTGTTAGTGAAGACTAACAAATATGTTTAAAATGAAAGCCCTGGTCAGTTGTTATGAAAAAAAGATATCTTGACTGATGAAGAAAACAAAGAAATGAAAAAAAATCATCAATTTGAATTGAATTACACACAAATATGTTAAGTAACAAATATTTTCAGTGATTTACTCTTTAACTTGATTTAATAATGTTTTGTATTTTTATCTTAATGTTAATTTTCATCTTTTGAAAAATTTTCAGGCCGTCAGAATGGCAATAGATCCGGTCGACCCATGAATTATTAGATTTGAAGAATACAGATGAATACATGATGATAAAGCCATTTCATCTTCAGATTTAGAATTTAGGCATATTGATCCCTTTGAGACTAAAGGGTTTTAAATTTATTGATCATTGAGACTAAAGGATTTTTATTTTTTTTTGGTAGAACTCAAAGCAGATGAAGTAAGTCCTGTTTTAAAGTGACCGTTTCTCTCACTGATGTAAGTGCTTACACAAAATGTATTATTGCACAGCATTTCAAATTTATCAGCTTAAAGAGGCATTATCACTTTCAGTGTAATATCATATTTAAGATAACCTTATCACATACCTGAGCACTTAGCTACTCAAGGTAAGGCATTTTGTTTAAACGCCCCCTGAATTCTTTGAAAACCACAATCTATATATACCTAATCTAAAGGATTATCCCCGCGATCGATTGGCATATTTCTTTCGGATTTCTCATATAACCTAATTTGAACATATGTACTCAGTGTTGAATCATGGCAAATTCAAAACAGTAGATAATGTTTTTTTAAGGGACAGTCACTTTAATTCAATACTTATAAACAAATATGCATAGCCTAAGGGTAAGATATATATTTTGTAGTAAGAGAAATGTCCTATTTTTATACGTTTTTTGTTGTTTTTTTTTTGTGGTGAGAAAATTAACTACGCATTATATGATATTTTAGATATCAGAATGTTTTAATTTGTAAATTTCTATGTAGAATATATTTTTTTTTGTGATTAACCTGTACAGTGTGTTCCTTCCTTGTAAATGTGTGCGTTTTGTTTTTTTGTGGTGAGAATACGCCTCTTGCACCCAAATAAGTGTATTTTTTTGTGATATATTATGAAGAGGTCAAAGACAGCTTCTTATTGCTTATCATTCACTATTTAATTTGTTGCAAGCTCTTCATTGATACCTGATTTTTAGTGTGTTTTGTTTGTTTTATATGTTGATATAGAATGGTTTTATATTGTTATCTATGGTGGTATATAAAACAGAAATTTATAATTGATGGAGAATGACATTATTTGCCTTGAAAATATTGATAAAAACCTCTGGGAAATTTCAGTTATTAAATTAAGCTAGTTCTAGCTCTGTATTTCAATTGCTCATGTTAAAGAGTCAATTAATATTTTTCACCTTATTTCAATATGAAGCTGATCATATTGATCTGCTGTTTTAATTTCTACTAGATATGTTATTTCACTCCTGTTTCGAACATAAGATATTAATTCCATTTGACAGGCTATAATACATATTTGGAATTCCATCTTCGCACCCCACATACGGCTAGCAGGATATGGATGGTTATCGAAAATATGTACATTTTGCTCCCCTTTGTCATGCTCCTGACATCAGGTAACATCAGGTAACATCAGGTATCTGATAAAAATAAAAATGCTATACCGTATACATTCCTTTTTTTTTACATACAATTTAACATGCCAGAATTTTTAACAACTGTGTTCATTCTACACCTTTATAATTATTGTCCCATTAAATACGATTACATTATTATTATTATTAATATATTATTGCCTATGTTAAATTGTTATGTTTTATATATGTTTCCATTTATATGCAGTTATGAATATATCGATGGCTTGGAACACACCTGTACTATGTCCATTTTTAAGGTTTGAGAAAAAAACGTATTTTAAGATTTCAATAAGCTATAAAAAAGTAAGTTATCAGTGGATGTATATGGTTTCAGGAAAGATTATTGCTTGAATCAATTCAAATAGGCTGATAGAGACGCACTTCAACTTAAGCACAGCATACAGCTGATTTTTGGATAAATGTGATCCACAATGACTTATGTCCGTACTTTTTTGTCAGAATAATTGCACAAAAGACTTATGTCCGGACATGGACTATGTGTGTTCTAAAGAAATATGTGGGTAGTGCACAACAAATGACTTATGTCCGTACTTTTTTGTTCAAATTGATGTACAAATGACTTATGTCCGCACTTTTTTGCCAGAATAAATGCACAAAAGACTTATGTCCGGACATGGACTATGTGTGCTCTAAAGAAATATGTGGGTAGTACATAACACTTATGGTTATTGTGCCTTTTCGACAGCTTTAAATTGTCAGGGGACTTGTATCTTTTTACACAACAAGCGCCCTGAAATAAGGATTTTTAATATCTAAAAATCTTATTTTCACCAAAAATGGACATAGTACAGTTGTGCTCTAAGCCATCGATATATAAAATAAAAAAAAGATGACACTGTTTGAAAGTTATAGATATTGAAAGTCAAATACTAGCTGTGTAAGGGTAGTTAGGAAATACTATAATATATCCTAATTATGCCATAAAAGCGAGATACAAATTGCAAATTATTAACAAAATGATCTAAGTATATGAAATGATTTTGTTTCCACTTGATATGAAATGGCAAAATATTGATTTTAAATTTTATTCCTTATTTGTATAATAATAATAATAATAATATATATATATATATATATATATATATATATATGTATATGTTTATAATAATATACATTATACACATTGTATGAATTACTTGGATCACTAATGGCTATGCAATAGTTTAGGCCTTAGTTTTTTAATCTTTCACATACTGATATACATCAGGATTTCTTATTCCATTTATGTAACATTACCATAAAGATAAAATTATTGTTTTTATGGTACACCGTGTATAGTTTAAATTATTTTGATATTACATTAAGAGAGATACACACTGAAATACTTGTTTAATCCGGGCAAATTATATAATCTTACTCATTTAATCAGTTAGGATTAATTATTTTATTTTCTTCTCTAGGCCCTGAATGATCTAAATTCCATTCCAGTTGTGAAAACCACTTAATGTTTTTATGTTATGATTCAATTGAAATATCCACTACCTAGCCCTTCAATATCAACTATTAATGGTGCACTTTCTGTCTCTTCTTGCATGTGTCTTAGTATACCCAGTGTTAAGATTCCTACATTTTCTTAATTTTGAAATAAATAGAACAACTGTAGCCTTATCCTGGTGATGTGTGACTGGTTTTAAAGATGGTAGTCCATCTGTTTCTATGTTGTAACAAAAGATAGATAATGATGATAGCTTCTGGGATTAACTTTCAGAATAATTCTGAGTGCCACTTTTAAAGTGCTACCCTTAATGTCATTGACATCAACAATACTGGCAGTTACTCCGGTTTCTGCCATGAGCACAATCATTAAGTGTGGCAAAAGTTTTTAAATGTTGATTCTTATTGTTATAGCACGACAATTTCTTTTCATAACAATTGCCAATTTTAGCAGCATAATTATTATTTGTCCATGTTGCTCATACATGTATTGTGTTTGTTTATCCTTTCATAATGGTAGAGTTACCAAATTCTTTTCTTACATAGTCTTTGTAATATAATAATGTGGATGACAGACATTTGTAAAAAGATAAAACTATATTTTTAATTAGTGAATTAAGGTGCCTTGTGTGTGTATATAATATATACTATCCTTACGGATATTTGTATTAAGGTAATCATGTGCTTCAACATATTATTAGTCAAACAGTAAACAGCATTGCGGTAATATTTGGCTTTTTACACTATAGTACATATATATTTAACTGATACTGTAATTATAATGAAAATTGTAAGTCTTTAGTAGTTACAATTATAAGGAATCCTCCAGCAGCAAAACCAAGAAGTTCAGATACACATTCATATATACTGAATATTGTAAACATCATCCTAATAAATTACATTCCAGATAATTCATGTAATGTAATTTGGATCTATATGTAAATAGGAGAGAAGCATCTTGATAAATGTATTTAAATCATTAATCACCAGAGATTTGATAAAATAAAGCTATGGATCCACCATCTATTAAATTTTGTCAGGGTCCAGTATATTCTAAATCTGTTGTTGTTGAAATTTGTAGGCCTACATATTAGTCTGTATAGGGTAAGGACTGACTTGTTTAAAACAGATGCTTTTTAATACTATAAATCAAGAAATTAATGCATCACCATATTAATTTCAAAACAGAGTATTAGGTCACAATGTAAGAAGGATGTCATTATCTTGTAAATGATGTATAAATTGTATGTGAATAATAGGATACGACCATGGTTAACATCAATTTAAAGGCATTTAGGGTATAATGAAGCCTTTCTGAGCACATTTAACTTCTTGTTCTATGGTATTATTAACTAGCAACATTTGTGCAATTTAATCTCAATTGTACGTTTATTTTAAACAACTGGCAAACCCACTCCCTCGACAAAAATTTATATAATTTACTTAAATGTACTACTATTCTTAAGTAACCTGTTGTGTTCCATTTTACTAAATATTAATTCCATGTTGATATTAATTTTCATTTTATTTGTGATATTCATTGTCTGAATTCAAATCAATTTATTCACTAAAGGAAAAGAGCATTAAAAGTAATAGGGTAGTATTATAAAATGATATAGGAATTAATAGTATTTCTGTATACCTCTCACTATAGTGCCTACTGATTATATATTAACGGTGTTTTTAGAAAAAAAATTTTTTTCATATTTCAATATCTATCCGGCCATTTATTTGCTAAAAGCTTATTTGTTAAATTATGAATAAACCTATATAATGATATAAATGTTTCTATACATGTTATATATATATTTTATATTGTATTAAAAAGTTTAATATAACTTTTTTTTTTTAGCTCTTACATCACTTTCATTTATATGTATATTATATAATTTGTATCTGTATATATGGTAAGAAACAAATTTTATTGTGGGAATAAATCATATTTAATTAACTATCACTGGTTCTTTCATTTTTATACGTCCACTTCATACTTATTATGTTGTGGCCCCTGTTCGTCCGTCCACAATTTTTATTGTACCAAAACCGCTTGTTTTAAAGTGGCTCAGTTAAGTGGTCCCACGTTTGATACAGGTGTTGGCCGAGACATGTTTTCTCCCTTGTTGGTCTGAAAGGAACAAACGTCTTAGTCGTTCAGATGAGACAAATAACCAAGATGTACTCTATGATGTGCATGTTAAAGAACCCTTGACAGTTAAATTTGATGTCCCAGCAAAATTTCCCTTGTACCAGATTGTTTGTTGTAAGAACATTGTTCATAAATTGTCAATTCACTCATGAACATTTTTTATAACATTGCTTCTTATTAGTCAACGATTTATAAAGTGTATAATGTCATAACTTGAAAAATTCTCAGTTTGGTCATAAACCCCCCAACTCCTATTTAATTTAGATCTGTAAAAAAAACAAAAAAAAACAACCCAGAATCTTAGTGCATACAAAGTATGGTAGCCTTCAAGTATAATTATGAGGTCACAAAGTAGTTGACATATTACTCTTTGGTTCCATGAGTAAGTTGCTTACACACTAACCAGTAGTACCTAGGTGTGATCCTGGTGTTGGCTGAAAGAGTTCCCCAGGATTGTTCAGCAAGTTTTTCCCTTGTCAGTGGTGAAGGAAGGAAAGCCTAGCAAAGAAGTGTCTTGTCGTTAGGATGGGACCAAAAGTTAAGGCCCAGTTTGCATCTTGGCATGTACGTAAAACCTTGGCAGTTAGAATTCGAAGAAGAATAGGAAAAAAACACATGGCGTAGGCTTATCTTTATAAGCCCATTTGGTGCAGAAAATGATGACTTCAAACCCCATTCAGTAATACCTGTTTATCATTAATTAACACTCATTAACCCATAGACTTTTAGAAATGATAGTTTTAATGAATTTAACATGTACAAAATGATTCCACAGAATCAAAACTGGCAATGACATGGAATTATTTTACATCATACGATGTACCATCTCTTCTTTGTTAATCAGATGATCAGTTTTATTTACTAATAACATAAGTTCATTTAAATTGTGAGCCCAATCATTGAGAATTTCATTAGGATCTTTATGTTGAGAGAAATTAATGATGCCTTCCAATCGGTCTATTTTGGCCTGGATCGTTTTCTTCACTACCAGACTAGATAAGAATTCTTCTGTTTCCTGCAAGTAGAATCAGAATAAATAAAATCAGAAATCAAATATATAATCATGCTATTAATGAAAATTATCCTTCGATTTCCAGAGACTTGACTGAACATTCTGGAAATAAATGACCCTTAATTTTGCAGTCAAAGATTCCATTGATCAAAAGTTCTTTTAGGTTCTGTCAAATAGTTATGGTTTTCTTGCTATGTTCAAATCTAGGCTTTGACCTTTCTTTGTCGATATTTTTGAGGAAAACATTCAAGACAGGTTTGTTTGGTCAACAATCTAAGACTCCGACCCCTTCCCACCCCCTTCTATACTCCAAACCCAACTGAATGAAGGACATTACGTTTTACAATTGTTTGTGGACATAAAAACACACATAGAACTTACAGCTTCAGTTTGGTCAAGAAGTTCGGCCATTCTACTCATCCGTACACGAGTATAATAATTTGACATCACTCGGATATTCTACAATTACAAAATATTGAAACTAAATAATTCCAACAAATTAAGAAACATACAAATATGGGCAGCCTAATTAAAATGGGATATACTTTTTATGTTATTTATAATTACATGACAGTGAGGTCTAACAACATCTTCGAGAAATTTGAGTTCAACTGACTGGCCTCAAAGCTTCATTTATTATTTAGCAAATAGTATGATGATTCGTTTCCTTTGGCAATAATGGTCTTAGTTTTAGCCTACTAATCCGATATTTTAAGAATAGCTTTGAATAGCAATGGGCACAGTAAGCTGATGACCACATCAACAAATAACGAACTATCATTATGTGGGTTGACCTATAACAAACTGTTAGTTGACCATATAGACCAATAAAAAAAACTGTCATTAAGTGGACTGACCATATCGACCAATAACCAAATGTCATTACGTGGGTTGACCATATCGACCCATAAGGAATTGTCATTATGTGGGGCCAGATCAGTGGTTCATCACACACTATTTTAAAGTTTCTGTGGGAACCGTTTACAAGTTCCATTTTATTATTAGAATAGCCTATGACAGAAGTTGGCACAGGATGCTGGTGACCATAGTGACCAGTAAAAAAAAAGTATTAATTAAACTTACGTGTTCTACGACTCTGATTTTCATATCCTGCCATCGTTTTATTCCACCTTCTAATCTAGTATTAAATATATGGGTAGCAGGAGATATATCCGATCCTACTTTCAACTCATTTTCATAAATATTACATAACAGTTTCCACTGTATAATTTCTGGTGTGGTAAAACATTTCAATAAATCTCTGAAAAATAACACAAATTTGATGTTTTTTTGGTTTTGTTTTTTTTACATGATGTCAAATTCTTCATCTTAATGAAGTGAATATTGGTAAAGAAAATGGTTCTTATACAATTATGCAGACACATTCCTATTATATTGTGTGCCAAAATGTAAGGTTAATAATTTTTTCTTCTTCCTGGGGGTTACTTTCTCCTTCAATATTGGGTTTCCGAAGAAACTTGCCAAATAAGGCCAAGACCAGTGAAAATAGGTAAATTGCTGTCCAGATCCAAATATGGTGCAGTCATACCAATAGAGAGAGAGAGAGAGATGGGGTTTAACATCCACTCGATACAAACTAGGTCATTTCGGGACTAACATATGGTTTTAATTTTATTTCAATAATTTGCTTGCGCGTAGGGGTCTTTGGCAGTAGGAGGAAACCGGAGGACCCAGAGAAAACCCACAAGGTTGGACAGGCGACCCTACTCCTTATCATGTACAACCGGGGATTCGAAACCACGCCAGTTGACTCGATGACAAGCCTTATGATACAGCGCGCGCGTGCTAACTATTCGGCCATCCAACCCCACATACCACTAGAGATCAAACATATGATATAACCATATCAAGACAATGGAGAAAGAGGAAGGTAGGTACTGATCCGAACTACAAAGGGTATGACATGCCTAGCGGGAAAGGTGCTGCCTAGCAGATAGGTGCTGATTGGCCCAGACTGCCAGTGGTTTAATTAATTTTAAAGAGATCAGGGGTTTGCTGATGAAGGGTCCACTTAGACATTTATTATCCTGATGAAAGTGATAAAGCCATCTAACCTAACTTTAAAGAACAATAAACACTATCCAACCTGTATTTTGGTATTTCTTCTAAATTTTTATCTTCCTTAATTCTGTGGATTAAATCTGACTGTTCGTTATCATATGGTGCTAGAATAGCATATAATACTACACATCTCAAAGCCTGAAAAACACAACAAATTTATTAGTTAACTAGCAGGATACTGGGCTTCGCTCGGGGGTCATAACTCCGAAACTGGAAGTGGTAGACTAACGCCACCTGGCCTATGTTACTCCCCGGTCAGAGCTACCCCTATACCCCAAATTTCAGACTCGGGGGCAGACCTAGTGTAGCCGCCAACCCCGAACAGACCGGCTTCGCTCGGGGGTCATAACTCCGAAACCGGAAGTGTTAGACTAACGCCACCTGGCCTATGTTACTCCCCGGTCCGAGCTACCCCAATACCTCAAATTTCAGACTCGGGGCAGACCTAGTGAAACCGCCAACCCCGAACAGACAGACTTCGCCCGGGGGTCATAACTCCTAAACCGGAAGTGGTAGACTAACGCCACCTGGCCTATGTTACTCCCCGGTCCTAACTACCCCTATACCCCAAATTTCAGACTCCGGGCAGACCTAGTGTAGCCGCAAACTCCGAACAGATTGGCTTCGCTCGGAGGTCATAACTCCGGAAGCGGTAGACTAACGCCACCTGGCCTATGTTACTCCCCGGTCCGAGCTACCCCTATACCCCAAATTTCAGACTCGGGGCAGATGTAGCCGCCAACCCCGAACAGACAGACTTCGCTCGGGGGTCATAACTCCGAAACCGGAAGTGGTAGACTAACGCCACCTGGCCTATGTTACTCCCCGGTCCGAGCTACCCCTATACCCCAAATTTCAGACTCGGGGCAGACCTAGTGTAGCCGCCAACCCCAAACAGACCGGCTTCGCTCGGGGGTCATAACTCCGAAACCGGAAGTGGTAGACTAACACCACCTGGCCTATGTTACTCCCCGGTCCGAGCTACCCCTATACCCCAAATTTCAGACTCGGGGTAGACCTAGTGTAGCCGCCAACCCCGAACAGACAGACAGACAGACAAACGACAGTCACAAATATATATATAGATGTTACATAGGTTCAATGATCAATCTATAAAGGTATTGATTTCACCAATTATGTCGATATTGCCTGTTTGTTATTCATTGATATCTACAATTCTCTTTGCTTGGTCATGTAAACTCCATTTTTTCCTTATTATTCTGATAATAAATCAATTCTCTTTTTTTATGTCAAAAACATTTAAATTAGCATTCATAATTGACAGAAATTGTTTAAATTTAACATGTTTCTTTAGCTCACTAATCTGAACAATTTCAAGCACATTGGATTAGGACTTTTGTTTATATAACATACACAAGAACTTAGATAAGCAAGGGCAATAACTCAAGACATAAAGAATAAAAGTGAAATTCCATAGGCTTCTTTGTGCAAATTTCAAAATTTTAGGCAGATCTTTTGATAACTTTTGTCATTAGACTGTTCACCTACACGGAGAGTAGGTCAGGAAGTTAAAATCAGAAATCATTGAAATTCAACTTAATCCCACAAACACTAGCCTAATGTAAACAAAGTGAATAAATCTAAAAAGATCAAATAAATATTATCTGTAGAGTGTTCACAAGATATTGTGGCTGCTTACAAGATAGGTATCAATGGCAATATACGACCAAGTTTTAATGTACTTTATTAATTTCTGTTGACATACTGGCCTTGAGATTGACTGGCGAGATTGCGCTGCACTGGGCTTTTAAATAACTATCTTGTCTGTTCTTGATTGATGAAAAATAATGTGACATACACATGTATGATATCAAAATGTATGGCGAACACATTTTATCACTTGTGCGTGATATTCAGATCTCAAGGCCTGGATATATCTTATTATCTGAATATACCTACCTCTTTTAGTTTGACTTTATCTTCCTTGACCTCTTCTGTATCATATATAGCTCTATAATGTTTACATATAGATAGATAAGATCCTTCATGTTCATCCAGCTCAATCATTAATTTATAAAACTTCATTTTCAATTCCTACAAAATATAATTTAATATTCCAACATAAACACATTTCAAATCAACAAAATATGATTAAATATTCAAACAACACATTTTCGATTCCTACAAAATTTGATGAAATATTTTAACACAAGACACTTTCAATTTCAAGAAAATATGACTAAATATTTTAACACATTTCCAATTCCTACAAAATATGATTAAATATTTTAACACATTTCCAATTCCAACAAAATATTTTAACACAACCCCTTTTCAATTCCTACAAAATTAAATTTTATAACACAATACATTCTTAATTCCTCCAAAATTTAATTGTTTTCAAAGAAAACATTCTAATTTTTGAATGTTTTATTCTTATATGATTAATGAGATGATGGGGAGAGGCAACACTCCATTGTCTGAATCAATGAATTTTGACAAACCAATTAGATCTTACTACTGAATCATAAAGATAGTGTAGTCCCCACTCAACAGAAGATAGAAGACTACACTATCTTCATTCTTAGAGATTAGTGATCCAAAATATAGAGGTTCTGCATTAGGATTGGTCAAAGGGACTTCTTGGTTAGTGAGCCACTACCATACCTATTGAGCCACCATGGCTCCCTCAAAATATTATCGAAAGAAGAAGAAATAAAGCTTGACACTGATGATAGAATCTGTTATTTATATTCTAAGAATAACTTCAGTAATATCTGCTAACAGAAAAGCAGTAAAAAAAATTGGATCAATTTCAAACTTACAGTGCTGTCTTTTTCATCAAAATACTTTGTGTTGATTTTCTTACTAATAATCTGTGTACGGATGAAATCTTTCTTAGCTAAACAAAGACGCATCTGTTCTAAGATAAAGTCTACTTTCTCTTTCTTCTCCATTGAGCCAAACGTCTCCACCTGTAATTCAAATTATAATTATATACATGTACTTCCATTACACATTATTAAAGTTGAATTTAAAGCAATATATATGAAAATCATAAAAGCTTGGTTCAGTTTTTAGACAAATTTAAAATTCTACTGTTAGATGCTCGAAATTATATTACTTTATTTCTAAGAAAATAAAAACCTTGAATGTCATTGAAAACAGAAAAATTGTTTATGTTGCAAATTCAGTCGTGATCAAAAACTTGAAACCCATCACTCCAGTTCTTTTCAATCAGAATTAATCTACTATATAAATATATACCTGTAATTCTTGTAAGACATCAGCTGCTTCAGCAATCTTTCCTGCATCTTCTCGAATTTTTGCTAAAGTCCTTGTCAATCGTGCTCTTTCAATCTCAACATATATCTGAAGAAAAAATAAGTGGTAAATAACAATTATTGTAATTTCTGTGAGGCACTGTTATGTAGGGTTACAAGGTTTAAAGAAAATGGCTATATATGCTCTAGTTCAACAAGTGCATCCAATACAGTCAGCTCAAGTGTATCAATACTACATAAGCAGTTTGTTAGATCAGTAAAATTTTAATGTTAAAACTCTCTAGAAAAATAATCTGGAGCACAGTGTCTTAGTCTCCGACACCCAGAACCTCCTAGTCTTCAGAATACAGAGGGTCTGGGCCTGTTGTCCACATTTGACGATATGTGTACTGGATTATCAACCACATAAAAAAGATCAAAATCCATAGATACAACCCTTGAAGAGAGACAGTTTATGATAAAATACTTAGGTGTTGGGAGTTGGATGTTGAACAGGCAATATAAATAGATCTGTCTGAAATGACAATTTAATTTTGAAAATAATTTCATGGGTGTCACCATCTTGTTTGAGGCCTATTTACCTCCCTTAATTCGTCCCCGGTAACACAAGATTCAGGATAATCTCGCCAAAAACCTAGATATGCTTAAATATTGACAAGATATTTGGACATCTCTTGTTTTGCCATGACATGACATGTATTTAACATGTTCACCCAGCTGCCTGATAAACAGAAAGCGAATGGTATGAAAATACTAAGGAACTTGATCTGTAAACAATGGGATCAAACATAGGACCCCAAGATTAGTACATTAGCGTTACCCGCCGAGTGAATAAAAACAAAGGACACTTACTTTTCCAGCCGTAACAGTCCTCAATGTATCAATCACCTTCAATTTAATATCCAGATTAGGTGTTTTCTCTACATAAGTACATGCTTCTTGGATCATTTTTGTGACCGACTAAAAGTATAAAAGTATGGCAATTTTGGTATATATGGACACCCATTCAGTAATACCAAAAAATGTTTTCAATCTACTGCAAAGAATTTGTTGGACTACAGAGTTAAATACAGTGTTTAAATCTAAGAGGGCTAACAAAATTTGATGACAGATTTGATCTTCCAAGAGAACAGTTTCAGTACTTTGTAAACAGAATATGAAAGTTTATGAAGATTATTAGTGTTGACCTATGATACGCAATAGTAACATACATTAAAAACATACAGTTGGTACATCTAGTGGAATTCATGTAGTTAAAAGGTTCATTACAACTTACTTGTTTAATTTGTCCTCTCTTTTTTGTAAGCAAAACAATGTTTTCATTTAAAGCTTCCCAGTTCTTGGCCTCAAAACATAGTTTTATAATAGCAACCAAAATTCGACCAGTTGAATGTGTATCAGAACTCTGAAAAAAATATTTCAAAAATTTACTTCTTTCTGGATTTGTTTTAGTACATGTATATGCCACTGTTAAATATTGCTGATATCTAATTGGTATCTTGCACTTACCTACGCAAGGAAATACAATTACATGTAAAATTGCTGTTTTTACATGTATTCTCTCACATAAACTTCAAATAAAATGAAATGAAATGAAATGAAATGGGGTTTAACGTCCTACTGTTTGCTCCTAACCTGGGCTAATGAAGACGGGCATACGCCATACAGTGTGCTATGAGGGAAATTTTGCCCGGGCAGCGGCGCTACGGCCTACTCTTACATCGAATTCCAACTGCCAAGGGATCTTTTACGTGCATGCCAATGTGTACACGGGACCTCGGTTTTTTGTCCCATCACTCCCATCCGAACGACTAGTCAGCTGTGCTTGTCAGGCCCTCCGTCCTGCATCACTGACAAGGGGAAACCACGTCGGAAAAAAACTTCAAATAAGCTACCATAACATAACTTTATTATATAAGAGAAGTAAAATATATTAAACTGAGAAAAATCTCCTAAAATAAATTATACTTACTGTTCTGGTCTGTTTCTCTAATGATAACAGCGTATCTATGGCATCAGACAGCTTCCCTTGCTAAAATAAAATTATTGAAGGAAATAATGTCTCTGAATCTGATTATTTTGGTGATAATTAGCGTACTATAACATAAAACAGAAAATGTATCTGCCATAAAATTAATCATGAGAGCTTTCCTAATTAAAAGCTCTATTCCATCCTTGGCGATGTATTTTATCGTTTTGAGAAAGATTACAGTTGATTTGTATTTAATGTATTAATCCAAATTAAATGATATAAAACTGTGTGATAGGTTTACCGGTGGAAAACAAAGGATTCCAATCGGTTACACATGCATTCTTCAATCGAAAATGGCGGAAGGCGAAAAATGTGTATCATCTGAAGGACCCACATGATCATGTGTCACACTAGCTACAAGAACTTGGCCAAAAACGTTGAGATATACTGATGTGCTTGTTTTTAGCTACTATTGGATGCCTTTAGTTTCACCAGGCAAACTTAATTTCTGTATTAATGCATGTAACATCTTAAAAATAAGTTCGTTATATGCAATTAGGACTTGTTAAACATACTCAACCCAATGTAGTGATACAACTTTCGTTTATCTTTAAACAGTTTCTAACAGAATTGACAAGGCTATTCTTGTGACCTATAAAGGTTATCCTACTGTACTTTTCGCAAATTTTGATTGGCCGTTGTACATGACATATTATTAGCCCCGTCTGCATGGCGTAAAGATGTCAAATTTGAAATGCTGGGAAAAGCCAACTATTATCACTCCGTTTTAAAAGAGATGATTTGTATCTGTGTCAGCAGGTAAGATTATATGTTTAATTGTAGTTGGATGTGGCAGAAATGTTATAAATAACAAGAATCAATCATTGTTTTGAAGAAAAAATTGACAGTCTTGATGTTTGAAGCCCAATGTGATTCGCACTGGGGTTTTGCCAGGTAAAACTATACAGTACCATCTCATATCTTGCAACAAGGAGGGTTGAGAGATGAGGGATCTTATCTAGTAGTGTCACACAGTTCCTGTTTGTTTCAGACACTGGTCCTACCCCAGCATATATATAATATATTGATGTAATATGAATGTATACAAACTGATTTACATTCAATTTTTATATACTTGCGTATTATGTCATCACCCTAAGGCCTTTCCGTCGGTTGGTAGGTCCGTCTGCGTCAACAATTTGCTTATTTCAATTTGTGAATGCATTATGAATCATAGACATGATAGAGGCTACAGTTTTTGGCAGATTCTTTTAAAATTTGGTGTGAAGCATTGTGGTCATGAGAAGACGAACTCTATTGATATTCAGCATTTCGTGACTTTGTTTGCATAATTCTTCTGGTTTGTTCTTAACATGTCATGTAGCTTTATTGTTTTGACTATCCGCTGTAATCACTGATAGGATAAGGATAGGTGGGTGATGATGTAGTTCAGCTCTGGGCACTGAAAAGTTTTCGACAAGGAGTCAATTGGCCTGTTCTCGAACATACAGGGCAAGTGCAATGAGAGCATACGTTTAGGTCAGAGCTGAACCAGTGATGATTATGTTATTACTATTTATTAGTTCAATCATTCTGTCAATTGAAGTAGCCCCCTTTACGGTTTACTCTCATCAGTATTTTTTGTTTGTAGTGTAGTCTATAAATATTTTTTTCTCGGCAACCACTTAACAGATTTATATTTTCAAATCTATTAGCAATTGGAAGGCATTATGGTCTTGAAATCAACATAGTATAGCATCGAGAATGACAATGACATTGCTGAAATGAAACTTTTCGGTGTTGTGTACCGGCATAGGCTTGGGGATTACCACACTCTTGGGAATATAACAAATTGAGGGCTTTAAGGCTTTCGGAAAATAAAAATACATGGATGTGTGTACCTTTGCAAGCTTTTCACATTTAGGTAATTTCTCATCTACAGTGGAACTGTAATCCACTTCCATTTTTTGGAGTTTTCCATCGCCTCCGTCCGACATCTTGATGCTTTAATTCACGAAACTTCTCGCTGCCTACGAGATTTCCCAGGTCATAGTACTGATTACCCAGACTCTTCAATATTTTTCAGAAGATCCGAACTGCTCCTCGTAGATATCTGCACACGACATCTGATCATCCGATAATGTATTCTCAACATTAAATCTGGCTTCTTTGGCTACCTTGATCAAGAAGAGTGAACCCGGTTCTCACTAATAAGGAGGCGTCGGGGGGGGGGGGGCGCTAACAAGAAAAGTGTGCTTAGTCGTTCGGATGGGACACCAAATCTGTGGTCCACGCGTCAGACACATGACATGATGAAGCATAGGCATGAGTTGGAATTGAAGAAGAATAGACGAAAATACAAAATTTGTAAATTCGCATTACACACGCTATGACCATAATGAAAGTCACAAAATGACCAAAGTATTTTGTAGACTAGACGCTACATAATATTAAAATGAATGAAATTATCAAGTAATAATATACTGGTTTGAGTGAATTATGAATATTTTACCGGTAATTTTGTTAATGACATTGCAACACAATGGGCTCATTCCAATGTTGAAAATGGAAGACACATGTGATGTTTATTGTCCACAGGCCAACAATACTTGGTTTCTTGGACCAACAAAATATCCTCGGTAAGAGTGGATATTCTGAAATATTGGGCTTTTTACGTCAAGGATAATTCTCCAATTATTAGTACGTATCACACGATTTTTAAAGCCCCCACCCACACACCACCCACCCCACCCTTTCAAGAGTATAGATCGGATTCCTGGGTTTACGTTCCTGCAAATTTCTAAAAATTAATAACAAAAAAACAGATATAGTATTCCATAGAATTATGTCTTTGTATTTCTAAAAATTAGAAACGTCTGACAATATCTGTATTACGGCCAGTGTTTGATATTGTCCTTACAAACTGGGTCATTGATCCTTTAATTGTTTTGATGGAAGTTATAGCTATAATTGAGGTCTCTGTTATTTTTCCTGTCTGCTTCAAGTCTCTAAAACCGTAACACATTAGATTATGTTACAATATAACGTTATGTTATCAGACAATGATTATACGCCCACCCGCAGCACATTGAATGGTGGCCTTTAAGTTGTCAGGGGCAATAACTGGGAGAATGGGACAATATAAATGTGGGCCATTAACAAAAATAATTAATATTAAATATTATAAGTTAACCGGTTAACATTTATGCTATATTGTATGTCCACCACCGCTTGTGCAGCGAGCGAGAGAGAGGTTGGACTTGTGCAACGAATAAGGGTAGAGTTCGGGTAAGCCTTATAATGGAGGATTGGTATTTAAAAGACAATATTGGTGTCAGTCATTATAAAATATGTGATAGAACTGGTTAAATTCATTCCAAATATTATTTTAACACAGAGATCATTGCTACGGGAGATGTGTAACAAGCACGTGAAGAAACGGGAAGTGACTCCAAACATGACAAACACGAGTTATCCTTCTATATATATCTGATTGAAGTAACGAGCGTAACAGACAGACGATCGAATTTCATTTCACTGATAATTCAGTTGAAGTTGAAAAGTTATTATATGGGATGGTGGGAGGGTATCTCACAATTCAAAAATAGAATTGGCTGTCACTAGTATAACGGAAACGGAGAAAAATAGAAAAAACCGGTGCATTCACCCGTTTTATTCATTCTGTTCTTAATACAAACATGGTAATGCACGGACATTTTTCTAATTTGTTCGTTATCTTTTATCTAATGACAGCCAATTCTTTTTTTGAATTGTCAGATATCCTCTCACCGTCTCATATAATAACTTTTCATCTTCAACTGAATTATCAGTGAAATGAAATTCGATCGCGTGTCTGTTATCGCTCGTTACTTCATTCAGTTATGTAGTAGGATAACTCGTTTGTCATGTTTGTCGCCACTTCCCGTTTCTTCACGTGCTTGTTACACATCTCCCGTAGCATTGATCTCTGTGTTAAAATTATATTTGGAATGTATTTAAACAGTTCTATCATTCTTCAAATATATTGGACATCGAAAATACTCGACGAAACCTATAAAACCTATGAAGGAGCTTCTAATTTGTACTCCCAGTGATATGTAAGTGAAAAGCAATTTCAGATGAGAGCCCATACCTTGGTAGGCTATAGTTCTGGTTCGTATAGAATATACGTACTGTTCATTTCCCCCCGCGTGTCACAGTTCAAGTTGATTTCAAACACAATCTGATTAAAATACCGATCTAAATTTAGTTTCGTTTTTTTTATACATTCAATGGGCTACACTACATTAAGATCTGACAAGTTGTATCCGAAGGTCGTGTCAGGGGTCGTACGAGCGGCTTTTGACCCAATGACGTCAGACATTGATAATCAGCGTTGAAGCCTACAGTTCCGTGCATAACACGCCACGACGTCGCCATAACAGACGGCCGTTTCATTAGCTTATCCCTCACTTCAACAAAAACGCCGGTAATATAACAACTCTTCCAGGTCCTAGTGTAGTAAAGAAAAGTAAAACGAAATTTTGAACCATAAAAACGAAACGAAATAGGATCTGTGTTTTAATCAGGGTTGTTTCAAACATTCACTTCAAAAAATTAAAGATAAAAATTAACAATGAAATTAAAACCCAACCAAAATAAAAAATATTCGATTAGGACGTCGATGGTTAGTTCATGATAAAATATGTTGTGGGGCTCTACCCATGACCTTTATATTTCCAGGCAATTTTATGCATTCTCCGACTTGCGTTCTCGTAGCTATTTATAAATCGATTACTATTTTTAACTGTGTATCGCGAAGTCTTTTAAGTACAGTTCGCAGCGCCACCTATGGGATTTTTGATACACTAAACATATGTATACATCAATGTCATCTTGATCTATCAAATTTTCAAGTGATTGCTGTCAGCTAATTTAGATGGGAATATAACATCAACGAATAGTCAACATAAAGTTTCTAGTATGCTCATAAAAGAATACCGAATATGTATGCCACTGTCAGTTGACGAGGTAAATATAAAACCCAGCATTTTTCATCTAAAACCCAATTGTATATTGTTATTATTGATTTACGGTTTCTTTTTCTTTCCCCTGTCTTGTAGATAAATTTAGGTTTTTCGGTATATGCAATATAGTTTATACCAATGACTATGATGTCAGTTAGTCCAATCATGTTTTAAGCTTTTATAAACTATATCCATTTTCATGGATTTTTTATAGATAAACCTACTTATCTTGATCTAATTAATATTTTGATTTGTTATGTAAAGAGAAAGGTGTGGACTAGGCTAGCCCAAGACATGGTTATAGATTCAATTAATGGATTGGTTATCTATATTCGAAGGACCATTAAGCTGTTGTCAGTGTGCCATATCATTGTTTGTAAATCATTTTAACACAAGGAAATAAACCAATCTCCAGAATGTATGATCTGTCATAGCTTTCTACAGGAAATTATCAACAGTCAACACTCCGCATTTTATGAATAAATTAAACATGTCTTCTTACTATTATTGACATTGTTATACAGCTTGAATTTTTAAATTTTATAAAAAATAGAGTTCACTGATGCTTGAAACTAAAGCAATCAACATTATTTATTTAGATGATTTATACTCCTGATTTAGAATTTCAGCTCAGCTTAATAATGTTGTAAACAATTTTTATTTTGCATAAGCGTTGGTGCATAGCAGTTTAGTTTAATAGCGACCAAATTAATTTTAAAGCACTTGTCTGGTACAGGTACTTGTATGCAAAAGGCATAGTTGATATTAAGATGTTAATATATGCATGTAGGTAGGCCTACTTCCACGATTAATTTAGTTTCGTGTGGAATGTGTTTGGATTTTTGATAATAACATGAGTTGAACTACTAAGGGTTTTAATTGAATAGTTCTTGTGCCCAATTGAAAGTATAGGCCTTCATGTACATCAAAGAATTTTGTGTTGGGATGGGTGTGTGGAGAAGAGAACAGTATTTTTTAAAGGAAATATCTTCATGTAAAAATTAAGGGTCACATGCTTAAAAAGATACCTTTCCTTGTGCAAACTGTTTGATTTGATGATATATTTGGCCTAAAAACATATTCAAACTAATTAATCCATCAAAGTTTTGCTTCAAATCCTTCTCAAAACATTGTATTCATGGGGAAATACCTTATTAAAAAAGTAGTCATGTTTATGACACGTGACTTGGCTGTCGCTGTACTTAGCAATGAATGTGAACTGCGAAGCCAGAGGAGAATTCATTGCATATTAAAGACGATGTTTTCTCTAATCACTGTCCATTTATCATAAATATCGAAGCTTAATTATCCACTGCCCACGTCTTTTTCCATGGTTATTATCTCAGAAACTGTTGTACGTTTAAATCTCTTACTTTTTTCTAGTCTACTCACCATCACGTTTATAAAAAATCAAGCACTCTCTGACACTGAGAGATCAGACAATCTTTGCGTGCAACCTTTGACATCACTTGAGCAAACAGCCCTTAATCGTCAGACTGCCAATTAGTGACACCCTCTCATTTTTGTCCTGTGCGTGCTCCATGGGTGCTTTTCAAGGAATCCAATCCAGTATTTTTCTAGAAAGTTTGGGTATCTCCACTTTCCATATACCAAAATTGCCATACCATCCGATAGATACTTTTGTGGGAAAGTATTTTTAACTCATTGAGATGAGAGCTTCAACTTTTCACCACTGCAGTGTTCTATCATCCAGCTCAATGAGATGGGTAGATCAGCTGCATTTGGCATGGTCGCAGTAAGATTAAGAAGGATTAATCTGATAATAAAATGCTTCATTATTCACTCTTCTTATATGATTACTGAGGGGGTGGGGCGCTAGAGAACACTGTATTTTGCCATAGAGCATGTTGCCGCTCTTGAAAGCTCTGTATATCAATGAGTATTCTATTTTCATCAGCCAGTCATATTTTAGCCATAATAAAGCAATCATATTTCATAGCAAAATTAAGTCCTTCATATCAATACAGGTAGTTCACGTTTTAATCTGGACACCGGATTCAGAGAAAATATGTCAGATGCCAAAAGTAGCACATCAAAAATAATAAGATTGTAATCAGATTGAAAAATTTATTATGAATGATTTTCAGTTACATGAAATGTTTATAATGAAATTAATGCACATATATACTAAGATAGAGCTTTTTTATGTCAGCTTTTAAATTCCATGTCACGGATAATATGCTTGTCAATAAATGACAACATCATTCATTTTTCCATTAACTTTATCGATCAATCATGTCCTTATAAAGATACCTATTATATGTACCATTTGATTAGCTTCTAGCGTACTCATACTGGCACACCCATGAATTATTAATTAAGCTTACGTGTGACCATATGCTTAGTTTGTTATAATTGACTCTTTTGTAAGTATTTATGGCACACACACATACATTACGCAGATCTCTGATGTTGGACTAATGAAGTCGTTTGTTGTATTGATAATGTTTATCTTACTACTGGGTGTACAAAATACCTGTTTTTACGGTTACCAGAACAACCCTATATTGTTATTCAACTCTTACTTATTTCTTTCAATTCCCAGGCCTTATAACTCAATCCTGGTGTGATTTTCTATATAGACGAGTTCCAACACTGAAATTTCGGTATTATTTTCAAATACTGTAGGCCTACTCAGTTATTACAGTAAGCTTGAAATACTTGGAATAATACAAACCCCACGATAAATGATATAAAAAATTGGAAAGATTTTCAGACCAACTGACCCTATTATTTATGCCCAAGTAGCATAAACACAGGTATATTTATTTTCGGCCTTATATTAAATTGTCATTTGATATTTTCTAAATGCAAGAATGAACACCTGCCTAACCTCATACATGTAATTTTGCCTGATTCTTCAATTTTTTCTCAATTCTAAAGAATAATCTGCACTTAAAAGAAATGATTGAAACAAAGAAATTTACATAATTAGTTCCAATAATTACAAAGTTGAACTCGGTTTCTCTTCTATTTTTAATTTCGCCAACGAAATTAATTTGATGAAAGAACAAATAATTTTGTGTAAGCTTGCATACTTTATTAGATCTATGGCCTTTCTGCCAATGGGAAACTTAATCATAGTAATAATTTTTTGTAATTAAGTTTTTCCATTTTATATCCTCTTCAAAACCATTCTTTATTTTACAATGTTTACATATTATTTGTAAGATGTTGACATCTTAAGGACCCCTGGTCATGTTTTATTTATTTAAAAGTATGTTGTTTCTTAGATTTGTATGTGAGCATTAATCAGCTTAATACATTTACATACCGATGCTGATGACAGAGGGCTAATACAGACATTTTTCTTATTAGAATTTAACAAGGTGATGCTATCTTGATTTTGATGTTCATGGATAGAAACAAGTTATTCTTTCATATTAAAAATGCCATTTACAACTCCTGTAGTGACTGACATTTTAGCAGATTTCAGGCTTGTCTATATTTGCTTTTAGTTTGTGCCTTTAAGAACCAATCCTTTTATTGTTGTTATCGTTAGGCCTCAATCAAAAAATGTAGTCTGTAATTCTCTTCAACAATCTATTGTTCAATTTCTCTTACAAACTCTTTAAGTGATGTATAAATCTGTTTTTCTTCTGCTTTTAAAAACTAGGCCCATTGAAAAATATGTCTGTTGGTGAAACTAAAAGTAATCACATGATTAGAAGGGATTGCACTATTAATTTGAGTAATTAATAGAAATGTCATTAATTTGCAGAGGTGATGTTTCAATATATTTTGATATTGCATCGCATGATATTAATTATATTTAAAAAAATGAAACAAGCTTTGTAGAAAATATATGATTTAATTTTAGTGTTCTTTCTGAAGGACTTCATGCTTAAGGGTCTAATTATTTAGGAACAATTTTAGAATCAGTTCACCTTGTCGGATCTCTAACCTTTTTTAACTGCATCATAGCTAATATGAGAGATTGACAGATTTTTGTATACTTGTAGTCAAGAAACGCTCTTTTTTTTTCAGTATAAAATTGGCCAGTTGTATATGGTAGCGAAACACAGCAGTGAACAAAGTCAGAAAGGAGAGGGGGTGGAGGTGGTGAGAAATGAAGCATGTGAACATGAACAGCATGGAAAAGGACAATATACAGAAAAACGGGTTCACTTATCTAGGTGAGTTATTTGGTCTTTCTTTGATGCTAGGTTAAAACAAATATGGTCATAAAGTTAGAGATTCGAATTAAAATCTGGAAAGTTATATTCCTGATCCATTTTGGGGGTATTAAACAGTGCTGATACCCAAACTATAGAGAATGTATCTATTTGTTTGGATGGTATGAATAATCCAAGTTACTTATGTAGATTGGAGTTAATGGAATAAGTAACAATCATGCTTCTGGTCTATTTTGGTACACCAGTGATTGTACTGATATATCATGTTAGTTTAGTTGTTATGTTAATATATCCGGTGAAATAAAACTTAGTTAACCTTTCTTCCTTTAAAAAAAAACCCTATCTACATGTAATATCATTAGATGGCCAATAAACATCATTCAAATGATGAACTGTGAACAATGAAATGAAAATTTCAGTATTTGTACTTTCACACCCAGTTGTTACGTAGACCATATTTGAACTAGAAACAGACAGGAGAATTGTTATTTAAACACTGGAGAAGATACCTGCTCACGAGAATAAATTAAATACATGTGGGCGCTATATTTAATCTGATAAAGAGATGGGAGTTAGAAGCCCTTCATTGAAGACTAGATAAAATCTGAAATCCGATAAATGTGAATAAATATTAAAGATAGCCACACAAAGCTTGGAAATATGCCCACACAACAGCTGTCTCAAAAAAATGATAGGCATAGACAGAAGCTTATCCGAATGAAAAACTTTGGTGTTGACCCAAAAAATTATCTGATCTTTATTCTGTTCACAAGCTGGAAAATCCCCTTAAAAAGTGTAGCTTCTATTGACAAGCCAATCGTTGACTGACTTATGGACTGACAGACATGGGTGATCACATAATATGGCCACACTGAAATATGGGCCTATAAAAATTAAATGGTACTATAATTCTTGGGGTTTTTTTTTCGTTTTTTTAGTCGATTGCCTACATGGCTTCAGTCTTTCATTCCGAAAATATTTTATGTAACAGAAAAAGCATGGAACTACTATCCCTACACAATAACAGGTAAATATTATTGTATTTTAAAGATATATTTCCTCAATTTTATAAATATATATGTTTCAAGATTATTCATGGAAATATTTTTAATAATCTACAAATTTTAGCATAGCCACATACCGTTTATGTATATCACTTGTAAGAATAAGAAATGATGAGCGCTGGTGTAACCTAGGAATGTGTAAAAAATGCATGGATTCACTGAAATTTCAGCAATTGGCCTTGATCCTTGATGATCTGTAATGATTAATGTATTAAATTTATTGTGAGGTTATCAGAGAATTGGAGTCAATGATTTAATTGTTCCTGTTTATTACAAATTAGTTTGAATATTTGACCCAATTATGCTTTAGAGAACAAATCTTTAAGAAAAATTAATATGAATCTGATGTAGACCGAAATTACTGCTAGCAGATTCAAGCTACATTATAGGCCATTCACAAAATAAATCTTGTTTCCTGTAAAAAACCCAATCTGGCTTGAATCTATTATTATAATTATATTACTAGACACTAGTGTTTGATGTGCTGTGGATTTAACGCTTTATAAAGTCACATTATTATTTTGTTTAAGTGTTTTGTTGGTGGTGGCTTGTTCTTCTTTTTTTGTGTCATGTTTTCATATACAACCACCTATACAATTGCATACGTCAAACAAAGATATATATTTTGTGAATGCTTTATTTACATTTACATGTAGTTAGAAACCACAAGATTAAAAATCCCCAAAACATCTGCATTTGCTACATGTATGAATAATCAATTAAATGATATAAATAATGTGACTTTCTAATTTACACAATAAGAATTTTTCAAGTGATTTTTCTATGACTTATTTTTTTCATTTTTTTTTTTTTCATTCATCTTGGGATTGTTCTAAAGAATATACAGTAAGTACTTGTTTTCTATATACATACTTCAGTTCAGTGTTGTTCAACACACACACGTACAATGTACGTTTATATTTCAAGAAAATTTAAGTTTGTATAAGTCGTCTTGAATGTTTAAAGTAATAACATCATGTATGTGTAAAGGAGTCACTGTGACTCGTTGACTATGGTGCTGACTCGTAACTATTGTCGATCCTAATGTTGACTGAGTAAAATACTCAGGATGGTACCAAAAAAACCCTGAGCTCCCATGTATACCATGAGTACCATGTGCATGTTAAAGATCCACTGCCAGTTGGAAATAGAAATAAGAGTAGGTTATATCACCACTGTCATAACATTTCATATGTCCATCTTCATTAGTTCAGTTGGTGCACCACATTTCTTGTCATTTCTGATATACTGATGTCTGGAATTACACATTGTACAATATTTATAAATAATAGCCTTGATCAAAATATTTATTATCAAGTTAAAGATACATTCCCGGGTACAAACTGGGTAATTTGATGATATATTTGGACTAAAAACACATTCCAACTAATTAATTTATCATAATTTTGCTTAAAATCCTTCTCAAAACATTGCAATTGTCAGGGAATACCTGGCTATAAAAAATCGATCAAAAGAGGTCATGTTTGTGTCACGTGACACAACGGGTGTGAAGTCGGAGGAGAATTCATTGCACCACATTTCTTGTCATTTCTGATATACTGATGTCTGGAATTACACATTGTACAATATTTATAAATAATAGCCTTGATCAAAATATTTATTATCAAGTTAAAGATACATTCCCGGGTACAAACTGGGTAATTTGATGATATATTTGGACTAAAAACACATTCCAACTAATTAATTTATCATAATTTTGCTTAAAATCCTTCTCAAAACATTGCAATTGTCAGGGAATACCTGGCTATAAAAAATCGATCAAAAGAGGTCATGTTTGTGTCACGTGACACAACGGGTGTGAAGTCGGAGGAGAATTCATTGCATACACAAGACGATGTTGCCTTTATCGCTGACTATTACAAATATCGAAGCCTAATTAAATTGTTGGATTATCCACTGCCGTCGCCTTTTCCCGTGATTTTTATCTCAGAAAGTGTTGTACGTCTAACTCTTCATAAAATTTATCAACATGTACATCCAGCGCTCAATCTCCGCGTGCAACCTTCGACGCCACGTGTGCAGACACACCTAATCGTCGAGCTGTCGATTAGGGAAACCCGTACATTTTTGTCCTGTATAAGCTCCATGAGTGTTTTTCAAGGAATCCAGTATTTTTCTAGTAAGATTGGATATTTCTACTTTCCATATATACCAAAATTGACTTTTATTGGAAATAACCACCCGATAAATACTTTTCTGGGAACGTAGCTTTAACACTGCATATTTTGTTTATTTTCAGTGTTCCTTTATACCAAAATTCAGTGTGTGTATTGAAACTAGGTATGAAGATAACAATGGCTCTTCTGACAATGTGAGTTAACTTTTTAAAACTAATTTTTTTTGAAGTTCAATTTAGATCACAAATGAAAAATAACCAAGTTGATTAAAAAAGCTATGGGCAGTTGTATGATAATTGCTTTTGACAGAATATTAGTCCAGTTTCAATGTTTTTAGGAACAGAATTGCAGCTGTAATATCACTAGGGACCGGGTATTATTCAGATTTGATGAAAAAAGGAAAGAAACTGAGCTTGCCATCTAGAATCTAATACTCGTATTCAGTTAATAGATTGCCATCTAGAAAGTGTTAACTGCCGTCGTCAAGATTCATCAAAAAACGTCCAGTTTGTGCTACGTGTAGTTTAAGAAACACTGTTTAGTTTTGACATAGGTCGTCTAGTTTATGAAACTAATATCAAAACTAAACTAAATAGTCATAAACTAGACAACCAATGTCAAAACTAAACAGTGTTTCTTAAACTACATGGTAGCAGAAACTGGGCATTTTTTGATGAATCTTGATGGCATTTAATACTTTCTGGATGGCAATCTATTGGATACATGTATTAGATTCTACATGGTAAGCTCAGTTTCTTTCCTTTTTTCATCAAATGTGAATGATACCCGGTCCCTAGTGTATATTGACCTGTATTGATGTAACAAACATGATTTAATAATATGATCATTTACAGTGTATGTTAAATAGCATTATTTAACGCCCACTTCCACCATATTGATATCGTCGCCGACAACCATAAATTATTACATGATGATAATATATTATAGGCTTACTTATCATTGAATATACACTTAATAGACTATTAGGCCACAGTTAATTAATTGTTTGTTTATCATGACCACCTGCGTGTCTTGTCATCCATAATAATTACATTCTTCTATAATGATTTGGTCAAATTGACATGTAGTGGGGACACAAATTTATCCTATAAATTATAAAGGATTGCCTTCCAACATGAAAAATGACAATAAACAATTGATTAATACAGCCTTACAGATGTTAATTATTTGCCATTAACTGTACCTGTTAATTATTCAGAAAGCAGATGTTCTTTTAGAATATATACATTAAGGTAATTGATATATGAGGACAGAAATCCGTTGTTGATGTGTTAGATATGAAATTGATATGATCTTTCCCTGAATAAGCAGATGTGTGGACATATTTATTGTGTAACTTCTTTGAGCAGCATTTAGCAATTGGTATACCCAATAAACACAATAACATATAATGGAACACAATCACTTTTAATTTAAAGCGATGTTTCATGAAAGGTCCTCTTAACGTTTAAGCGCCATTTCTTTGTGCGTCCTCTTATCATTAGTTTTATAACCTTGAGAGTAGGGTTCGGCGATCATGAAAGAAATATAGTGATAATTTATCATATATCACATTAAACAATATTATCGTGATAATTTAAATACATGTGTGTCTTAAGATGTCAAATTTTGAATACTTGGGCAGAAAATCATTGCTTAATGTCAAATTATTGTTGCTAACGTCGGTAAGATGCCATGATGGATATTTTACCCCGTACCAGCTGGCTGGTGTAATGCTATTTTTACAGATGAATTTAATTCTATCAATAGAATGTCATACAAGTTAGTCAAAATAAAATATTAATAACGATAACATGTAAACATAATTGGCAGGGTTCTAAAATCTGATTTCAAATATTTACAAAACAGTGACAGATGCGACTGGGGTAAATATTGTCCAACCTTGACTTTGCCAAACAAGTATTCCTATATTACGAGTCCTTGCATCAATCGTGACCTCTCGCATTACCATTTCGTCTTCGTACCATGCACTACAGCATCACTTGTCTTGAGAAGGTGATAATATAGCATATGTATTATCATCAATACTGGGACACGATAATTATCATATCACGATAATTTTGGTTGTCACGGTAAACCAGTTTTTTATAGACAAGTTCGATATGATAAAATCGCTGATGATTTTATCACGATAAACCTAGAAACCGGTATATCGCCCAACCCTACTTGAGAAGAAGCTCAGTGAAACATCACTTTAAATTAAGATAGTAATTGTGTTCCAGTTTATGTTATTTTTTCTATTTTTTGTTGTGTAATTAATGGACACACATTACATTAATTCAAAGAGAAGTTTATTTTATATCAGTGTTAAAACTATATTATGTCAATTATAGAAGAAAATGTCTATAATTAGAAGAATACCTGTAAAACTATATAACGTCAATATAGAAGAATATCTATAAGAATATCTGTACAACTATATAGTTAATATAGCAGAAAACCTGTAAAATCAATTAATAAATCTTCCTGAATAAGTAAAAGATAATATCTATATTATTAGCTTGTCAAGTTATCAGCATGATCTATGATATTTATTGAGCGCATCTGCTTTGTAACAAGTATAATTGAAGGTGAATAATTAAAGATGCCTTCCCACGTTAAAGCTGTGTGATTTGATATATTTGTACTAAAAACATATTCAAACTGATTGATCCATCAAATGTTGGCTTCAACTCACCCTCAAAACATTTCAATCGCAAGCAACTACCCCAAACAGCCTTATTTAGCGAAGTATTCATTTTCGGATTGTATTTTTTTTTACTCACTGTCCAGTTACCAAAGTATTCATTTTCGGATTGTATTTTTTATTACTCACTGTCCAGTTACCATAAATATTAAAGGCAAAGTAAATTCTGTGATTAGCCTCTGCCAACTTCTTTTTCCACCTTTAATTCCAGAGTACTATTATGTACGTTTATCTCTCACTGTTCTCACAAGTGTTAGCCATTCGATCAACAAAACCAAGCACACCCTATATCATTTTGAAAACATACCCTTACATTTTTGTCCTGTGGTTGTCCCATGTGTTGTAGTACCATGGGTCTTTTGTCAGACGTGGAAAGCGGACAAGCACTAAAATCTGTCGCCACATCCTACGTATGACCCATCCCATGCATTCTTTTTTTACTATATATCTTAATAGCCTCGTGATCATGTAGTATTTTCAATTGTCTTCTTTGACTGCCCTTTCACGTTGTGTGTTTTCTTCTTACTATCTCCGCCGTTAAGACGTTTATTTTCTCAGTAGTTAAGACATTTGTCTTACCAGGAATAACAATGCAACAGTTCAATTCTACATTTTATATAAAGCACTGAGTTACGTAGATTACAAGCATAAAAGATTACATTAGCATACTTAAAATTAAAATCTTTCTCTCAACCCCAACTCCTGTAAAAGTCTAACAAGCATGGCTAGACTCGGGAAACGGTTACATCATATGGTTGTCTAAGGAACCTTCTCTGAGAATTCAGAGGCAGTCTCTAGGAACTCAGATGGTATCTGTCTGGAACTCAATGATATCTGAACTTGCAGGATCTTTTTTCTAGAACCCATGTGGACATCAAGCACAGACCAGGCTATTCATGACCCTGAATCTGTGCAATTACTGATATGATTGGTTACTTAAGTCAAATGATGCAATTAGTAAATTCCCATGAAACCAGCTATGTTTACCAAATTATAACTCTTTTTATGTGTAAATCCAGTATTTTTCTAGTAAGATTAGTTGTTTCTACTTTCGATATAATACCAAATTTTCCATAATTTTATTGGAAATAATTATCCTATAAATACATTTGTGGAAATGCATCTTGAACAGGTGTAATTAGCAGTGAATAATTAACAGTAGTAATAATAATGTGGGCAGTTTCCTGTGGGCAAGAGTCATTCTCATAGCAATCAAAAGCACATTTCACATATTATACAAAAATAAAAATGTGACCTTATCCTTTGATGTTGGTATATTGTTATTTCAAATAATTGATGAAATATTGGACTTGTGTGACGATTTCGTTGAAGTACACGTGCGGGATAGTGTCTTTATTTTAAGTTGTTTAATGTTCTCGAGCAAGACATCGCATAATACAGGTATATTGAAACTAACATCTTCGTGCTTTATCAATATCTTACCTAATGTCTCGCTCTCGACCATTAAACCATACATACCCCTGTGTTTGGAAAATGGAAAATGAATAGATTAGCATCTTTGTGAAACATTTTGTGTTTTATTGTAAAATTGAACAGCAAAAACCCTGCAACAAACTATCAATTAGTTATTTGATCTAATTTAACTGTTCCAGTCATAAAACATGCATGAATTTGACTCTTCTTTTTCTAATTTTGTTTTCTATTGTACATTTGTTTAAAATGTTTACACTTTTGGAATTTATTGAATTTATTGTATTTGTTATAATACAAATTAGTTTTTGTTTAGCAGATGGTGTTTTTTAAAAATAACATTTTGCATTGCGAAACCACTTATTCTAAACACTGGTCACTGATTAAAATTAAATGATGTATGAACCAGTTGTCCCCAGTTTGCTACCCAACACTATAAACACATAGCTGAGCTTAACCAGAACTACGGTTGTCTCTGTAAATTGTGAGTTTGTTTCAGTGAGACTAACAGGTAGTTAAAATAACATGATTGTCAATAAACATTACCAATGTACATTACCGAAATGCCTGACTATTTCCCTAACCATTTTTATGGCTATTTTGATAGCTGGCAGGCATGAGAGTATGAATGATAGGTCACTGCTTTTGTTAGTCAGGAATTTTTTTGACAATTTCCACAAATAATCCTCTTACAAAAGCTATCCATTATATAAGCCTACATTGATCGAAGGCTTAATTATTCATCTTTACTCATATATAGATGAATCTCTGATCTTTCTATGACTTATAGATGGAAGTTGTGTCGATATTGCATTGTTTTGCGAAAAAATTGTATAATGTAAACTACATGTGGTTTATAAATGGATTCTGTGTGATACCTATCAACAAAGTTCATTCTGACGGGGGTCTACTTTTTCTGACTCTGCCCTTATTATGGACAGCGTTCTTTTAAACATTAAGAGCCTCTATTAAGGAACCAACTGCCAGAAAATAACAGAAATGCCAAAACTTCCTTTAAAAACTCACATTTTTGCCAGCTTTGACTGCATTTTTGAAGACTTATTTGTTATTTTTGTGTTCTGTATATGAGATCTCATGGTTTTTGTGATCAAAAAAGCTTTTGAAAGATGATCCTTACTGAATTAGCTTTATTTGTCTCTACTCAGATCACCGTACATAGTAACACTCAAACGTTAGATTTTATTTACAGATCAACTGAAAGAATTTGGTTAAAAAATAATTTAATTAGTTGTGTAAGCGTAGGACCCTTTGTTGACAATCATTTAGCAGATGACACTTTAGTTTGGCTCAGGCAGACCCTTGATAATTTACCTACCAGTATTTCCATTATTCATGAGTCTCTCTAATGATAAGGCTGGGTTTGGTTCAATAAAACTAATGAATGACATTTCAAACAAACATCAATTTTGCTCTCTTTGGTGTTTCAGGTCGAAAACTAATTGAGTGGAGCTAGATAGTATGATGACAATGTACTAGTTAGTTTTCAAGTAGAATATTAATTTAAGTAAAATATTCTGACCAAACACTAGTTTCTGTATTAGACAGACGATATTGTGATAACAAAGATTCAAAGAATATTTTTAGTTGGGTAATCTCTTGACTTTGATGTAAGCAGATACATGTGAAAAACTAACCAGTGAGCAGATATTCTGCCGTGTATCTGTTATCACTCATCACATCAGTCAGTTATATAGAGGGATTACTCGTGTTGTCCTTTGGCGTTCGTCACTTCCGATTAATGAAACCTGTATTACTCAGCTATCGTAGCAATGATCTCTGTGTTAAAATTATATTTGGAATGTGTTTAACCAGCTCTATCACATATGTGATAATGACTGGCACCAAAATTGTCCTTTAAGTTACTCTTTTCAAGGGAGTGTTGTCGTTCCTCTTCTTGTATCTAATTGAAAATAATATAAAGTTTGAATTAGCTTTTAACCGAGAACTTGATCATTTGTTTTTGAGAATAAAATCATAAAACAACATAATTTACAGGGTTTTTTTACTATGAAAATTACAAAAAAATTTCACATCATTATGACCAACCTCTTAACTCTGCCTCAAAATCATAAATATTTATGCACCAAAACTTCTCAGAAAATATGAATTCAAACTCTCTTCTTTAATTCTAGACTAAAAACTACCATGCAAAAAGGGTGGGGGGGGGAGGGAGAGAGAGAGACTATAGACCACAGCGTAAACCATATGTAAATAATTGGATGTAATTTATCTCCATTTCTTTCTTTGTAAACATAAACCGTCTTACCCTGCAAAAACAAAGTTACAGTCTTCATAAAGAGCTAATATGTTGTTGGTCCGTCTGTATCTTCGCGGGGGGGGGGGGGGGGGTGTTGGATGGCTGAATAGTTAGCTAGCGGTGTGCGCGTTGTATCATAAGGTCTGTCATTGAGTCAACTGGTGTTGTTTCCATTCCCAGGTTGTATGTGACAAGGAGTAGGGTCGCCTGTCCAACCTCGTGGGTTTTCTCCGGTTTCCTCCCACTGCTAAAGATCAGGCAAATTATTGAAATAAAATTGAACCATATGTTAGTCCCGAAATGACCTAGCTGGTTTATGTCGAGTGGACATTAAACTCTCTCTCTCTCTCTCTCTCTCTCTCTCTCTCCCCCCACCCCCCAGTTCTTCTAAACACTCTTTTCTAAATCTTGCTGGAATTGGTCTGCCAGTAGTCTTACAAAAACAGGTGTTTTGGAAATGCAGTTATTGCTCCTTATGAATTGTATCCTAATTTTGTGATGTTTTGCACCTCTTTATATACAAATCTGTTGGCAGATGTATAATCTTTGCCTGTCAACACTAAGTTCTAGTATTAATATGAATTTTTGAATGATTCAAATGTGTTTCAGTGTTTGAGTATGTCGGTAGAAAGTCTTGCACAAAGAACAGTTGATATAGTGGATATTGTTAATGATCCTGTTCCTGAAAAACATTTTAAGGAAGAAGAGGTATACATATTTCATTAGAAGAAAGTTTTCTGATATAGATCATTTTAAGATTGTTTGGCAAAAGCTTTTTTTTTGTCACTTTTTAATCCAATTGAATTCAAGCAGGGATGTTATCTACATGTACTATCATTTTTATTTTTGTTTAGTTAATTCGGCTTTAACACATGTCTAAAATCTTTTCTCTTTTTTGTAGGATCTGTCCAAATTCAAATCAAAGAAAACTTCCAGGGGACCGTTTGACAAAAAATGGATGGTAAGTTTTTAAAAATTATTTTATGTAAGGATGTGAAGTTATTTTGTACTGATAAAATATTCATTTTGAGTTGTTAGATGTCCTAGTGCCCTAATGTGCACTTTCGATCATTTTCGTGCATTTTCACCTTTGCTTTCATAGAATTTTACCCATTGGCTCGATCAAGCAGATTTTTATACGCCCACATTTTCCTGTGTATGTATATTATGTTGTCACCCATGCCCATCTGTCTGTTCACAATTGTCTGTGGATAATCTAGAGATCACAATTGTTATCCGATTTTGATGAAACTTAAAATATATGTTTATGTCCGACATATCTGGAATAGGTTTGATTGTAAATATCTGATTGTACAAAGTTTGTCCGATTTAGATGAAGCTTAAAATATATGATCAATAATTTAGGACAATTTGGTGTGACTTAATCGCTAAAAATGATATTTTGTTGCCTGACGGTCGACCATATTGAAAATGGCGCTATCTTTGATTTTTAAATAGCTAATTAGTCTCGGACACCCAGAACCTCCAAGTCTTCAATGTTTGGAGGGTCTGGGTCAGTTGTCCACATTTGACAAAAGTTTACTGGATAATCAACCACATAAAAAAAAACAACTCCCAGTTACACATTCCCCAAGGAGTATTTGGGTCAGTTTTACATTTGAAGGATTTCCCTGTTTTTAATGCAGTTAGCTGCTGTAATATAACATGTGCAATGTAGCTCATAAGGCCTTTACCTATGCAAGTCATGGGTTTCCTCCGAGTACTCCTGTTTCCTCCAACTTCTAAGGATCACTGCATGAAAGCAAATTATTGGAGTAAAACTATACCTTATGTTATTCCCGAATTGATCTAGTTATTGTTGAGTGGATGTTAAACACAATTTCTCTCCCTCTCTCATATACATTGTTATGTATTTCTTAGGCATTTCGATATCATCAGCATATACACTGACAAATTCAAAGCTTTATAAACAACATTAGACATACAAACATATTTAACAGAAATAGAATATCAATTCAAATAGATATTAAAATAAATATTGAATTTTAGTGTACAGATGTGCCATAATTGGCTTGCATTTTAATGATTCTGGATTTAAACCAGTGTTCTTAATCAGCTGTTTTTTGTCGGCTTTAGCCGATTGATGTTTAACCTAGCCGATTGGTAAACCAATGAACCGGCCACTATGGTATCATTAATCAATCTACTATCGGCTAAATTACATCGGGTTAATTATTACATGTTAATTAAGAAGTCAATCAACTTGCTTGTCAGCTACAACAACAGCCATACCTTTTTAAAAAAAAATTCTAGGGACTGCCGAATTCATATTGTTTCAATTAAAAAAAAGGAATGTCATGTAGAAAAACAAATATCTGCTTCTAATATGGTAAATTTCATGAAAATTAAGGCATAAATTAGATTTTTTGGCTGAAAATTATGAAAGAAATTCAAAACTTTTACTGTAGAAATTATCAGAACAGCCCAAACTTTTAGAAGTGTGACTAAAAAATTGATTCTAGGCTCTTGGTTGACATCTTATTATATCAGACTAGTAATTCTCTCCCGATTGCTATAGACACACTACAAATCATGGGGACCGAGATAAGGGAAGTAATTATCCTAGTCTAGTCCTGGTATTAGGAACCAACTCTTTTATTCCTGAATCATGATATACAATATTTTACTATTTACTATGAGTTTTGTTAGAATCTGATGGAAACCTTAAGGACAGTGTTGATTTTTTAGTAATTAATAATCTTTGAAGTTTGAAATTTAAAAATTTTTTTACTGATCTACATTAGCAAGAAAAAAATATACATATGAAAATGTTAGATATCTTATAGGATTATGCCTGTACCCAATATCCAAATTTTCACCAAAATGATCTGTCCAAAGTGTACAAATATACCGTACAATGTACATGTAGTTAAATAGTTAACAGTGCCATTTCAAAAACCTGATGAGATTGTTCATTGGTGATTGACACAAGACATTGCCTAAGGAGAAGAATTCATTTGTTAGATTTACTCTGTAAACTAATCAGAAACCAATTTTGAATATCTGCTTGTTATATAGAGTTTCTGTTGCTATGGCTGAATAATCCTCGATTTTAGATGGTATATTGTTTAAAACAAAAAAAAGATTTTGCTTATAGAAAGTAGGATTGACTCCTACATACAAAGCTTTAACTCACTTGAAATAAAGTGGTCAACAGCATCAAAGAATTCTTTTTTTTTTCTGCCAAAAAATGGAGACTTACAAAAATGGCATGTATTATATGTGGTAGACTAGAACACAACACTACTGCTATTTTTAAATCATTTTATCTCATTATTATATAATAATTACATGTACTCCTAATCTATGGAATTTATGACAATGTCAATGATTTTCTTTCTTAAATTAGAAATAATCTAGAACAAATTATTGCTTAATTATGGTGTCGATTGTCATTGGAATATATTTTTAAATACTCAATGTTAGCCTCCATGACAATATATAGCTATTTCTGTACTGCTGTTTAATCCTATTTGCTTCACATTAAGCTATTGATCATTGGTCAACTAAAATATGTACCATATTGATTAATTTCACTGAGATGGAGTCAAAATTAAATTGGGCTTGAAGGCCAATACCAAAGGCGGAAATTTCATGGCTTTCCAAAGTAAAGATAACGAATGATTTACTGTTATTACTTGCGGTATCAGTTGTGATTAACTATTGTTACTACTAGCTTGTATTTGTCAAATCCTGGTTTGTTAGTCCTGCTCAGTGTAAGACTACAGTACTTAATTATCTTACCAATTGGAGGACAAATAAATCCAAACTTAAAACAGACATAAATAATGAGATGTATTAAATCATGTTGAAAAATATATCATTCCCATCTACATTTCAACATTAGATCAATAACAATAGCATAAATTGTTGTCAAGGAGCTGTTCTTTTAAACAGCTTCTTCTCTTATTCTGACTCTACGTTTAGTTAAAGTCTAGAATTTCTCTTTAAATTGAAAACATTCAGCAACTAATTACAGCAATACCAGGTTGAATAACACCACATGATGAATTCCTTGTTATATTGTCATTAATCTTATGTATTAAACATACATTATGTAGGAGCTAAATCTGCCTATTGCAGGTCTTATTTTAGGCCAGAAATGTTTTCTAAATTATTAATTAGACATTAATTAACTTATCCAGGCCATAATCAACTCTCGATGGCATTGGATTTATCCGATATTAAATAGATTAGAACAGTTCAGCCATATTTTGATTTAAGCTAAAAATGGAGGAGCGAGACTTAGCTTCGAACAACCAGTACAGTGGTTGAAATTATTGCACACCTCTTGTCAAACCTTCAAAGGGTAATATCTTCGCTCGCAATAGAGTAATTTGAATGAAATTTTCAAATTATTCATTTTACATTATCTATTTTCGAACTATTATAGCAAGAATGGCTAGCTCTTTATCTAAATCTTGCATAATGTATCTTTAGATAATTATTTATTAATAAAAACCTTGGCATTCTGTAATACACGTTAATTACAGAGTTTAAGACCATACACAGTTGAAAATACTTTTATTAGAAAACATTTTAGTCGAGAAATTATCCAATTCGATCATTCTAAGCTATAAATGGTTATATAAAGCTTTTTTTTTTTTTCTATTGATTTCACACTGCCACCTTTAAGAAATTTTAACAAACTAAGTAATAATAAGAATGCTATCATTTTCATAAAAGCCAGCATATACTTGAGGAAGTTTATTTTTTATACTAGGATGTGCTTGCTCTACATGATAACAGGCTTTTCATTAGATCTATCTTGGTAAAAGGATATTTGATAATGACGGAACTGTTGTAATAACATGCATGGTGTGATTAGATAGTTCTTTCCTTTATTATATTAATGAAGATATATTTATTATTAAAAACTAACATATGATAATGGTAACCTGACTGAAGGCAAATATAATATTGAAAATGTAGATAATTATAGTGCTATTAGGGGGATTTGATTATAATTCAGGCAATTAGCACTGAAAAATAATCTCTAGAACTTGATGTAGGGAGAGATTAAATCAAATTGACTGTTTCATATTAGACATCAAATAATGTCATGAACTCAGTAATGTTTTAAAGAAATATTTTGTTTTTTTGTCTCTTGAAGGGATATGAAAGTTGGACTTTTAAATATATAGATTAATATTTCAGAGTTTATCAAAATCAGAAAAACAAACACTGATGTTGTGAAAATGTCATTTGATAAAATTACGGTCATTTATTTAATGACAAAATTGCCATGAAGTGACGTTATAAGTGAAAATCCAAAATTAATGAAAAATATGAAAAACATTATTAGCCATCAAATAATGTCATGAGCTCAGTAATGTTTTGAAAATATCATTTTGTCCCTTGAAGGGATACAAACGTTTAAAACCTTTTTGATGTAGATTATTATATTATTATAGATTATAATATACTATTCAAAAAAAGTAGGGGATATTTGATTTTTAAGTGTTATTAAAGTCACCTAATGAAACTGACGAAGAAACAAATGACAAAATGAAATGAAGTTCACATTCATCGATTTATTCCAAATGATCGTTAGACTAAGTAAGGCACAGACTGACCATTATAAGGGTAAAATGATACCCGGGGTCATACAGCAAAGTTACCACAGCATCACAACCAAGTCAGTAACGGGTAAATCCTCCTCTGTTTGCCAAACAAGCATTGATCCGACGTGGCATACTCCTAATGAGACGGCTAAGGTCATTTTGGTCCAGATTGTCCCATTCCTGTTGCAACGCAGCAGCAAGTTCTTGGACATTGGCAGGACGTTGTTGATGTTGACGTAACCTCTGTCCAAGCATGTCCCAGACATGCTCGATGGGAGAGAGGTCGGGACTCAGTGCTGGCCAAGGTAATGTGGTGATGTTCTGTTGTTGGAGGTAACCTGTAACGATCCTGGCCCTGTGACATCTTGCGTTGTCATCCTGGAAGATGAAACGGCGGCCATGACGTCGTGCGAACGGCACAACATGGACTGCCAAGATGTTGTCCCGGTAGTACTGGCCTGTAACACGCCCTGCAACAACATGTAAAGCTGTTCTTCCAGCAACAGTGATGCCTCCCCACACCATAACAGAACCACCCCCAAATCGATCATGTCTGATGACGTTAACGTCTTGGAAGCGCTCGTTTCGACGACGCCACACCCTCCTACGTCTGTCCAAAAAATCAACAGTGAACCTTGACTCATCTGAAAACATCACATTGCTCCAGCGTCGATTATCCCAGTGTTGACGATCCCTACACCAACGACGTCTTGCCTGAATGTGATGATCTCTCAAACAAGGGATCACGCGAGGACGTCGGGCGCGAAGGTGACCCCTATGCAGTCGATTCCGAATCGTCTGGCCACTCACTCTCACACCAGTGTCTGTTTGAAGACGAGCGCTGATCTGATTTGCTGTGATGACACGATTTCTCAAGGCCAAGGTACGGATAAATCGCTCCTGGGCTTGAGTTGTCGCCCTTGGTCGACCTGAGCGTGGTCTGTCCTGTACAGATTGTGTATCACGGTATCTGGACCATAGCCTGCTTATGACAGACTGAGAAACATTCATCGTCCACGCCACAACCGCCTGTGTTGTGCCGATCTGTAGCATGCCAAGGGCACGTAACCTTTCATTTTGGGTAAGCCGACGCATATCAAAATTTGTTTTCTGTTCACTAAAACAATTAAACTGATCTTTCCACCCTGGAATTCAATGCCACAATGACTGTAACATTCAAAGTCAGAGTCGTGCAAATCTTGGGTTGGACCCCCATGATGATCCCAAGCATCACCTGCATTCCATGCGGTAGCTATTGGTGCGTTTGGGCGTCACATGTAACTGGAAATGTTTCTTCTGTTAGGTTCTATAGTGACTTTTTTCGTAGTCATTTGCATATTTTAGTATTATGCCCCCAAAATCAAATATCCCCTACTTTTTTTGAATAGTATAGTATGCCAACATCAAAGGGTGATCACATCTGTACTTTAATACTAGTTGTATATAAAGTTACAACAAGCCAGATATTTTAAATATATCTCAAAACTCCAAAATATATATTATTTTATAATAAAGACTGGTGTTATTATGTAATATGTAAGCACATTGAGTATAAAAGTCCCTTCACAAAGTAAGGTCTAGGTGTTTCACTTTATTCATCTAACACACATCAGTTTGAACCCAATAGAAACCAACGTGAACTTTAAATGGCCCAATCTAGACACGTTCAAGTTAGACTATATGTCACATTTGATGTAGATCTAACCATTTTAACTTGTGATTTATGGTGTAACAAACCATCAAGAAAACTGAAAGTAGGTCATGATTATATTTTCAATAACGAGGAGACTATTTGATATATGATATTGATAATTTGATATTACCCCCCTTGAAACTAATGGGTGATATGTTTCTAGTGTAGATATGTTTGATTGATTTCTGTACACTATTTATCATTCTGTTCAATAGTTCATCAAATTACTGTAGCCTTAAATCAAACTGTTATTATGAATGGTGTGGAATATTTATGTGGGTATATAGTTTCTGTCTTACAAACTCATATTATATGTTTTTCTTTTCTTTAACAGGAGGCAACTGAACCAATAATGTGCTCATATAAACTGGTGAAAGTAAAATTTGAAGTTTGGGGTCTGCAGACAAAAGTTGAATCCTTTACGCAAAAGGTGAGAACTATGCTAATAGTATTTTGTTCGGCATTAAAGCAGTTGTCTGAAACGTGGATTTAAAGATATTTTTATTCAAGCATAATTAGGGTGTCTGTTTGTTCAACTCATAAAACCAAATTTATGTCTGAAAGTATGAGATATACAAATATTTTGACCAGCAAAAAAAATATCCAATATCCTTATCAACATTATCTTAGCAGTTGTCTGAAATCTGGATATAGAAATATGTTCATTCAAGCATAATTAGGTTGTCTGTCTGTTCGTCCTACAAAATCTATTTTTGTGTGAAAGTATGAGATATAATGACCAGCAAAAATAAAATTATAAAATTCAGTTGAATGATAAGCCCACAATAAATTATACAAGTTAAATATTAAAGAAAGTAAACCGCTATATGTAAGATGGCAACAATATGTCTTATATCTTTCCTGAAAAAATGGTTCATCTGATTGACTATAATATTTGGGGTTTTAATTTGTAACAAGGCCAAACCAATAACTTTCAATTCTTCAGGGCCTTAATAAATAAATAGCTATTTGAATCACTAGAAAGTTATTTAGTTTAAAATTTGGGACTAAAAGCTTTATAATACGTTGTATAGTGGAACCAAGTACTTTTGGTTTTTAAATTAGTCTTTTTCCCGAAGAACAGAAAGTCAAATTGATTAATTTTACGTATATTTCAGTCTATTAGAGATATCTTACTCTTGGGACACAAACAAGCTTTTGCATGGATTGATGAATGGATTGGTAATTATATATATATTTTTTTTGATTAAAAAGATTACATTGCAGTTCAGGTCTTAAAACTTGATTAGCCCAGTTGGTGCAGAAAGTAATATTTTGAACTCAAAATGTGAATTAATGCTAAAAATGTGAAAATTACTAGGATCACAACAATGGGGTTGTTGACTTGTTGTCGAACCAAAATGGCAGAGCTGTTTGTTATAACCTGTGACACAGAGCCCATTACTGACAGACCCATCTGGGAAAGTTTGAAAATCGATAAAGAAAACCCGGCAAATTTGCACAGTGCTATGAATCAAGAATTGTAAATGACTCATGGCTGCATTAATTATATAGCACAACTACATCTTACCTGCACATTTTGGGGGCCATTATTGGTTCATAGAGTATAGTGCATGCATATTAACCAATAGATCCCAGGTTGGATCCCTCTGTTGGCCAACAAACCTCTTCCTGATTTTCCAGCCCGGTTTCCTCAATAGTGAAAGATGGAAGATCTGGCTGCCAGCATGTCAAAATCTGACATGTTGAAGAAATTGAAATAACAGTAGACCATAGCACCACTGTTCGAGGAAACATTTGCCTGGTAGCACACTGCATGGCATGTGCTCATCTTCATTAGTTTGGTTGGGGCTAAAAAATATTATGTTTAAACTCCATTTCATTGATCTTATTGAATTACTTTTCAGGAATGACAGAAGAAGATGTTAGAGAGTATGAAAAACAGATGCAGGAAGAGACAAATAAACGGGTCTTAGGCTCACGCTCAGGTTCAACATCATCACATTAAACTAAGTGATATACTCTCTCTCTATTTGACACACTGTCTCCACCTACAATCAAAAACTCAAATATAATAACTCAATCTTCCTTACGTTAGAATGACTAAACCTCTTTGATTTGGTCAAAAATAAATTTTTTAATTTCATAAGATTTGATGGTGATTTTTTTTATTCGGAATGGCAATCTGTCTTCATTGAAAATTTTACATCAAAAGATAAAGTCAGCTTTTATTTTAAGACAGAAAACAGATTTTATGTTGGAATGTCAACATATAAGTCAAAAATGAGTAAATAGTCTAACTTTCCCTTTTTTTTTTGCTAACTAATTGTAATAGGACATCAGATCAACAGAACAAACTTTATTTTATACTAAATCAAAGAGTTTTAACTATTTAAAACTTTTAAACATAAACCATTAAAGCATTTATCATGATTGTTAAGAATAGTTTTTAAAAACTTTTTGTCCAAATACATTTTCAGAGAATAACATATTTTTGAAGATTGTTACATTACAATTGTGATAATGAAATTTGGCCATCGAGAGAAACGTTGTTTCACAATTTGTTGAATTGTTTCAAAGGCATTTAAACTATTTTAGATGGTTTTTTTTATTCTTTAATGGTTGACCATCTTGTCATCTGACATAACACAAACTTTTAATCTTCAATGACTCCAATTTTATTTGCATTTGATGACATTAAGGTACACATATATGTATTTGTTAGTCCGTATTCTGTGTATCACAACCTCTAAAGATCAGAAAGTAGCACCATTTCTTAACATAAATGTACGTCAGCATTATGTGTAGTGTGTAGAGAATTGTCAATTTTAGAGATTTTGCTGTTGCAATGTTTTGAATAGTTTTAGATAAGTAATTTTTTTTTCCTATAAAAGGTATGTAGAAAGTTGATTCTTCTGAAAGAGACTTAATGTAATTCAACATTTCATTGTTTGAAAGACATTTTCAAAAATTAAGTGTTGATTAATACAGATCTCAGGCCTAAAAATTGGACGGTTTCTGCTGCAAGAATCGACTAGGATTCTCCTTCAACAGTTTAAAAGCATCAGAGACATCCTTAAGATTACTAGTAAAATTTTGTTTTATATTATAATAACTAGGCTTATTCGCTAAGTATTGCAATAATTTAATGTCTAACAGTAACAAAAATGATTTTGCATTTTTGAAACCTTGGCATATTTGAATCTTAAATTTTTAGGCCAGGGATATTGAGGGATCAAAAATGAAAATGATGGTAATGTTTTATGTGATATTTATCATGGTATCAATCACATCAACATCAGACTTGATTGTTTTGAAAATTGGCCTCAAGGTATGTCTTTGATATTGAGAGTTACTACTTGTTAAAATTTTGAATTGTAATATTGTTATTAGAATCTTGTTAGGGTCTTGTTTTGGTTACATTATCAGAAACTTTCCCAACATTTGCAAACTTCATGGCACATTCCTTCCTTGTTGACAAGTAATGAGATGATTGTAAATATATAATTATTGTGATAATAGTATTATAACACTCAGTGTTCATCATACAGTATACTGTGGTCTAGCTTACACTCTGGTCTAGCTTACACTGTGTTCCAATTTTACTCCGAAGTCTAATTTTACTCCGAAGTCTAATTTGACTGTGAAGTTTAATTTGACTGTGAAGTCTAATTTTACACTGAAGTCTGATTTGACTCTGAAGTCTAATTTGGTGCCGAAGTCTAGCTAAATAATCAGATCTCTTTGTGTTTCATCATTGAAAAGGATCTAAATGACCAACAAACGTAATTTTGTTTCAAAAATCTGTTTAAAAAAAAAAAGAATCAACGTCCAATATCTTTATCCAGATCAGATTCCTTGTATTGAGGTTAAACAAGAACACAGTCAGACCACTGACCTAACTCTGAAATGCAGTGTAAACCTGCCGAAGATAAAAATAGTCCCAACATGAACAAATTATCTTATTATAGTTGGTAATGAAAAGTTCAAGTTTTATATTATATAATATTTGACTTTAAGGATGATATGTTCAAAAAAATAAAACCTTTCTTTTTTTGTTAAATAGAAAAAAATATTCAGATAGAACTTCAAAATATCTTGGGAATACTGAAAATATATTGTGATTAATCTTAAAGTGTTTCTTAAGTAAGTGAAAAAGCTAAGGTGATTGGAATTCCACGTCTTCATTAACTTAACATATTTTAGTCTTATGAACAATACATTTTTAATTTTTTAGTTTGTAATACCTGTTCTGTCCTAGGCCCCTGTTTAGTAGTAGATGAGAGGGAAAATTCACTACATTTCTCCACTTTCTCAGTAGTGATGTTGGGTGGCAGAAGGATCTATGGCGTGCACTTTAGATCATAACGTCTCTGAGTCATGTGACATGGTTGCGATTCTCAGGTTGTACATGAGAAGCAGTAGCGTCGCAGGCCAGACCTCATGTTTTTTCGTTGGGTACTCTTGTTTCCTTCCACTGCTACAGATTCCTACTCGCAACCGAATTATTGAAATGTCCTATCAAATAAAGATTTTGAGAGGGATGAATTTTGCTCCAAAGGGGAGCAGGAGAATAGGAGGAAAGAGATTCTGACAAAAATTTATCCAGGGGCCCTGAGCAGGAGAGGAGGGCCAAAGAGATTCTGACAAAAATTTATCCAGGGGCCCTGAGCAGATCCGATATTTCAGACTATTCTTGTTATATTGATGTTTTAGGAGTCAGTGATATCAATGTTCTATCAATGTTTTTGTATATTTGAATGTTGTCTGTGATAAGGTTTATAAATATGTTAATAATGAGTAGTTGTCATGATCTACAAATAATGAAAACAATAAAAAAAAACCATTCATTGAAAATATTATGTTGAATATCAGACACTTCTACCAATTAATCTATCTTACATTTACCCTTAATTGAAATATTCTTATGCTAGACCCAAAACCCTTTATATCTATATACCATGATCTATTTATTATAGGTATATATCCTGACAATTGAGAGTCTAAATACGTAACCATTCATTGAAAAATATATTCAAACTCTTTTTTTTCCAGTCGTAAGAAATATAGTTTTCAGGTTGCAATCGATGACATAATTAATGTTGAGGGAATATATATCTTTAATACATTCTTTACTTTTTAGATCCCCCCATATAAAAAATAAAATACAAAAAAAATATATATCTCCCTGTCCTGATTTGTTATTAGAAATGTTATTCACGAGATGAATATTTTGTGGTATATATATATATGTATGTATAGTTGTCTTTTTGAATCAATTGTACCAACATGTCAATAAATAGGCCATAAACTAGCTCAATTAAATGGTAGATCTATTTTGTAAACTTATGTGTTTAATATATAAGTAATAAGTACAGGAGGGATGTATAGATGGAATGTTGTGACAAGATATTTGACAACGATTCTGATGATTGACAATGATTGATGTGCGTCCATGCAAGTGACAATAGTATAATAAATATATGGTTGTTATCCTCTGTATTGTCAAGTATTATAATCATGTTATATTATTAAATGTCGTACATAGAAAAGTGTTAATATACCTTTATCCACTGGCAAGTTGTGAGAAAATGAATATAAGGGCATAGTAGTGGCGTGCGGAGGTATGTTTGTGCTTTGTTGCGACGTTAAATTCTGCAACTCCCTTAGTTAAACGGGGAAAGAATCTGTGAGCAAAAATATAACAGGGCAATGTTTATTGCTCCCTGGCGAAATGTCAAATTTTGCACCTCCCTTCTCGAATTTAGTCCGGTGAAGGACAAATTTATCAAGGTAGCCAATATGAATTTTGGACTTCCTGTGGGCTGTGCCCGAAGTTGTCACCTACCCTATCTCTACTCCTCTGTACGCTACTGGTTTATAGGGTTGTATTTTAATATTTTGTTGAGGTTATACAACTTGCAAGTGGAAGAAGGTGGTGTTATATTTTTAAATCTTTTATTCTAGAATATATTATCTCGTATATATATTATTGTTGTTTTTTTTAAATTTGTGTCAAGTGTTTTGTGTAGAGAAATGTATGTAATGTCTATATATTCTGATAGAAAATAATTATGACATGTATTTTTCTTGCCATACATTATTATGCCATGCATATTGCTAGCACTAACAGCATGTAATATATATTTATAGCTTATGTATCATTAGTCATGCTTAAAGAGGCAATGGGCCAATCACAGGAGATTTGACCTAAAAAATTTATCAGTGAGCTTCAGATAATTACGTTCGAAAAATTTATCAGAGCTTCAGATGATTACATTCAGTAAATTTATCAGAGCTTCAGATGATTACATTCGAAAAAATTTATCAGAGCTTCACATAATTACAGTCTGAAAAATTTATCAGAGCTTCAAATTTGAGTTATTGACGAAATCTCATTGCCTCTAAATAAAATCGTTATTAAATTATTTGTATTGCTACTTATTTATACATGTATTTTAAAAGTCCCATGAACTCACTCATAAAAATGAGGAGTGCATTTTGTCCGAATTTAAATAACTTGGTACCACAGGTGCTTTTAAAAGTGAGTTTTCATATGTGTTATTTGCCCCTGAAATGGATTATCTCCCATATATGAATATAAAGATAAAAGACTTGAGGCATAATATTAAAGTCAACTGTATGTTAATTTGAAAGAGGTTTTCCATTTTACAAGCACCTGTGCTTACCAGTAATTTATAATACCCCAAATTTTCATTCATATCATTTTAAACATGAATTAAGAGGGAAGTACAGATCTTTAATTAACAAAATAAGCTGGAAATAGAATTATGTATGAAAATTGCAAAACTATTATTGAGTAAACATTAGATAACTACACCTCTTTACTGAGGTCAAAATTAAATAAGATGAATATATTAATATTATTTACATAATTGGAAATAGATTTTGAGATATGTTATAAAATATGAATTATAAATCAAGATGCCTGTGAACAAAACATACAGAAACCAGATTGGATATCAGTCGTACTTGGAGGAGATCTCTAATGACTAGTTAGTTATGTGTAATAGACAGTGCAACTCGGTAACACAAGCCTGGTTGGTGCAGAAAAGTCCCATTTCATTTGTAACAAACAACAGCACACAATCCAAAATGTCAAAATTAGTGGCCAAGCCCTTCACAACAACATACCAGTAAATAAAACAATTCATGGATTTTTGTAAGAAACCGAATGTCAAAATGAATACAATAATTGAACAACAACCTTCCATGTTACATGTTCTGAAGAGAGATTCTTCCTTTATCTCAGTATGTAATAAACTTTCAGACATGAAATACGTTACATTATTAATTTGGACTTAATAATAATTTCATTTGGTGCATAATAGTTTATCGACAATAGAAGATTGGAAGGCAGAAAATAATTGCTCATGTGATAAATTTGATCTCAATAATTTGTGGATGTGACTGAAAAATATATTGGGAGTTTATTACACACTGATATGAAGTATATGTACAATATGATACTAGATATTTAACTTTGTGATAGTTGTGGAAATTGTGATCTCTTTTTTCACTAGTTTTTCAAATTTTACGCAGGGCTCTTGTTTCTAAATATTTACCGTCCTCATTAGCCCAGTTGGTGAAGAACAGTAACATGTAAATTTAGATTGAGATATTTTCTAAACTTTTCATTTTATTCCTAATTAGGCAATTTAGAAGATTAAGAAGACTAAGATTCAATATTGTTTGATCACGTTCTGCTGTCTGAATTGGGGAAGTTGTATTTCTAATTGGAACAATATTAATTGTATTATAGCTCGACCACCTTGGTTTTTTTTTTAAATCTCGGATTAAATAGTCCTTCTATAGTTATTTTTTTCGGACATACTACATATTGTATACAGATTCGGTATGATTGTTAAATATGACAGGAACAAGAGCCCTGATAAATGTTGTTCTAGTTTAGAGAAGGTATTTATTGACATATAATATAAGCCATATTATTAAGTGTATAGATATATTGTACTGTTTTAAGACCATTGTGTGTTTTATATCCCTAGTTATTTCCTGCACATAGCTAGATAGACACTGATTATCCACGAGAGAACAAAATGATATTAAACAGTATTTATTTCTGTTATATATTACCTAAATATTATTTATTCAAATCAGAAAACCCTCCTGTTGCTCTGATGGAATTTTACATAATATGTTGCTGGTATCATTGATTAAAGAGCCATTGTCAATTACACTAAATCGCGTGAATTTTGACTTCATATTAATACAATTAAAAAGTTCACTAAAAAAAGTCTTGGTTTTGTTTTTAATCCTATGGATTTTTTGTACTGGTATTTGTAAATTATTCTGATGATTGGTCAAATTATTCTGATGATTGGTCAATTTATGTTCATGACCATTTATGTAGTTTAAAGTAGTAAATAAATGTGTAGAAAATAGAAGAAAATGAATTAATGGAATAGTTGCAATGTTTCAGGGTGATGGTAATTATTTTGGAGATCAAAGTGTGCAATATTTGACTACATTTATAATTGTCCTTTGATGATTCTTATCTGAGTATCAGAAGGGTTTTGTAATCTGATGTTCATTTTAGATTTCTATTTATTTATATTTTAAGATGTGACATCTTTAATTTATAATAGTTATATATCCTCACTATATTTCAGTTCGCTATAATACAGGTTCAGCATGACTTTCAACTGAGCTATGTGTATGTATAGAACATGAAGAAGTGGTTACAAGCATTATCAGCTCATTAACCATTGCTACATTTACTATGATATAACAGTGGGATCATCATCAGTGTTAAAGTGAAACTCATGTATTTAGAGACAATATAATGCATTATGTGATATAACATCTATTATTTTAATTATATAAATAATTTAACATGATTAATAAACAATATATATTAGCGGGTTGGGCATTAATGATATATTTTCTTGACAGTGATAATCCTAAATACATAAACATCAATTGAAAAACATATCTAAACTAGTAGAAACATATCAAGACAAAATTATTTGACACATTAGAAATTGAAATGCAGGTGCCATTTTAATATGTTCAGCCAATAGTAGATGTTTGAGCACTTATAAGTGTCAGTTTGCAGAAATGAAAATTTCATAACGCATTATATGCAGTGAAATCAATATTTGCTTTAAACATGAGGGACCAGTCCTTAATCAGTGTATTTGTTCGAGTTTTTTAATGGTTAAATACTGTTATCAACAAAAATTGATTTTTGAAGTAAAAGTCTACTATTTTAAGATCATAGACAACTGTATCTTCGATTTCAATACAAAATGTTTTCGCTAAATGACTCGAAAAGAAACCAACAATTAAAGAGACATTAGATGACTTGATGATCAAGAATATCTCAATTAATGAAATATGGGAATGTCATGATCTATTGCAGTGGACAGAAAGTGGGATGCTATCTATCTTAATTATCTTTCTTGGGCCCTCCAAAAAGTATTACCTGACAATTCGAAAGTAATTTATTTCATAGACCAAACTCCCTCCCCAGGGAAGTCCTGGCTGTGCTACTTAATGTAGTCCTGATCATGCAATAGGGTAGGGCTGCCGACTTTGTTCTGGCTAATTTTTTAATTTTTCAAGTGGAAGTGGTTCATATTGTAGATTAAAATATGTAAATTGGCAAACGTTTGTGAACTTGGATTCTATTGTCTCTTTAACATTTAAAATAATGTCTTCATTATTTAATGTAAACTAAGAACTAGTCATTTGTAGGGTAAATAATCATAATATCTTACATAGATTTATGCACAAATTTTCATGTATCTTATTATGCACACTATCTTTTATTCGTTACATCATAGGGATTGTTTATTGTTACATGTACTTAGATTAATTCAATACAATTAATTTATGTTAAATGTATGGTTATAAAATGTTTAAAAACATCTTGTTTTGTTTTATTTGTGGTATTCATTCAAATATGTTATCGCCATAAAAGATGTTCAGCATCTGTTAGAGATGGGGATATAGTTTATAGTTTGTGAGCTACCATGGCTTAGTGTGTGTGGTGCTGGTTCATGAATCAAGAAGTCCCGAGTTTGATCCCGTTTTTGGCAAGGAAAAGTGTCTAGTCATTCAGATGGGAAGAAAAGTGAAGTCCTGTGTATACCATTTGTAGCATGTCAATAATATTTCTCATTTAAAGGCAGCTTTAGAAGGAGTGTAATCTTCCTGGGTCAGAGCCTCGTCTAAGGATTTGGTCGTGCGCGGCAAAGTCGGTCGAAGCCCGACTCGCGATCACTGCAGGTGAGAGCCCGCGATGGGGGTCTGTGGGGCCCTCCCCCAGAAAATTTTGAAAATTGACTCCCTTAGACTCTATTTCTGAGCACTTAAAAAATAGTTTCGGAGATTTGATACACTATTAGTTTTGGCATCTTGTTAAACCATGGATTGATTAATACCCTGTAAAATTGAGATCAAAACACTGCTGCGTCTGACCCGCAGACAGAAATATACCCATAAAACAATCAGAAAGACTATTTTGTAAACCTACGCACCATGATATAGTATTGGCACATGGGAAAAACCTTGTCAGCGATTTTCAAAACGGATGTATGTTGCCGCCCAGTCTTCAACTTTTGGGCTCAGTAGGCGGCACAGTTTGACCAGTGCGGGACGGCTCTGTCCTGGGTCGTAGTTCAGGGTATGGACAATGTTTATTAGAGATATTTAATGATACAATAAAGTAAACTGAATTTGGGATCTTCAGTTCACCTCATTAATCTTATTGTGGTTGAACAGAATTAACAAAAAGGCTTATGGCTTATAGTATGAACATACTAGCTCAGTTATTGTGTCTCAAAATGTGTGACAAACAAATTGACAAAAGGTTGGGGACAACAAGTAGGAGGAGGGAGTTTTTTTTATCAAACTTATTTCGTAGTGGTATATCATGATGGTCTATCCACGGTAGCTTCTGTGCAATGTTTGGTAGGCAACTATTGAAATCATAGTGACATATTCATCTGCACTTCATTGAATTCCAACTGTCATGCACACAATTCCTGTGACCAGATCAGCCTTACTACAGGAACTACCTCTAACAAGTGTGAACCTGGAAGCAATTCTTTCTTTAGCTCTTTAACCACTAACTCACCAGGGTTAATTAGACAGGAATCCAAGAGTATTTAGCTATATGGTTATGGTCACAGTACTGGTACAGAGTCTACTGTACTGTGGCCTTAACCATATGGCAGTTGGTAAAAAAAACAAACTTAATAGACTTCTAATGTCTGTAAATAGACTGTCAGATTTTCTGCTGAATTTAACAGAAAAACACCAGGTATTTAATAAAGATTTTTATTAAAGAATATTGGTGAATCAAATATTACAATAGATTTCTGGTAAATGAATATAAATAACTTGTGCTTCTTTTTAAAAATAAAAGTTAAATAATTGGAAACATAAAAATAACAATAAAGATAATATATGTAAAATCTATTATTATGTGGATTACATTAACATTTTAAAACATACAGAAAGACATTTTTACATTTCATGTTAAAATGCTTTCTTCAAACTTAACCATATACACAATATGTATTAAGGTATGTTAAATAATGCTAAATCATTTAGGCCAGTGGTTCTCAACCTCTTTTTGTCAACAGCACACCTTGGAACACATGAAAAAAAAATAGCGGCACACCTGGCTAAATATATATGAAAAATATTAAAATTTTGCAAAATAAAAACATGGCAAGTCATATACCGGATACAGCTGTAGACACAGACTAGTCATAGACACACAGAATGACTCAAACTAAATAAAGAAAAACACAGCTATGAACTTACTTTATTGCAGTGTTTCGAATTTCATCAGTCAAATAGCTGGCTTCTTTAGTGAGAAATTTTCTTAGTGTGCCGTTCAAAATTTTGTGGCACACTTAGGAAGACCTCAAGGGCACACAGGTATGCCGAGGCACACTGGTTGAGAATCACTGATTTAGGCACTGAACAAGTAGGATATACTAATTTGCAGTGTTTTATTTGATTAGACCTAATTGCCAGAGAGAGATTTCTTGGGCCCTTGCTACAGGAAAAGGACAAGGGCTGTAGCATTGACATCTACTTTCAACAAAGCGTTTGAATATATGACAACAACATTATTTCTTTACAATTTAAATACATCTGTACCATAATTACATTTCAAATCAACAAAGGAATTTAGCTTTAACTTACTTTGAAGTGTTCAAACAAGAACAAGTAAGAAAATACCCCCAAAAGCCCTGCAAGAGACATTAATGTTTGTAAACAGATTTATTTACATTAGCTTTGACCAAGGTGATATTGCAGACAATTTAATCAGTCTTTGCTCTGACTGAACATTAATGGTAACAAAAATTCTTGTGGAATGAATCTTTAATAAAATTCTTATATTATACCTGTCCTTGTCTCCCACCTTCCAGATGAAGTAGGAGAATATTGAATAGTCAACTGTCTATTTGTCACACAATAACTCCTTCTAATTGATGTCAAAAGTGAGGTAGATGCCCATTACAAGAATGATTAACTGTTTGGTGACGACAGAGGTGACAATAATATTGATGAGAAATATGAGACAATATCTATAGTATTTATACCAGAGTGATGTAAATAAACCATACATAAATTAACAACACATATAACCAATAAGGTTCATTGAAGTCCCATGCATAAGGAACTGAGTTAAACTATGGGGAAATATAATGATACTCTTAGCATTAAAAAATATATTCTTGATTGCTGCATTGGTTTCACTTTGGCAGTCCTATGGATCAACATAGAAATATGGGTAGAGAGAGAGAAATGGGGTTTAACGTCCACTCGACACAAACTAGGTCATTTCTGGACTAACACATGGTTCAATTTTATTTCAATAATTTGCTTGCACATAGGAGGTCTTTAGCATTAGGAGGATACCGGAGGACCAAGAAAAAACCCACGAGATTGGAAAGGCAACCCTACTCCTTGTCATGTACAACCTGGGAATCGAAACTCTGCCAGTTGACTCAATGACAGACCGTATGATACAGCGCGCAAATGCTAACCATTTGGCCATCCAACCCCCCAATATGGGTAGACATATACAGAAAATAAAATATATAATTATTGTATTGGTGCTTTTTTATAATTTATTAATTAAATTACAAAAATAGAAACTATTATAAATATATCTATAACAAATAATAATACAGAAATAATGGATTTATATACAGTACACATTGTACAGAAATCATACACGGCAAGACGGAAAACATTAAACCTGTCTTCCATAGTGAACTTTGGGTGATTTCAAGTTTTGGCATAAGTTAGTGCTGAACACCAGGGTAATTAATTTTAGAAACATGCTAAAGATCTGTACAACCGCACCTGTAACTAACTGAACACCATGGCAACTTGACCTTAACTAAACATTGCTCAAAGCTAGACCTATTGTAAAGAAACTGTACAAGGTAATAACTATGCAATATTATAAGTATTGTAAATCAACAAATTGGAATGGAATGTAACAAAAAATCTCAACAACACAATACTTTTGTCATGTTAAAGAGTCAAATTGACAAACTGGGGCTAACATATGGTTAATTCTTTTCTCTGGACACATTTGCAAGGCTGGGGGGAGGTGGGTAGGGGAATTTTGCTTGGATGGCGGCATTTACATATTTTCTTCATCAAATTTCAATCAACTGTCAAGACTTCTTTAACATGCATGCCAATGTGTACACATGTGGACCTCAGTGTTCGTACCTCAGTGTATGTCAGCCCTGCAGTGGCCAACACAAAGATTCGAACTTAAGGCATCCTAGCCAAGAGTCCAGTTCCCTGACCGCTTGTCCATCACAGCTGCCTTAACAAATTGTGTTCATGGATGTGTTTTAATCACTATAAAGAATATTACACAATAACTAGATAATTATACAATAACAAACAAGATTAGGCATACAGATTATACAAATATATTATGCAATCACAGATAAATTATTATTATAAACAATAAAAATGTTAATCAAAATATGAATATTACTGATCACATTCTACCACAGACTTTTTATTTTTAAAAAGGCACATGTTGATTTAATTTGGTTGTATTAACGTCCCAATTGTTGTTCAAATCACTTTCAGCTAAATTGGATTAGCATTTATTAATGGCAATATTGATGTATCTATGAAAGGGAAAAACCCATAATAAGTATACCTCTCATAATAAGTGGACCTTATCTTTAAAGCGACGACTTTCTACAGTAAAAAGGAAATTAAGAATTTCAGTTCATGCAAATCAGTCCAATTATGATTAAAATCGATCAATTTTATTGAAAATTATAGCTATTATTGATTTCATCACACCCTCTTTACTGTCACTTGTAGCTATCCATTATCATCGAGATAAAGGCGACATCAAATTCAGGATTTTCTTTTAATTATCTATATTACTATCTAAAGAACATATTTCAGTCCATATTTTTGTTAAATTTAATTAAACATACATTATGCAAGAGCTAAATCTGCCTATTGCAGGTCTTTCTTTAGGCCTGAACTGTTATCTAAATTATTAATTAGACATTAATTAACTTATCCAGACCATAATCAACCCTCGATGTCAACGCTAGCCTGTGATGTTTACTGGATTGGGATACCATTTGCTGCTCCACTTTCATTCTTGATTTACTCATGAAATGGATAATCGAGACTGTTTTTTATGGTACCTACTTTAATAATGATGATCGAGGCTAGGACGAAAATTCAATCGCTAAAATCTTGGTTTAGAGTGGATCAATTTTTACTGAAATTTTCAGCAAATCCCCTTTACATTATCTAGTTTTTAACTATACTCTTCAAAAAAAGTAGGGGATACTGAAATGCAAATACCTATGCCGGTTGTGATATGATAAATAGTCATGGACACTTGACATGCTTTGAGTGTATGTTCACAGATGAAGAACTTATCGCCCCAACAGAACCACTGAGCTGCACATGCGACACGCAATAGCGCCATACATGTGGGAGGGGTTCATTGTTAAATTTGACACTTCAAAGAAGGGTTGATGAAAACTGCCGCGTATCTTTGCTTTAGTGTGTTACGTTTAATTTGATCGGGAGACATGTTCGTCGACGTCAACGGACAAAACTGCAAGAATTGGCCATGACACTGCAAGAGGAGTGGGTCAGATTGCTCCAAATTGTGATTGGACGGCTGATTAGGAGCATGCCACGACGAATTGCTGAATATCTGAGGATTGGTGGAGCAATTACTCATCATTAAGACAAAAATCAAAAACATCCATTTTCACTTTTGACGGCGTATCTCTTTGCAAGTGAAATGGGGCCGTCAGATAAGCCGCCCATATTAACTGTTTATGTTCATGTGTAGGCAATTGGCCTGTTACTAACATACACTGGTTACCTCTAATAAAAACAGCAGTCCATTTCCGCAGTTTTGTATTGTTTTTGAATATCCCCTACTTTTTTTTGAAGAGTATATTATAGTGAGAACTGCCGGCTCTTTATCTAATCTCCCATAATGTATCTTTAAGGAAAATAACTATTGGCCTTCTGGCATTTAGATGCTTTAATGTACTTGTGTCTTTTTTGTACTATGTCTAAAATACAGGATTTTATTAAATACAGTAAAATTGCATAGAGGTTTGTTACAATATCTCTGTGGCAAACTTAATCATAAATATAATTTATAAATGAACACCTTTTAATTAATAAATAGAAAACATTGGTTAGATAAATAACATATAATATATAAGTCCAGCGGCTAAGTCGCAATATATGGCAGAATATTTATATAACAATATAATAAATACTTGTAGGGGTGGGGGCCTCAGCTACATTATAGACTAACAGGTCAGATATAGATATAATATTAGTTATATATTATCTTTGTTAGAAACAAGTTCTTAGTTTACATGATTCATCAGGTCTAATTCATGAAATATATACAATTAGCTTTTCTAAAAATCGCTACAATTGGCATAACACAAAGTTTTTTTCCTGTACCAGAGCCCCAAACTTTTGATGATAATATGATGTATTTGAAATAAAGTAATAAAAATATTTAATAACATGTAATATATTGATAATAAAATAACAATAATTATATAGATATATTAACTTCTAGTGTATTAACATAACTTAAACTGTATATGTGTTTTAAAACCTTATATGTTGATAAACTAGAAGTATACCATATAACTATGCAACACTTTATGTAATTTCTACTTGTATATATATGTTCTACAAATAAAAGGTAATTTATGACAATACATTGGATCATAACAAATATAAAATGTTAATATAATAGATAACAAAGGAAAACTGCACAACAGACAAAACTACATACTGTAGCATACCAACTGTGCCTAAAGCCGTCAAATTTTGAAATGAGAACATGGCAGTCTAAAAAGCAGGTACTGTGAAAATATAATTTAATAAAATCACATGGTAAGAAGTTATCTGTAAGTCAAGGCTTTGATTTTCTATCTTCACAAGAGTGTTCAATTTCTATATTCAATTTGGTTTTTTGAATATAATAAATCATTATAATTCAACGATTATAATAATTTACATGTGGTCATGAATAAAATGGGATTTTACATTCCAGGTTAAAATCATTATAGAACCTTTGAATTTACTCTTCTTTTGGGAGACCTTATAACACCATTCTCATCACCCTCCTCTAACTGCTTTTTGGCAAATTCCAAAAACACCTGAAAATTAAAAAATAAGGTTGACTTCAGGTTATAAGTAAATCACTGAGTCATACAACAACCACAGTCAAACTGATTCATAGATTAAGTTTTTAGTTGGTTACTTTTTTTCCTTTCTGACGAGGATTGGCTGACTGAGAAATCAGTCAATTAGCATTGAAGCTTATTAGGAAATTCAAATATTTTCTTAAAGATACATTATGGGAGATTAGATAAAGAGCTGGCAGTACTCACTATAATAGTTAAAAACTAGAAAATGTAAAGGGAATTTGCTGAAAATTTCAGTCAAATTGATCCACTCTGAACAGAGAAATTAGCGATTGAATTTTAGGCCTAGCCTTGATCATCATTACTAAAGTCGGTAAACTGATGGTCTGCCAGGAAGGTCTATTTTACTTCCTATTAAACAAGCCAACAGTGAGGCTGATGTCCCCTATCGCAATCCCAAAATAAATAGAAGACACATATTAATTAATTGCGTATTTATCTTTTTGAAAGTACCTGGTAGTGAAACTATACACTAAGTTTCATCACTCTCCATCAGTTAGAATCACAGTTATCTTGTCCCAAAGCATCGGTCAATGGAATTGCTTATCTCTGCTTAGCTTTAGCAGAAAATGTTAATCATTGAACTCAGTCAAGACATTCACCTAATGAACATCTACACCAAGTTTAAACATTCTACCTCAATTAAAAACAGAGTTGTCATGTTCTAAAGTCTAGACCAATCACAACTTAGCCTAAGCAGAAAATTCTCATCATCGAACTTAGCAAGGTATTGCTTATCACAACTTAGCCTAAGCAGAAAATTCTCATCATCGAACTTAGCAAGGTATTGCTTACCACAACTTAGCCTAAGCAGAAAATTCTCACCATCGAACTTAGTAATGGTATTAATAATGAATCTGTACTTTGGGTTTCATCACTCTCACCCAATTAGAACCAAAGTTATTGTGTTCCTAAGTCTGAACCAATCAAATTGCTTATCACTGTTTAGTCTTCGTGGAAAGCGCACATGGTCGAACTCCATCAAGGCATTTACCTAATAAACACCTACACCAAGTCTGAACATTCTACCTTAATTAGAAGGAGAGTTATTGTGTTTCAAAGTCTCGACCAATCAGAATGAAGTATCTACTTAGCCTTAGCAGAAAATGCTCATCATCGAACTTAGTCAAGGTATTGATGTAATGAAACTATACACAAAATTTCACAACTCTCACTCAATTGGAATCAAAGTTACCAAGCTCCAAATTCTTGACCAAACAAATTGCTTATCGCTCTGTTTACCCTGAGCAGAAAATGGTCATTGTCAAACTTAGTCACAGTATTGATGTAATGAAACTATACACCAAGTTTCATCACTGTCACTTAATTCGAACCATATATGGTGTCCCAAAGCATCTACCAATCAAATTACTCATCTCTGCTTAGCCTAAGCAGAAAATGCTCATCTTCGAACTCCATCAAGGCATTCACCTAATAAACACCTACACCAAGTTTGAACATTCTAGCTCAATTAGAAGGAGGAGAGATTTTGTGTCCCAGAAAGTGTGACAGATAGACAGATCCATTTTAAAAAACAAAAAAATATGTTATTGCTCTTCTAAAAAGCTCTTAGTTTCAAATTTTTAAGTTTTGAAGTTTTAAACTATACACTGTTCGCAAGGGTCAAGTGGCTATTTATTAGCAAGACCCCAAAGAACTAAACCACAGTAAATGATATTACTCAATATATATTACCTGTTCTAAAGTAGATTGACTGAAACTATATTCTTCTACTCCCATATTCTGTTTGGCTACAAGAAAACAAACACACCAACAAATTATATCAATAAAGTAGCTAAGTCTTTAACTCAACATTATCCAATTATTATCTGTCCTGCATCAATGACAAAGGGAAACTAGACCAGATTGCAAAATCCTGAGGAACATTTTTCGGCCAACACCAGGAATCTGGGAACTTCTAGTTAGTGAGTAGCATCTTACTCACTAATTCACTGTGGCTCCTCTATAAAACATTATCTGCATGGTGTATGTAAAAGTATATGTATTGTAAAACAATAATTACCATTTTCAAGTGAAGCAAAAGCTTGAGCTAACGATGTGACATCTTCTCTAGGTATCTTATATTGACCTCTATCACCAAATCTTTCAGCACATATATAATGCGGAAACATATGTTTTATCTCCTCTTCTAGTTCATCCATTTTCTCTTCTACATTAGCAACTTGTTTTATTTTTATTTCCAATAAATAACCACTGCCATATTTATCTTTCAAATGTTGACTGGGTCCTAGACATCTGTTTAAATTAATTTGAAAAACATGTTTAAAGATTAAAGATCTTTAACTGATTTTTCACTGCATAATTGACACAAACATTTACTTAAACATACATTATGCAAGAGCTAAATCTGCCTATTGCAAGTCTTTACTAACGTTTCAGATGTTATAGAAATTATTAATTAGACCTTTATTTACATGACAAGCTCAAAATCAATTCTGTAGACCCTCGGTTGGCTTGGATACAGCTTGGATTTAAACAGCTCAAAATCAACCCTGTAGACCCTCGGATGGCTTGGATACAGCTTGGATTTAAACAGTCGTCCATTTAAAATTAAATCAAGAAATGGCCGACCACCGGAAACCGGTTTTCAAAGGCCTACCAAGCGAGGGTACCATAGCCACTGAGAATGTTACTTGATAATTGAGAATATGTGGGTGGAATTATCATCTGTCAATCAAACGATCGACAATTCTCGTAGACATTGTGGACACAGTTGATGCCCATTTCTAGTCCAAACTTTCAACAATGACAACTCCGTTCAAAATAAAGTAATTGGACTGAAATTTTCAATGTTTTCTTTTTTTATCATCTATTTTTGAATTCTTAAACTCTTAACTAATGTATCTTTAAGAAAACAAAATCAATCGCAGATATTCTTTCAGCATGATTTTTTTAGACTGATATCCCATTTAAAGATTGAACTTTGAGAATATTTTAGATTGCAGGGGATTCAAAATCTCTCAAATGATGATCATGTCGTTATGGTAAACTAAATATCTCAGAGATAACACTCCATACTTTTATTTATTCTCAATACAATCCCGCTCACATCTTCGTCTTTAATTTTTAAATAAACTTCTAAACTTGTAAACTGTCTGTTTATTGTACATGAAAGTAAATATTTAGCATTCATAATATATATATTTAAAAACTTACTCTAATTTTCCATTGACCATAATGGCTAATCTATTACAAAGTGCATCTGCTTCTTCCATATAATGAGTGGTCAATATAGCTCCCTTTTCTGTAGATGAGAAACTTGCAGAAATCGTATCCCTGATATGGACAAAAATGATTTAAATTAAAACAAAAGCAAAAAAGTTATTGCTAGAAAGAATGTATTAAAATCTGAAAGCAACTGATCACAAAATGATCTGATCTAGCAAAATGTTGATACAATTTAGAAAGATATATTAGAGTTGTCAATCACTTTGGGTGAAGGATATAACAAAACCATAACTTTGTTCTAATTTAGAGGTTGTTAGGCGACTTACCACAAAAATCGTTTAGATTGTGGATCCATACCAGTTGATGGTTCATCCAATAATACGACTTCTGGACTTCCTAACATACTTACAGCATAACACAGCTAGAAAATATATAAACATACAATTATTCTAGATATGATTTACTTGTAGCACAACACAGCTAGAAAATACATAGACATATAAGAACTCTAGATATTGTAACTTTCTGTATTATAAATGACTGTTAAAACTGTATCCAAATAAAAATAAGGGAAATTTTACATATTGGGTAATATACTGTTTAAAATGAATGAATGAATGAATGAATGAAATATGGTTTTATGGCACGTCAGCTCCAACCGGGCTATATTGCGCCAAACATATGGTGAATCTGAGACAAATTAAAACAATATCACATAAATGAATTTATATATGTAAATAAAAACAAATATCACAGAAAATATATTAATTAAAAATAAATATAACAAATCTTTTACATATATAAATATTTAAAACGATATACATGATTAAATATATACAATTAAAATTGATTATAAAAGTTTGTCTCTTTTAAAAATGTTAGCACTTTGTCATATAGCTCCGGTTGAGCAAATAGCTGACGTACTGACTGGCAACGGTAATATTTAGATCTAATGTTCTTGAGATGTTTGCACTTAATCAAGATGTGTTTCACTGTCAAAGGAACATGACAGTGAACACATTCCGGTTGAGGCTCTCGCTTCAAAATGAAAATATGAGTTAAAAAAGTATGACCAATGCGAGAGCGACACAAAACAACTTCATCCCTCCTGTTGGTTCTATAGGAGTTGGGCCAATCTCCTAGGAGAGGCTTAATGTGATGAAGTTTATTTGTGCCTGCCAAATCCCAAGACCGTTGCCAGCGGTCATAAATAAAATGATTTATACACGAATTAAAATCTTTATATGGTATTAAAAAGGGTGATTGGGGAAGATCTAAAGCAGCTTTGGCAGCAAAATCTGCTTGATCATTCCCCCTTATATCTACGTGACTGGGGAGCCAGCAAAAGACGACGTCTTTACTGTTGAACTCGTATGATAATAGCAGATGATAAACATCTGCTACTAATGGGTGTTCAAGCTGTTTGTTGTTAATTGCTTGAAGCGAGGACAGAGAATCAGTAAAGATGATATACTTTAAAGATGAAGAGGATTGTATGAACTCCAAGGCCTGAAGAATGGCCTGGAGCTCAGCTGTAAATATTGAAGCAGCAGGTGGAAGACACACAGAAATGGTCTCAGATGGCGTCACGGTAGCCGAGGCTACCCGATCACCATCTTTAGAACCATCTGTGTAAATAGGAGCATAATCACCATACTTAGACCTTAACTCTCTAAAGAGAGATTGGAACACCGTAGAGCTAGTATCTCTCTTTTTATGTTGAGTTAGATCGAAATCGATCTTTGGGGGAGATATAGCCCACGGTGGAGTCCAAAAGACAGGGGTATTCGCAATACTGTCAAGGCTGATACCAGCCTCAGACAAAAGGGTTTGTATGCGAATGCCGAATGATGGAATAACATTAGTCTTCACCAGATACAAATGCTCATAAAGAGGTCTAAATATGGTGTTAAATGAAATGTGATTCGGAAGTGATGCTATTTTCGTAGCATACTGCAGGGCCAGTTTATCACGTCTGTTGTGCAATGAGGGCTCATGCGCCTCGACGTATAAACTGTCCACTGGAGATGTACGAAATGCTCCTAAACTGATTCTAAGTCCCTGGTTGTGTATGGTGTCGAGCTCTTTGAGATAAGACTCGCGGGCAGACCCATACACAATACACCCATAATCGAGTTTTGATCTTATTAAAGCTCGATATAATCGGAGCAAGACCTTACGGTCTGCTCCCCAGTCAGTATTTGATAAGACTCTCAATATGTTGAGGGCTTTCAGACATTTCTTTTTTAGGCTTTTAATGTGGGGGATAAATGATAATTTCTTATCAAATATCAGCCCCAGAAATTTGGTTTCATCCACAACTGGAAGGCGGTTGCCATCCAAATAAAGTTCTGGATCTGGATGCAAACCTCGTTTCTGACAGAAATGCATGCAGACAGTCTTGGATTTCGAAAAACGAAATCCATTTTCGGTTGCCCATTGTTGAAGTGAATTCAAATAAAGCTGCAACTTACGTTCGATTATCCGCATGTCTGTAGAACCATAGCACATCTGAAAGTCATCAACATAAAGAGCGCCGTTTGTACCTGGTTTAAGGCACGCTGGGATAGTATTAATTTTAATTGCAAACAATGTTGGAGATAAAATACTTCCCTGTGGAACTCCCATTTCCTGAGGAAATGGGTCAGAGAATATTGATCCCAGTCGTACCTTAAATGACCTATCTTCCAGGAAATTTTTAATGAAGATAGGTAAGCGACCTCGTAGGCCGAGGTTATGGAGGTCGCGCATGATACCGTGTTTCCACGTTGTATCATATGCTTTCTCCAGATCAAAAAATATTGCAACTAAATGTTGCTTCTGGATGAAAGCATCCCTGACGAACGTTTCAAATCGAACGAGATGATCAAGAGTGCTCCTTTGGGACCTAAATCCACATTGGAGGTCAGTAATGAGGTTGTTGGACTCTAGGTACCAAACAAGCCTTCGATTGATCAATCTCTCCATGGTTTTGCAAATACAGCTAGTTAAAGCGATCGGACGATAGTTGGTAGGATTCGTATGATCTTTACCGGGTTTAGGGATGGGAATTATTGTGGCTTCATGCCACGAAGGGGGGAATTTCCCATCAACCCAAATCCGGTTAAAAAGATCCAGTAAAATTAAGAGAGTGGAAAAAGGTAAATGTTTAAGAATTTGGTAGTGTATTTCATCTGGCCCAGTTGCAGTATCTCGAACTCGCTTTAGCGAATCCCGAAGCTCTGCATTGGAAAAGGTATCATTATAGCATTCATCATTGCGGGACTTGAAATTAAGTCGCCTTTTCTCCTGTTGTTGTCTAATGCCTCGAAAGGCATCGGAGGAGAAATTGGATGATGAATTAAATGAAAAAGTACTGGCCAGAGAATTAGCAATATCAGGAAATGTTGTTAAGGTGGTATTATCAACATTTAAATGATTACTGATAATGCACTACTTTTACCTTTAATCCTACGAATCCTATCCCATACCGACTTAGATGTGGTACGGGAATTAATCCTTGAGACGTAACCTTGCCATGAAGATTTCTTTGCTTGACGTATGGTTCTACGAGCCTTCGCCCGGACCATCTGGTATGCCGCAATATTCTCCATGGAAGGATGGTTCTTTAATCGCCTCAGGATGCGATCACGCTCTTTAAGAGCGGATTTGCAGTCATCGTTGTACCATGGTTTATTGAAACGTTTTGGTGTAGTCGTGGTTTTTGGAATCGCCTGCTCAGCCACATCTTGAAGAATTGAAGTGAATAAGGCCATGGGCTCATCTGCATCTTCTAACTCCTTTGTATCAAAAGAGAAGAGACACAGAGATTCAAATAGAGCCCAGTCAGCCTTATGCAACTTCCACCTCTGAGGTCTTTCGACCGGAGAGGGACCATTGTTTTCAATTACAATAGGAAAATGGTCGCTACCACACAGATCTTCATTTACCCTCCATGTAAAATCCTGAAACAGGACCGGAGAGCAAATGGTGAGATCTAAGGAAGAAAAAGAAGCTGTGGCAGGATGTAGATAAGTAGGCGAGTCATCATTTAATAAACACAAATTATTAATATTAATGAAGTCCGCTATTTGTTTACCTCTGTTGTTATCATCTGGACTACCCCAGAGTGAATGATGACCATTGAAATCTCCTGTAATAATAAAAGGGAGAGGGAGTTGTGCAACAAGGTCAACAAGATCTCTGGGATTAAGATGTAAACTTGGTGGAAGATAAATAGAACAGAGTGTAATAGGAATATGCAAAGTCACCCTTACCGCAACTGCCTGTAAAGGCGAGATGAGGGTGACTTGACTCTGAGGGATATCTCCATTAAGAATAATAGAAACACCCCCATGAGCTCTACCATCACCAACTGCATGATGATGGTAACCAACAAAGTGTCTAAAAGACAAAGTGTCAGAATTCCTCAAGAATGTTTCCTGTAAACAAATAGCTAAAGGGTTGTAATTTTGAATTAAAAGTTGAACTTCATTAAAATTTGGTTTTAAACCACGACAATTCCATTGAATAATGGAATTGACCATTGTCAGGGATAGTTAATTTTTGGCGGCTTACTGACGGGGTCCTTATGGACATCCGCTACAGTAATGCCGTCCATCAGATCATCCCCATATCTATTATAGAGAGCAATAGGGTTTTGTGAACCCTTTTTCTCTCTATCACGCATCTTTGCCAATTTCTTTTCTTTCTTAGAAAGAACTTCTTGTGTAGGTGGAATACCCTTTGGCTGCGAACTTGACCCAGCAGAATTGGAATCAAGAGTAACAACTTCAGGGGGCAAGGGAGCGGGCTCCTTGCCGTTCTGGTTAGAAGTGTTGGGAATGGTCCCAACATCTTCAGTTTGAGGCAAGGAAGATGAGTCCTTGCCAGACAAAGATTTAATAATTTTATCCGAGCTCTCACTCGTTTGAGAAGAGCTGGATACCCCTTTATTATGATCTGATGTTAAAAGTTTAGGCATTTTCTCTTTTCTGGGCCAGGTTAGGTCAGTCTGAACAGAAATTGATTTTGTAGAAACTTTTGCAGCACTTGCGAAAGATTTCCCTTGTTGTGCAATGGGAAAAATTGCTGTAAGCTCTACTTGCTTTCTAGCATCAAAATATGGTATTTTCCGTTCAGACATAATCTGTTGGATTCGTTTCTCTTTCTGCCAAATGGGACATTCGCGAGAGTAAGCAAAGTGCTTACCCTTGCAGTTAACACAACAAAAATCCGCCTGGCAGGTAGCACTCTCGTGGCCATCAAGACCACAACGAGCGCAGGTGTCTTTACCTCTGCAGACGGTTTTGCTGTGTCCAAACTTTTGGCATTTGTAACAGCGAAGAGGGTTGGAAATGTACGAATCAACAGGTATGTTAAGATAACCTGCCTTGAGAGTCTTTGGTATTTCGGGACGATTGAAAGTGAGGATATAGGTGCTTGTAGCAATCACCTTATCTCCCCGGCGTACGCTAATCCTTTTTACATGCGAGACGCCTTGAGAAGAAAGGTATTCCACCATTTCATCCTCACTGCTGCCTTCAAGATCCCGACAGCGAATAACTCCTCTACTTGAATTTAATGACCTATGCGGCGACACCTTGATAGGAATGTCTGCTAAGGATGTGGATTTAAGCAGCATGGTTGCATGCTGTTCCTTAGCACATTCTATCAGGAGTGTCCCGTTTTTTAGTTTTTTGATAGCCTTGGGCTCACCAGCCAAGCCAGCTATGCCCTTGGTTATCAAAAAGGGTGAAATTTTTGAGAGGTCGGTAGAGGGACTCTCAATTAAGAGAAACCTCGGCCATGCCTTCATAATTTTTTGGGGGGTATTAAATAAATTCGAAACGTCCTCTGTATTAGGACGTTTCTGTTTTTTATTTCTTTCTTTAATTGATGTGGGGGGGATTGGGGAATCCATAAATATGTTTTTTTAAATTCACCCCTCGTCGTCCCCCAGGTTACTTCCCTGCCTACCAGGGGGAGGACTAGCACGGATATCCGGTGCATGGCCTCAGGGCTCGACGAGGGGTATACTCAAGCCAGAAAGTATAAATACTTAGCCAACCTGATTGACCCAAGCCGCCGCTCTGTAGAATGTACTCAGGACACAAAGGTAAATTTGCTGAGTGAAAACAACAAAGCAATGGAATTGGAAAAAACGTACATTCTACAGAGCTAAAAACGACCAAAGCCGATTGATCAGAGTGGGCCACTCTAACCTCCCGTCTAGGTGAACCATGGGCCAAAGTAATGTGTTGCAGAGAAAGGGCTCGCAAACCAAATCCCCACTCAATTACCAGGATTCCACTCTCCACCGACACGGGTCGCAACGCACGGCAAACACGTTGCCCCATTACGGGATCCTTTTAGTCGCCTTTTACGACACGCAGGACATACGAAGGGTATATTCTTATCACCCCCTACACCCCAGGGGGGATACTGTTTAAAAACCATGTGACAAAATATAAACCTGCATTTCATAAGCAAGGTCATTTGCAACCAACATTTGATTTTTAACAACTACTTCCACTTGTTCAGGAAAGTAGATGGTGTCAACTAGGTTTATTATTAAAAAAAACTTTTACAAATGGTACATAAACAAAAAAGAAAAGTATGTTAATTACCTTTCTTTTAGTTCCACCTGAACATTTTTTTGTATGTTTATCAGCGTGTTCTTGAACCTTTAAATTTTCTATATAGCTAGAAACAGAACCAAAAAAAAACAAACCTGAACTTTTAACAATAATTTAAAATCACCTCCACTTTTAGAATTTTTACAATCAATATATATTAAGACATTATTCCCGAAGGACATCATTAAATATAATTTATCCAACCTATTATATATATTATGTACCAGTCATCAAATATAATTTATCCAACCTATTACATATATTAGGCACCATACTGTATAATCCCTGAAGGACGTCATTAAATATAATTTGTCCAACATAAATATTTATACTAAATTGTATAATATAATTTGTTCAACTTATTTATAATGTCATTCAATATAATTTATCCAACCTATTTATACTATATTTTATAATCTTGAAGGATGTCATTCAAAATAATTTGTCCAAAATATTTATATTTATAACATTTTGTATAATCCCTGAAGGACGGCATTCTATATAATTTGTCCAACCTATACTGATTTATACGATATTTCATTATTCTAACGGATGTCATTCAGCATAATTTGTCCAAATATATCTATACAATATTATACAATCCTAAAGGACATCATTCAATATAATCGTTTAAAACTTACAAATTTGCTATTCTATCAATCTGTGATTCAGGAACACCTCTAATAGCAGCAAACAACTGTAAATGTTCTTTAAGGGTAATAGTTTCCAATAATGGGTCATGTTGTGGACAGTAACCAAGAGCTTGAAAAGCTTCTGACATGTTGGATCTAATATCATGACCATTTACATCCACCTGTGAATATAAATGAGGTTTAACGTCCTATATTTCTGCACTGACTGGGTTAATGAAGACGGGCATACATCATACAGTATGCTATGAGCGAAATTCTGCATTATGCCATACTCTTATTTTGAACTCCAACTGTCAAGTAGGGCCTTAACGATTCATCAATGAAATCGATGAACCGAATTGTTTTAAAAATCCACAAAGCACAAGACAATAATATTACTGCATAGAAATGCCGATTGGTGCATACTGCATACATTGATCAGCACAATTAACTTTTCTATATTTTCAATGAATATCAATATTTGACATTAAAAATTTTGTACGTTATTTTCTAAGCCGTTCTGTAATCTACAACTGACCTTTAAACGAGCCAGCCATATTGATTGGGAAGCTGAATTTTTTCATAATGAATTCACCAAATTCAAGTCGCCCGGTGGACAAAAGCAATCTTGAGATCAAAAATCCCCATATCAAGTACAAGTCTCAAGGCCTTCGAATTTTCACAGTGAAAGACTGGAACTTTGTTATTGAATAAATGAAAGTAGAGTGGATTTCTAAACTGTTGTTTACTTATGTGCCAAAGTTAATAATTAGCATTATTATAATAATCATTGATATGTAATGCAAGTATGTGATAAAGGGTATATCACACACATTTAAAAGTATACAAACCTTTGAAAAAGTTCATAATATTATGTTTAAAGTAAAAAAAACCAAAGATTTTTTAAATTTAACAGCATTTCTAAAATTTATTTCCTATAAATTAATTATATTGTGGGGTATAAATCGTGAAGCACATCGTATTGTGGCCTGGCGTATTGTTGCAGCCCTACTTTCAAGGGTTCTTTAATATGCACGCCAATGTTTTTTTTGTTCCATCAAACGACTTGAGACTGTTCCGTGGGTCTTTAACTGTGGGAGGAAACTGGAGGACCCAGAGAAAACCCACGAGGAAGGACAGGCGATTCCACTACTATGCACATAAAAGCGTGGCCATGTAATCCTAGCCATTTGACTCAATGACAGAATTTAAGATGTAAAGTGCAAACTTGAGGACTATCCGGCCACCTCCCATACCCCCCAAATTTCCAAATTTAATATAAAAATATCAGCCATAAAGAGCAGAACAACAATAAAATCTAAGATAAAAATATCAACTAACCTTTCCTCGAGTAGGACCAACTTCAGCTATAATCATATTCATTAATGTTGTTTTACCAGCTCCATTGGGACCCAGCAAACCGAAAACTTCTCCAGAGTTAACAGACAATGTAGCATTTCTTACTGCTACTTTTATTTTATCATCATGTTCAACCTTTGTACAACCCTTGTATTCTGTTTTACCTCGTTTTGTAAATTCTTTTCTCAGATTACTTACATATGCAACATAATCCTATAAATAATAAAACAAAATAAACATTAAAAGGGTATTGTCACTCACATAATCCTATTTATCTATACTAATATTTGTGACTGTCGTTTGTCTGTCTGTTTGTCTTTCTGTCTGTTCGGGGTTGGCGGCTACACTAGGTCTGCCCCGAGTCTGAAATTTGGGGTATAGGGGCAGCTTGGACCGGGGAGTAACATAGGCCAGGTGGCGTTAGTCTACCACTTCCGGTTTCGGAGGGTTATGACCCCCGAGCGAAGCCGGGCATTCTTCTAGTAAATAATAAAACAAAATAAACATTAAAAGGGTATTGTCACTCACATAATCCTATAAATAATAAAACAAAATAAACATTAAAAGGGTATTGTCACTCACATAATCCTATAAATAATAAAACAAAATAAACATTAAAAGGGTATTGTCACTCACATAATCCTATAAATAATAAAGTAAAATAAACATTAAAAGGGATCACTCACATCGAGAAACAAGCGGTTGCCATGCAAGATACGCCCACATTTTGCAAGAGATGGACAGAGAACAAGCTCAAAAAAAGAAGTGATTTTTTCGTACAGTCAAGGGCCATAATTCAGGAAGTTATGATCCAATATGTGCGAATATCGAAAGGAACCAAGATCTTTGGGTTATAAATATGTATTTCAAGTTTCATCAAAATCGGATCAAAATTGTGACCTCTATAGACTCCACAACCTTGATATACCAATTTTTTACGCTATTTGAGAACGAACGGCGGCCATTTTGTCTGTCAATTTTGGGCCAATTTTCACGAAATTCGAATTCCGTCGTCCTTAGGGTGTAATGGTGACATAATAATAGGTTTTTTTAAATCTGATAAAAATTATGACCTATAGGGTCCACAAGCTAAAAACGCGATTTTTCCTACAATCAGGGACCATAATTCAGGAAGTTACGGTCCGATATGCGCGAATATCGAAAGGAACCAAGATCTTTGGGTTATAAACTTACATTTCAAGTTCCAACAAAATCGGATAAAAATTGTGACCTCTTTAGAGTCTACAACCTTGATATACCATATTGTTACGCTATTTGAGAACGAACGGCGGCCATTTTGTCTGTCAATTTGGGCCGATTTTCACGAAATTCGAACTCAGTCGTCCTTAGGGTGTAACGGTGATATAATAATACAGGTTTTTAAATCGGATAAAAATTATGACTTCTACAGGGTACACAAGCTAAAAACGCGATTTTTCGTACAATCAGGGGCCATAATTCAGGAAGTTACAGTCCGATATGTGCGAATATCGAAAGGAACCGAGATCTTTGGGTTATAAACTTATATTTCAAGTTTCAACAAAATCGGATAAAAATTGTGACCTCTATAGGGTCCACAACCTTGATATACCATATTTTTCCGCTATTTGAGAACGAACGGCGGCCATTTTGTCTGTCAATTTTAGGCCGATTTTCACGAAATTCGAACTCAGTCGAAAGGAACTGAGATCTTTGGGTTATAAACTTACATTTCAAGTTTCAACAAAATCCGATAAAAATTGTGACCTGTAGAGAGTCCACAAACAAATTGTGGACGGAAGGACGTCCGGACGGACAGGGGCGTATAAAATGAAATAGTATCATTTCTTTTCACTGGAAGAGGGAATTGTCTCGATTCTCAAGGTATGTGGTTAAACAGACAAGGATAATGATGCCTGATTGAGCGAGACTTTTCAAACCTGCACACGTGATAATAACACTGTAAAATCCAATAATCTTTAAGAGGCATTTAGTAACTGGATAGAGCTGTTTTTCCATAAGTATGTGTATAGTTTATTGTAAAATCCAATGTTGGATATAAAAATAAAATGATATATTTGCCAATTTCTCAACTGGCACAAGTGGTTTATATAGGATTATTCTCTAACATTTTAGGACTGTGTGCAGAGATGCCATGTATTTTTAGGCTTTATTTTAACATATTTTAAACATATGATGTAAAAAATATGTAATTATCGCTTTAAACTTGAAAACCACACCCAAATTAGTAGTACACATAAATTGTTAAAATATCTGTACCTGAGTGATTGCTTTACGTTTTGATGACAAATGATTGATACAATCTATTTTGAACATTCCTAAAGTAACTATTGTTCAGTCAATTCAAATCAAACTTAAAATTATTGACAATAAATGGTTAATGCTTTTTTAATATTAGTGTTTTACAAATAAACTTCTAAAAGAAGAATTTAACAAGAAACTTAATTTGGATAATAATGTTCAAGGGAAGCAATAGAATAATCAAATATTGTCTGGCTGGCAATGTTTTGAAGTAGAAGCCCTGCATTCTATTGCAATTATAAGACATAAGTTACTTACATGTCCACTCTGGTGTTGTAAGTTAGCAACTTTTTGTCTTTCTTCTTTTACATCTTCATCTTCATTTTCAATTAAATCTAAGTTATCATCTGGTACAACTTGATTACTATGACTACTTGACTTAAACAACTCCTTTATATTTCCACCATTACTCTTAATATCCAGTATTCTTAACAATATATACAACAATGCAGCATGGAATACAGGCTGAAAATTAAATATTATTAACATTTAGTATGGAACGCAATACTTAATCTAGTGTGGCGTTTGAACAGGGGCGTCTATAATGGTTTCAAAAGTTGATTCTGGTAGCTGTCAAATCCATCTGTTGAGAAATAAGTGGGTCATCTCCTTAATCATCCGTGATAAAAAAAACATAGAGCTTAGTACATACCATAATTAGAGGAAGAAGAATGGGAGCTTCCATATAATCTGAAAATATTATACTGTCTGTTTGCTGCATATAACTTTTTATTCTATAAACCTATAATAAACAGAATTTAATATTAGCATTTGATTTATCAATTTACATGTGATAAATTTAAAAGCATCAAAGTTCAACATTTTACTGGCCTTGACAGATCACAGGTGATTTTAATCTTTCAAAAATAAATCTATTTACTTATTTTTTTAATAAATTGCTTTATGTGCATCCTAAACACTGCAATGTTTCTCTGGAAAATCAATAATTTAAAACACCATTACTGGTTATAAAAATTATTGGCGATAAGACACAAATTTGGAAAGCACAAACATGATTCAAGTCAGACACAAGAAAATTACAGGGTATAAGTTGACTTGGAGTATAATTTTGATTGTGTTTTTTACAGTTTTTACAATGATAATCAATGGTTCAGTCGAAGTGGGGTATAAGTCAATATTTCATTGCGTTACATGAATGTTATCCTAGTCTAATACTGTGTTGATGTATGTCAATAACGGCCTATGTGAATTTATTAGCTGCTAAATGTAGGATTACCATGAGTAATATTCTAAATTTTGTTCTTGGTTCATTTAAGCTAGTTTTTACTTCAAAATGTCTAATAATTACACTCTTTCTCTTCATACATGGAAAAAAATTGTGACATTCTGGTCCTTTAAACTTAAGGTACAATTCTCTCAAGAAATTACGAGAGATTAAAATGTGTTTATTTTTACTAGACCAATGCCAGAAAAAAGATTTCATCTTCATGGCCTGAATTCTACAGAAAAAGGTATTGACTTATAGCCTGAAAAATACTGTAATAGAAACATTGACATATAAAACTGATATACATACCCGGTCAATATAATAAAAACCTCCAAATATTGAATAAGGTGGAATAAGTAAAGTGCAGATGTAATGAACTATTACAGGTACATTCCCTTCTCTTATTAGCATATCCATTAATGATACAGCTAAATATGGTATCAAGGATCCCTAGAACAAAAATATATCTATTATACTTGTAAGTTGGACATTACATCCAGGGCTGCCGACAACCAGTATCGCAGCGCAATTTGCGATACATATTTTGTCCGTTGCTAACCAAAAATTAAAATCTAACGTTTTTGATTCGCAGTTACTGCGAATCATCAATATGCCTGTCATTTTGGATATTGACACAAGAATAATCCACATTTTGAAGACTAGAAGGCTTACTCAACACTTTCAACGTGTATAAAATTTTGAATAAAATTTTATAAACAAAACTGAATTCTCCGTGTGACATTTTCTTCTCGAACTACCCAGACACAATACTATATAACACATAACTCTATGAATAGGGACTATTAAACCGGAAATAGGGAATCAAGTAGTACCACTCACGTTGCGAGACATCAAGTAATTATATCATATTTATTTTGAAAGAAATAAATCCAATGTATCCCCCACGTATTGTAAATAAAATATAAAAAAATAAATACATGTTAACGTATTGTAAAATGATAAATCAAAGTAAAAATTCCCGTAAAATATTATTGTTTATATCGTGTGTGTCTAGTTAATCGAGGTGTGTCCGATTGAAGAAAAATAGTAATACACGATAAAAAGCAGACGAAATTGTTTTCTAACGAAGATTTCTAACGTAACAAAAAAATAACAATTAAAATGAGTGGAGCTTCGGAAGTCACTGTCAAGAATTGGCTTCAGACATAAGACCTAACTAAATTTCTACATCACATTCACAAACTGTCACAAGTACTTGTGGCAGTGCTAAAAAATCTAAGAATAGTCAGAATGGAATCTAATCATATTTGTTATGAATTAAAGTAATATCTTGTTATTTAGGTGTTTTACATTGAAACTGAAAAACTGCTAATCAATTTTTAAATTTGCTTATCAAATTTGGCGAAATTGGACTTTTTGATTAGCAGTGCTGCTAATCAACTGTGAAAAATTACCGACAGCCCTGATTACATCACGGCCTATTCTAAAACACTGGAGACAACATCTGCCTTATGTTAAAAGCTTAACTATAGGGCTATTGGGAAACAGCTTAGTTAGTTTATTCTTATGGTCAATATGAACTACAATAATGTATGGTTCTAAAGTAGTATGATTTTGATAAATGCCATCATCAGATAGCATTGTGAATCTTACTGTTTTCATGTCTTGTAAATGTAGGTTTGTACATTTTAACATGAAGTCATAAATTTTGAGGACCTTCATAATGACCAAATCGTGGAAATAACCCACATGTCACTGACAGTGTCCGCCATAAAATCAGGTTTGTCAGGTACAAATCCTCTGGTACCTGTCAGTTTCATCTGAGTCAGATTTGTCTTTTTTCTATATTTTTTATTAAAATCATTTGTAAACTCTGACAAAAAGATATAAATGCAAAGTACAACTTCAAGTTTAATAGTGCCTGACATTAAATTGTTCCCCATCTGCTAAAGGTCAAGTCAAACTTGATCAACAAGACAGATATCCACGTTTTAATCCACGTTTAGTATTTTTTGTTAAAAATAAGAAATCTAACATTTTACTTACATATAAAAAGACATTGGGTAGAACTGCAATACATGTCTCAAATTTATCAAAAGCATACGTAAAACAGTATGCTAATAAAATGTTTGCAGGAATAAAGGTGATGAAAAGAACAATAACACAAAAGATAGCTCCACCTGGTGTCAATGATGGTAACTGTAACAAATAGAAATGAAAAGAAACAAATATTTAACAGATAGTAGACTCCATCTTCTAAACTATACACATAACTATGAACGTAAAGAATACACCACTTACATTAGAATGTTAAAGCGAACGACATAACAAAGAGAAAATTATCAAGACTGATAAAAACTTCTTAAAAGATACATTATGTAACAATCTGATTAAAACACAGATCTTATTTCGTTTCGTTTTTTATGGTTCAAAATTTCGTTTTCTTTGCCTTCACTACATTAGGATCTGGAAGAGTTGTTATATAACAGGCGTTTTCGATGGAGTGAGGGATTAGCCAATGAAACCATACAGCGACTTCTTGGAACTGTGGGTAAACCACTAGAAACGTCAAAGCTGATTGATTAATCAATGTGTGACATCATAGGGTCAAAAACCGCTCGTACGGCCCCTGACGCAACCTTCCAATACAACTGGTCAGATCAAAAACAAACAAAACATAGATCTGTATTATAATCAGATTGCATTATGTAAGAGATAAATCTGCTTATTGTATGTTTTCCTTCTGGCTTCAAATGTTATATAAATTATTATTTAGACATTTATTCACATGAACTCTCTAGAACATCAGATGACTAAGATATCAAGCGATTTAGATAATATCCCCCATAATATCTTCGTTAAACAATAATCTTGAATTCGGTTATCAGGTAACATTGCTACGATAATAAACAAAGTCTTAGTTTTCAAGATTCATGAAAACTAAGACTTTGTTTATTGTCGTAGCAATGTTACCTGACAACCAAGCACTATTTCTTTTCAAAACTTCAAACATTCATAACTTTGCTCAGAATATGAAGTAATTTGACTGACATGCTCAACATATGCCCTTTCCATTATCTATTTTTAAACTATTACAGCAAGAACGGTCAGCTCTTTATCTAAATCTTAAATAAAGTTATTTTAAGCTAGAACAGAAGACAAGACAAGACAAATATCAAATCAAATATATATGTTAGTCATCCTATGATAAAAAATAGATTACAGTCAAATAAAATAGGAAAGGCAAGACCATTTATATGGAATACAATCACTGGGTTTATTCCCTGTATAAATATAGTGCCATGTTCTCTTATTGTTTCCAAGCACATATAGTTTATGTATGAGAGGGTGGGTGCTTGTTTTAAGCTGGTGGTTAATTTGTCAAATACAGTAAGTATTAGATAATTGTAAATAATCCTACATACCTGTACAGCTAAAACTATTATAATACACACTATAGCTGGTATTAAATACAGACCAAGATCAAAGAGAAAATTAACTCCCCAATAAATGTTAAATGTTATTCCTGATACACGAAGTTGACTTTTAAATTTTATCTGGAAAAAAAAACAGAAAAATAATTCTTTATAAATACTATATACAAAAATGAAGCATTTTTTTTTTTCTTTCAGTAACTGGATGCAAACTTTTCATGGTCAGCCCCTAAAACTAAAGTTCAAATTGGTGTAGCTTTATATTTTATTTCCCTGGTTTTTAGAAAATGTCTGAGTCGATGTAGAAAAGTAGGACATTAATACTCATTCCATTTCATTTCTGTTAAAAAAATGCACAAACAAATCAACCATCACCTAATGTTTAAGAGAACCCCAGGCATTACCAAATAAACACATCACAACTCAGTTCAAATCAAATCTGAGAAATAATAAGGGATATTTATTTTTTTTTTTTTTTTGGGGGGGGGGGGGCGAAAGTGAACAATATAAAAATGCATTACCTCTTTAATCTTTACATGATTTGCAGCAAAACCAGCAATCGTGAAAACAAAAGCCATTCCTAATATCATTATAGATGAGAAGGTGGTACCATCGTAAGATCTTTTGTTTGTCAGAGCTGGCCACGGCAGATTAAAAGTATTGATTGAATTGACTCCAAGTAAAATATTAGACATAATATTGACAATAACTGGTAATGATAATAGAGCTGTATCATTGTATAATGATGTGTATGCCAGAGACTGGAAAAAAAACAAAACAACAGAATTCTGTTAAACTTCATGTATAAAAGCATCTAATGAAAGATTTAATTCTTTTTCATAACCTTGCAGTTTAAACAGACATTTTGCAAGAGCTAAATATGTCTGTTGCAGGTCTTTAGGCATGAAATGTTATGTAAACCATTAATTATACATCTATTAACATGAGAAGACCATAATCAACTCTTGATGCCATCGGTTATTTCCGATATTAAGTAGATTAGAACCGTTCAGCCATATTTTGATGTAATTTAAAAATGAAGAGCCGATGCTTGGCTTCGAACAACCAGTATGGTGGTTGCAATTAATATCTTCCCTCACAGTAGAGTAATTTGAATGAAATTTCCAATATACTGAATTTACATTATCTTTTTTCAAACTATTATAGCAAGAATGGCTAGCTCTTTATTTAAATCTTACATAATGTATCTTTGAATATCTCATTAGCAAGTGAGATATAATGGAATGTGATTCATTAGATGCAATAAAGTTTAGCTTTGAGTTAAATGCTTTACAAATGTCATTATTGTTATCATTTTTCACTAGCTTAGTTAGTTACCCAGCACTGCACAGGTGAAAAATCTTAATACTTCTAAAATCCGCAATAATCATTAATTGTCAATTTCATCATTAAATATTGCACCAAACACAGGTTACTATGAAGTTATTTTAAATTTCATAAGCTAAACAGTTATACAGATGATGGTATAGGCTATTACATTTGAATTCATTATATTGATTTACAGATGGATACTGTCAACAGTTACACAAGGTAAATATGCTATGTTTTGATTACTTTTATTGTCGGTGTACACTATTACTATTGGTTTAGATTACTATTGAAGAATCCGTAGAACAATGCTTGTTAACCTGGATCTTGATGATACAGTTGGGGCAGCGCAGGAAAAATATCCTTGAAATTCCCTGAGCAAAAAACTGTGTCTAGATAGAATGGTTTAATCCAGGATGTGTTTTGGGCGATAGCCCTTCTTCAACATGCCCTGGATCAATCCACTCTATCTACACACAGTCTTGTAAAGTTTGTTGATCGGGGAAGGGTTATCTTTACTTATTAAATATTAGCTGGATTATATCCTACTTACTGTTCCAGTAACCATTGTTTGTAGATTAACACCAATATTATGAGGTGCTATCGACATCAGATCAACTGATGCATTCTTAATATCATCAACTTGCATATAAGTTTTTAACTGTGTAACAACTGCTTGTGATGTAGCATCATCTACAACATATATAATACTAATGTATATAAACTTACAATCTTGCATATAGAAATGGTTTATAAATTATATCTGACAAAGAGAAATGGGGTAATTGGGTAATTTCAGGAATAATATAAGGTTTATGTATTTTCTAATTTCAAAAATTTGCTTGCAAGAAGGGTTTTCAGCAGTGAGAGGAAAATGGAGAACTCAGAAAAATACATGAGGTGAGACAGGCAACTCTACATTCATACAATGAAATGAAATGGGGTTTAACGTCTACTGTTCTGCACCGAACTGGTCTAATGATGAGGGGCATACGCCATACTGTGTGCGATGAGGGAAATTTTGCCTGGACAGCAGCACTACAACCTACTCTTATATATCGAATTATAACTGTCAAGGGATCTTTTACGTGCACGCCAATGTGTTAACAGGACCTCAGTTTTTCATAGTAACCAAACAACTAGACAGCTGTCCTTGTCAGGTCTCCTCCGTCCTGCATCACTGACAAGGGGTAGCACACTGGAAAATCTGGATGAACTTTCTCAGCCAATCCAGGGATCGAACACCCGGCCTTCAGGCTAGCGAGCCAGCGTCTTACCCACTTAGCCACCGTGACCCCCTAAATTCATACAAGATTTGGAATGAAACCATTTCTTTATACCTTTATGTATGATAAAGTTTAGGCCATATAAAAAATATTCTGGTTCTCAGATATCACTGCATTTTAATATGTCACCTGTTTTCGATTGCAAAAATAAAACATCCTTGTTAATTACTAATGTAGTAATAGAAGATACACACTTCTGCCATTATATAAATTTACATTTCTTTTATTCAAAGAAATATCAATCAGTCTAAATAAAAACCAGCGCCTGCCAGGCAGGATACGCCCACATTTTGCTATCAGGGGCCATAATTCAGGAAGTTACGTTCCGATATGTGCGAATATTGAAAGGAACCGAGATCTTTGGGTTATAAACTTACATTTCAAGTTTCATCAAAATCAGAAATAAATTGTGACCTCAACCACAACCTTGATATATCATATTTTTACACTATTTGAGTACGAGGGGTGGCGATTTTATCTGTCAGTTTTGGTCCAATTTTTACGAAATTCAAACTCAATCCATCTTTAGGGTGTAACGGTGATATATTCAAACGTTTTTTTTAAATCGTATAAAAATTATGACCTCTATAGGGTCCACAAACTAAAAACGTGATTTTTCGTACAATCAGGAGCCATAATTCATGAAGTTTCGGTCCGATACATACCAATATCGAAAGCAACTGAGATCTTTTGGAGATAAACCTATATTTCGAGTTTCGTCAAAATCAGATAAGGGGCGACGGCAATATATGTCCACATGAAAATGTGGGCGTATAAAAAAGATAGAAAGACTTGTAACTTGTATTAATATATTATTACTTACTCATAGAATCAACAAACAAGAAATCTGAACTGGCATATTGATCTGGTTTTAAAGACATAGAAATTACATTATTTGTATTGTTAACTTTTGCTCCAAATTTATTGAGAAGAAGTCCAGTTGTGACCAAGATTATCGGCAAAAAAATTTGAAAAATCAACGCAAGTTTCTCTCGTATTTGAAGCAAAAATCTTATCTGAAATAAATAACAATAAACAATGATGTTTGTATTTTGATTTAGATTCGATAAATGAACACTAACATATATGTATATATTTAAAGCGATAATTTCATATTTTCTAAGAAAGTCAAAACATAATTATTTCTGTCTTGTCAACTCACTATTATACGATCATAGGTATTATTCTCCCACTTAAAAATCCTTTGACCCCGGAAATACTAACACAATTACCTCCCTTGTTTTTCTATTCCCCTCCCCCCCCCCCATGAAATAGCTGTCTTCAAACGTTTGAATTTGAAGTTGAAAATGATATTTTTGTCAATTTCTCAACTGGCAATAATGAATTATAGGATTAATAGGAGTATTCTTTAACAAGGTAGGACTGTTTATAGATACCATCTATTTTAAGGCTTTATTTTAATAAATTTTAAAAATATAACTTAAAAATATGAAATTGCAACTTTAACTAGATATGCAAGCAGAATTGAAAAGGCTTTCAGAGGAGAAAAATCATTCCGATTTTTTATCAGGATTTTCTGGTCACAAATGTAGTGACTGGACCATGACTTGTTTATACTTAGCATCTTCTTGTGACACGGGTTAACATACATCGTTCTGAGTATAAGTCAAAATTTTCTGTCATCCGGGTAACTAAAGATAGTTAAGGGTTTCACTTTCTGTTTGTTGTTCCTTTATTGTATAATTTTGTTCAAAGACTGAATTCCATTTCCATTAACATACCTTTAAAAATGCTTTCAGTCTTTGTTTCATTAATGCACTACCTTTATTCAAATTAAGTAAATTCTTTGAATTAAAAAGATTGTTGGCGTCCTCTTGAGTACCATTCTTGTTTATATTGACAGAAACATCATTTACATTAATCATGTTAGTACCATTGGCTGATTTATCATTGGTATCCTCAGATTCTTCATCATTTCCTTTAAAATAAAACAATCATTATAAAATTACTGTATAAAACAAGCAAAAAATAAATTAATGTGGAAGTAACAAAGACTTAATATCAATATAGCACTGAAATTTATATAATTAGCCATATTTTTCCTTTCTTATTTCGAAAACGACCATTGTGGCAATGGAAGTATATTTTTGCTTAATGTAAATCATCATAGACTAGATTACAGAGAAAGAGTAATAGGATTCAACGTCCACTGGACACAAATTAGGTCATTTTGGGACTAAAGTATGATTTCAATTTTATTTCAATAATTCGATTGCGCGGAGGACCCTGTGAAAACCCTTGAGGTTGGACAGGCGACCCTATTCCTTGTCACGTACAACCGTGGAATCGAACCACGCCAATTGACAAAATGACAGACCTTATGATACAACGCGCACATGCTAACCATTCGGCCATCCAACCCGCCATTAGATTACAGAAAAACAATTTAACCGAATTATTTAAATACCTAATTTCAAAAATACTTCCTCTAATGACGTCATGGAAACACCATAACTCTTTATTCCCATTTTTTCTGCTTTAGTTACACCATCAGATCCTTTTTCCTCCAGAGAATTAAACATTGCTAATAACAAATAAAAACACACAAAAAATAATATACAAAAAATAAACAGGGTTGTTATTTTACTCTATTTTTACAGATTGATAATATTTAAATTAGTTGTCCTGCAAAATTATGTTAATGTTGCAGAAATCAGCTTGCAAAAACTTGATGCCACCGAATCCAAATTTGAACAACTTTTCATATTTTCTCATGAATTATTATATAACGAATCAAGATTAATATATGAGTTCATGAAAGAGACTTATTGTGCTTTTAGATTCTTCATTTCTCTCAAAGTTTCCCCCCACTTCTACCTAAATTTTCAGGAAGGAGAGAGGACTTCTTTCTAAAGTCTGAATTGATCTTGAAGTACAGATTGTCATATTTTACCTGCAAATTTGTCCACTTCATTTAATGGTACTGTGTATGCTAATTCTTTACCATGTGATCTTCTATGCTCTACACCATTTATTTTTTCTTTAAGAAGTTTCGTCACATCGTCAGCATCACAAGATGGTTCACTTATCATACTATATAACAAACAAATAATATTTCAACATTAACTATTTACAGAAATATGTATTTACTGATTTTCAGGTGAAATTTGGTAAAAAAAACCCAAAAAAACTTAACCACAGTTGGCCTTCTTTCTTATTGACATCATATCTATATTAATATATTCCATTCTAATGGTCAATCTTATACAAAACAATTGGGAAAATGTCCTTTATCATACTATATTTTTTATTGTTAAAATTAGGCTCGACCAGAGTTCTTAACCCATTTTGAAACGAACCGGTCAGAAGTGGGTCAAATGAGGTCCTGGTAGGAACTGGGTTTTAAAATTTTAAGCTTCCATTCCCTTTAATATAACCAGACTTCAACAAAAATAATTCTTGGTAATTTGTTATGAGGAATATCATATTCTACTGTATGTTATTAGCATAAAAATAACGACAAATAGGTACACCGTTTAGAAAATTTCAATATTTAATTCACGTACCGGCTTGAAATTCATGTCAGTAATATTCCTGAAAAAATTACTGTATTCGTTTTTTTTGGTTTTTTTCGATGGATATAAGCTGATACGGCACCATGGTATTTCTTCATAACACACAATTTGTAGTTTTTTTTCTATTATGTAACTTGCAAATGTTTTTATTCATTCGTCAATGATAGACACATGGCACAGTGATCATGTGACAACCATAATTGAAATGGCTTTAAAATTAAATTCCATACGACTGTGCCATAAAGCTTTCAATAAAAATAATAACGACAATATTTTTAAAAGGTAAGCCTCTGTCAGCATGTGTATAAAATTTAAAATCATAATGATAAACGTTATTTAATTAAAGCTAAAACTAGCATCGCTGGTTTACTGACAACAATACACTCAAACATGAAATAGTGGCATATAAACATAAATCATTTCTGTAAATATACAATTTAGGTCAAATTAATTACTACTTACTTCAGATGGTAGCCTATACCAAATTTACTCTTTAGAAATAAAGATGAACCACAACATCGAAGTTTACCTTTACTGATAATTGCCTTACGATCTGAAAATAATCAATTCAGTTTTAATCATGAAAGTTCTGGTGCAGAAACAAACCCAAGTCAGTTTTTACTATTAGCAAACTACAGTAAGTAGAAATATTATATGCAAATACCGATTTTGAAATTGCTCTTTTATGAAACTATAGTTATAAGTTATCAAAGTTATTGCATGTAGAACTATAGATTAACATGTACGGTAAGCAAATTATAAGTACCAACAAAATACACAATATAACTCAGTGCTCACATTGAATTTTGATTTTGAACATTTAATTTAAATAAAAATTCAAATTTTTAGTTCATTTTCATATTTCTAGAAATATTGCATTTTTTAAATCAACACATTTTCCTTTATTTGCATATCTATTTACTGACTTATCTGAATTACTGACCAAACTGACATTAGTTCCTTTAGGAACTGACTCTGATTGGACGATGTCCGCTGACAGTTCCTTTCCATCCCTATATAGCTGCAATACGAAAATACAGTAAAATACCGCTCTGGTCTACACCACCTCTATTCTCAGGCTATTTTGGAACCTTAACTTTCTATTTTTCAGCGTGATTCTTTATTTTTCGCCAAAAGAAATCATTTCTCACCATATATGACACAAATTTATAATAATTCAACAATATTAACTAGTAGAATTTAGCGATTAAATAAACATGCGGTATACACATGTTCCAGTCTCGTAATGGCTAATAAGTTCAAACGTATTTTGTGTACGTTTTTATTCGCGAATTCTCCTTGAAAATATCTTTGAATTATTATAAATGTGTGTCAGCTGTGGCAAAAACTGATTCCTTTGGCGAACAAAGAATAATCACGGTGAAAAATAGTTGGTAAGGATTCCAAAATAGCCTTAGAACAGAGGTGGGGAAGAGTGTTATTTTTATTCTGCAGATATATAGGGACGGATTATAAGAACTGTCAGCTGACATCATCCAATCAGAGACAGTTCCTAAAGGAACTAAACTGACATCAAATAAAGAAATTATCCAAATTTAAATATTTTGAGAGCATTAATATACCTGCAAGTATATCTGCTTCATCCATAAAATGAGTGGTAAGTACTATAACTTTTCCTGCTTTCTGTTTCTTGAGGAGGGACCAAAGATGACGCCTGGAGTGAGGATCCATACCAGCAGTTGGTTCATCCAGAAATATTATCTATTTAAATAATCCATATTTAATATTCAAAATAGCAGTAATCTACATGACACTAAACCTCGTGTAACAGTATGATGTTATGATAATCTTAATTATTAAAACAAATTAACCCCAATATATTTTTGTTCTGGAAACAATCTTCGTATAGTTAGCACGCTTCAGTTCCTGAAAGTCAAGTGTCAACTATTGTTGCAGGCAGTGACAGGTGTCAAGAACTCCACAAGTTTATTCTAAAGCTGATACCATTTTTTAATACGTTTTGTGCCTTATCTAACAACAACCTGCTATGTATCTTATTCAGCCAGAGTGGTTCACATTACATCAATCAATATTCAATGAACAAAAATTCATAATCTATGTATTATTGTATATAATCTATACTATAAAATACCTTGGGGTCACCAATCAGTGCTATAGCTACTGATAATTTACGTTTTTGACCACCACTGAGATCTTTAGCAAACACATCACCTTGATCCAATAAATCAACATCAGTTAATGACTGCTTTATCTATAATTAAAAACATTAATTTAAAAAATAACAACGGTTTACAATCAATTACAATGCACCAGATAAGAACTCCATAAGGGCACATAGGTATATAGTTTTGTTTTCCTGTTAAAAATATGAATCTCCAGTTGAAACGGAAGTGGATATTAATACTGAATTTCAAACTGTGATGCCAGAGGACGAGAATAATTTAAACAGACGGGTAGGAGAATGGAAAACTATCCAAAAATAATGATGTAAAACAACAACTATTGACCATGTATTTCAGCATAAAACCAAGCCAATAGCAAGGCTGATATCTTCTGCCTTAATCCCAATATAAATAGATGATACATGTTACAAGTACTTGCACATTTATCTTTATCTGTCTATAAACCATTAACTCTGCTTAACCTAATTAAAATGTTCATTATTGAACTTAGTCATGGTATTGAGGTACTGAAACTATAGACCAAATTACAAAATTCAAAGTAAATTAGAATCAAAGTTATCACATTCCAATGAATAGACCAACCAAGTTGCACATCTTACCTTAGCCTAGGCAGAAAATACTCATCCACACCAATTAAGTTTAAACATTCTAACTCAATTAGAGGAAAGTTATTGTGTTCCTAAAGATCTGAGAGACAGACAGACAGATGGACAAGCCGATTTTAAAAGAAGTATTTAAAGTTGAATGAATTGTTTTAATCTACATACCACTGACTCTACATTATTGGAAGGTACACCCTTAATACCCGCAAATACACGCAGATGTTCTTTGCATGATAACTCATCATACAATATATTATGTTGAGGACAAATACCACACATAGTTCTTATCTTCTCCATATCACTGCTATCAGATACATCCTATAATATGCATAGATGAAATATAAAAATGTTTACTTTCTGCAGTTCTTAAATAGGGACACAGTAAGATGAAATTGGGTTGAATATCTCTTTGACAAATAAATTAATTATTTTAAGAATAACATATTTATGTATATTTGTGTAAGTAGGATAATTATGCCAGCACGGTTGAATCTGAACCATTAGACACAGTTTCTTTGTCCGTCTTCTAGTTTGGCCCATTAGTGGGAATCAGCAATATTTATATTTTCAAAAAATTAAAGTACACATGAGAATATTTAAAGGATTGAATAACTTGCTGAGATGAAATATTGACAATTCATATATTACAATATGAACAATGTATTAAATATCTTGCCATTGGAATTCAATGAAAAGAAGGCGTAAACACCATTGTCTGGGCAGGATTTCCTCATACCACACTGTATGGCTCATGCCCATCTTCATTAGACTGGACAGTACAGAAAAGTAGGATTTTTATTTTCATTTAGAATTTGGTCAAATAAATAGCAGAGATTACCGGTTCAATATACCATTTAATATGTAGTAAGAGAGAGGGAGAGAAATGGAGTTTAACGTTCACTCGACACAAAATAGATCATTTTGGGACTAACATATGGTTCAATCTTATTTTAATAATCTGCTTGCACATAAGGGTTTGCTTGCTAGCAGTGGGAGGAAACCCGGAGAACACAGAGAAAATCTATGAGGTTGGTCAGGTGACCCTACTCCTTGTCATGTATAACTATGTCACATGACTCAATGACAGGCTTTATGATCTAAAGTGCACAGGTTAGACCATTCAACCACCCAAACAACCTTAATATATAGTAAGAAGATACTTACTAAATTATTGATAATAGCACCACCACTAGTAGTAGGAATTAAACCATACAACATATTTAATAAGGTTGTTTTACCAGCACCATTATGACCCAATAATCCAGTTATTTGACCCTCATATATATCTAATGATATTCCTGCAAAAAAATAGTTAATATGCTAATTTTCTATTAGCTACTTATTGCATTCCATTGATCTTATACTACAATTAGTTAGTTAAAATGGACAACATGCCACAAGGCAAATAACAACTTTTCTTTATTTAAATTTATCCAAAATATGCAGAATATTAAAGTAGCTAAGTCTCTAACTCAATATCATCCAAAGTCTTCAACATTGAAAACACGAATTATTTGGGGGCTTATGTAAATAAGTCTGGTTTATGCACTGACACAAACTCGTTCACATGTCATGACCTATGCCACGTGACCTCATCTGCCTCTTTTTCGAATCTGCCTCTTTCTAGATTACAGCGCGTAGACCGAGTCATGCTATATGTATTCGGCAAGAAATATTTCAAGCCCACCTCCCCATCTCCTGCCTTCCTGTTTGCTAAGCCAACAGGGACTAGTTACTTGTTATGCATTTTCACAGCTAGTTTAACCATAAACTAGCTATTCTACCCCAAAGTATGGGGTTACCTATTTGGTTTGAAGTCAGTATTGAATATTATTGTTCAATTTATATACATGTATATATGTTTATGTATTAAATGGAATCTATTTCAGGTACAGTTCAAGATTGGTCTGGGAGCTTCACTCCTCAATCTTACAATCGGAGCTTCGCTCATCCATCAGTACGAACACTCGAGCTTCGCTCACTTCACTGTGATTAGGAGCTTCGCTCCTTTATCAGTACTAACACTCGAGCTTCGCTCACTTTATTCACTCACACTGAGAGCGGCAGCCTTAAGCTGTCTGCCAATTGAGTCATCTATCAAGAATGGGGTTTTCACAATACATCAATTCCCATGTATTGGACATTCAGCCATGTCAAACATGTTTGGAGTGGAAGATTGTGAAAACCAGTCATTCACTTTAGTATTCAACATTTTAATATTTCATTTAATGTATATAGAGTAATGCCAAGATATACATGCTGTAGTCCCCATATGCCAAATAAAGTTTTATTGTTTAATGTCAATCCGAGTTTGTGTTTTGTTGCATAAATGTCAATTTAAATCAACATTGATGTTCTGATCTTACCGGGGGAAAGATGGGCTTCTGATATTCAATATTTAAGACAAAATAAACATTTTACCATTGGTACAAGAATCGTTTAGCATAATGCGTTTCAGTGCCATTTGTAACACAGGACTCGAAAAACAAGGCTAAACATATTCCACAAGTCATGTCAAACGATGACGTCATATTCTTATCTGGTGAGCATGCGCATTAAATACTATCAGCGTAGACTGAAATAACCAGACGCTAGAGATTGCCATTCGATTGAGACTTCTGGTGAATTTCCCCAAACATAATTGATTTGAAATTAGGGTAAAAACGGAAACGATTGAATGTAAATCAGTTTATATACATTCATATTACATTATCATATGCGTTGCGACCCATTTGTGTCAATTTCTAGATCCCAAATGTTATCGACTTAGTTCCTTTAAAGCTAGCAATTTAACAAAAATATGGGCTGAAAATGTTATTTAGGTAGTAATCTACATGTGGAAGATAAAGCCTAGAAATGCAGGTTAGATAACATCTTGGTCTTGATTTTAGTAGCTATAAATCCTGATATAAGAGGTATGCAAAATCAACAGAAACCGAAAGTCTGAAATATCCAGATGTTGAAATACAATGTGAAATATAAAATAATAATATTTTAAGCATATATGAAAGTCTTAATTAATATAACCAACTTACCATTTACAGCATCTATTGTTTCACCCTTTTCTTTACCAGGAAATGTTTTACCTATATTATACAACCTGAAACAAATATATCAATAATACAGCCATTCATTCATATATATAAATAATACAACCATCTGTATAATTATTTTTGGATTGGCCTGGTGACAGAACTTTTTAAATGAATGAAATGGGGGTTTACGTGTATATCCTACTTTTCTGCATCTGGTTAATGAAGATGATGGGGATATGCCATACAGTGTGCTATGAGGGAAATTTTGCTGAGAAAACAATAGAATTCCAAAAGTCAAGGGTTCCTTTAATGCATACCAATGTGTACATCCGACCTCTCTTTTTTGTCTGACACTCTGCCTGAAAAGGGAGAACCAAAAAGGAAAATCTTTAGGAACTTTCGGGACCAACACAGAGAAAAAACCCTAGACCTCCAAGTTAGTGAGCCAGCACTATGATGGAGTAGATGATTCTAATAGCAACTAAATATTATTATAATATTGAAGACTACTCAATATAGAATTTGGCATAATAAAGTTCCAGAGTTGAATACCCACAAACTTGGGGTTGGAGCATGAGAAGGCCCTCTGAAATATTTTTGGTCTGGGAACATTTTCATTGTAAGGGAGGCCATGTTTTTCCACACATGACTAATTACAAAACAAATTTGATAACATGAACCTGTGAGGAGATCAGAATATGTGAACCATAGTACTGCTAACTTCTTACCTAATAGAAGCCTTTTCTTCCATTTCTCGAGGAACATCTTCTACATCTTCGCCATGTGTCATATCACTATGATGCGTTATATGCTGATTGTCTATTAAGGACTGTATATCATAGTTGCTCTTTTTACTCTGACACCAATAGGATGGTAATAAACAATACCATGGTTTATACCGTACACCATACTCTCCTACACAAAATATAAACAATACCATGGTTTATACCATACACAATACTCTCTTACACAAAATATAAGAATACCATGGTTTATATAATACTCTCTTACACAAAATATAAACAATACCATGCATATGGTTTATAGCATACTCTCTTACACAAAATATAAACAATACCATGGTTTATAGCATATTCTCTTACACAAAATATAAACAATGCCATGCAACTTACCTGGAATAACATGATCTAAATAAAATGCCAGCAATCCATACAGTATAAAATCAACAAATAACATCAATATGGGTATATAGAGGGGAAATTCACCTAATGTTGCAGTTTCAAATGTCATACCACCTTTTGCAACATCCAAGAAAAGTCCCTAAAAAAATTAAGTCACATTTAAGTACAAATAAGAAAGTACGTCTGATTCTAATATCACATGCTCTCATTTTGATTTTTGCTTGAAAAACTATGTGCATACAATGAATTTGTGTGAAAATAAAAGACACCAAATTTTGCATGTCTAGTTTGTCCATATGATACACATCTCATGTTTGGCAGATCATTTACCAACCATTTTAAGATCATCTGTGAACAGTTTAGTCCATAACAGTCCTTCTAAAGTAATACACAATAACTCACTTTAAACCTACATGTACATATGCTGTGTTTTAATATTAATTTGGAGATTTATGGCCAACCCTATATGGAAACTGAAAGTTTGTATTTCTTCGGAAATGTATCACAGAGATTTCAATAGTTGCACAGCAACAGGATAATGGTTTGCAAAGGTCTTTCATCGCTAATTAACTACTTTTATTCATAGAAAGAACCCTAAGTTTAATTTGTACAACATGAACAAATATTTTCACTTGAGGCCATATGTTTCAATAATAACAATACATATTTACAAAATTATCCTACTTTCATGATAAAAAATAATTATGATTTAAACCCAGATTACCTGATCCACAGCTAGAGCAAGCGCAACAGGAGAAAGAAAGCACAATGCTACTTGACCGCCAGCTCCAACAGAATACGAATATCCATCCACAGTTTGAGTTCTTGTCAAACTCACAGCAAAATACAAGCAACTGATGATAACAGTAGAAAATCCTGCAACAATTCCTGCCACTTTAGCTTTCTTAAAGAATGGCGTTAGTAAGAAAGCGAGGTTTATAATTGAGAGTCCGTATAAAAATAACATGAGGAAAAGCAGAAAAATGTTACTATGTGGTAAAAAATTTGAAGCGTAAGCTATAATTATGACTATTATTGTGACAAAAAGTATAAGAATGGCATATATCAATGACCATGATAACCTGAAATACAAATAAAACACACAATTATAAATTAATCACAGTTTTAAAGTATGGACAGATATTGTATTAATAAATTGAAATTAACAATGGATGGTTAATAGTATTAAAAACAAGAGCAACGCTACAGCTGCAATATACGTCCACATTCCTGCTTTGATTGATATGGTATTCTTAAAAATGAAGAGAATGAAATATGAAAGGCTGCAACAACTTTAATATGACAATAGGCAAAGAAGGCTTGTTGTGCAGTTTGTTTTGCAAAAATTTACAGACTAATTATTAACAAAAAAGGGGTGTGACACTGCCTCAAGGGGTCGGGGCATGCACCAAAATAAATAGTTTCTGTCTTTAAGATACAAGGAATAAATATGTCAAGTTCCAAGATAATCCAATCAGAATTGCAGCCTGTATAGGATAAACACAAACATTAGGCATGGCTCTACCACTAGGGGTCAGAACATGCACCAAATTCAATAGTTGCCGTCCTCAGGCTATAAGGAATACATATGCCAAGTTCCAAGACGATCCATTAAGAATTGTGGCCTGTAAGCTTGTAGGCGAAACACAAGACACCCAGGGGGTCGGGCATGCACCCAAAAAAATAGAGGTCAGCCTTAGGGTATAAGGAATAAGTATACAAAAAGTTTTCAAAACGATTGATTAAGCATTGCGGGCAATAAGTGACACACAGACACACAGGAAGAAAATGGGCGTGGCTCCGCCTCTAGGGGTTGGGCATTCACCACAAACAATAGGGATGTTCCTTAGGATAGAAGGGATAAGTATGCAGTTTCAAGGTGTTACATTAAGAAATGTGGTCTGTAGATGACAAACAAATAAATATTCACCAAAAACAATATGGATCATCCTTAGGGTATAAGGAATAGGTATGCAAAGTTTCAAAAGGATCTATTAAGACACAAACAAAAATTGGGCGTGGCTCTGTCCCACTCCAAGGGGTCAGACATGCACCAAAAATTAAAAAAAGTCATCCCTAGGGTATAAGCAATATAGAAAAGTTTTTAAGACGATTCATTAAAATAGCGGCCTGTAGATGACACACAGACATACAAAGAGAAAATGGGTGTCGGACATTCACCAAAAACAATAGGGATCATCCTTAGGAAAGAGAAATGGGGTTTAACGTCCACTCGACACAAACTAGGGCATTTCGGGACTAATCTATGGTTTAATTTTATTTCAATAATCGCTTGCACATAGGGGTCTTTAGCAGTGGGAGGAAACCGGAGGACCCGGAGAAGACCCACGAGGTTGGACAGGTGACCCTACTCCTTGTCACGTACAACCGGGGATTCAAAACCACACCAGTTGACTCAATGACAGGCCTTATGATACAGCACGCACGTGCTAACCATTTGGCCATCCAACCCCCCCCACGATCATCCTTAGGGTATAAGGAATAAGTATGCAAAGTTTCAAAAGGATCTGTTAAGAAATGCGGTCTGTAGACGATGGGCGTGGCTCTGCCCCTGGGTGTCAGCATGCACCAAAATAATAGAGATCATCTTTAATGGTATAAAGAATATGTTTGTAAAGTTTCACGATGATCAGTAAAGAATTGTGGTCTGTAGGCGACACACAGACACACATAAAGTGGCAACAGCAATATAAGTCCACATTATGAATGTGGACGTATTAAAATCAATTAAGAACAACAGACGGTTATTATAATCAGTTTAACAATTTATCTTCACAATACATTGTATTTTTGAAGTTCTTCAACTTTGATTAACCTGCATAGATCGCATGAAATGCCAAATGAAAAATAAAGCAAATCATCTACAGTAATAACCAGTGAACTACCACCTGGTAGATATACTGCTGCATTTTACATTTAAACTATTGATTTATTCTTGAATACTTTTCTTACCAAAATACAATATCTCTGAGACCCATCATTTTCATTCCTTCTCGTATCTTTTTCTCTTTTTCAGCCACGATGTTAGTCGTCAGGAAATTGATGAAAAGAGAGTACGCGAACACAAAGTAGATAGATGCAAGGGTTTGCATTATAGAAATATCTGAAGTGAATGGACCTTTAGGCATAAGTTGGACTGAAACATCAGGCATTTCAACAGATGAATTGCTTTTGTGCACCTGGAAATAAGATGGCAAACTCATTACTTTTTTAAATAGATATACACACTGATCATAAATAGATATATGTACACACTAATCATAAAAAGATATACACATTGATGATAATAGATATACACACTGATCATAAATAGATATACACACTGATCATAAACATATATACCTACATGTACTGATCATAAATAGATATTCACACTGATCATAAACAGAAGTTGTTGGTAGTCATTGAATGTCTTCAACGCATGAACAGACACCCTGTGCATAAAGTCAATTAGCCTCTAGAGCATCCACAAGCAATTGTGAATGGCTAGGCAGACTGGGTGACGATGATTTACAACCACATTGAAATGTGAAAGTATAAAAATAAAATAAAAAATAACTATATCTGTGACACACTCCTATTTTGTTTGACAGCTACTCTTCCAAATAATCTTGGATTGAAGTTGTAGCAAATGATATAAATATGAAACTGACCCTTATTAATGCTGTGTCTATTGCGTTCTGTAACCATATAAATCCTGATGTTAAAAAATTATTTACTTGACACTGTGATCCACCCATTGTACCATTCAATTGATAACTATTTCTACAGCCAGCTTCAATAAAACATAAATATACAATCATAATAACTTCTTTTTCTATGAAACTTTTGTTAATTTAAACAATAATTTCAGTGCAGACTGGTTGGTATTTACTATTGGTTTCCAAAATGGTGGTATTGCAGGCAACTTTAACTTCCTTTGACAGGATGTTCCCAGATATGTCATACATACACCATACAAGGGAGTTCCCCATGATAAAGTCAGAAGGTAGTATATTTGAGAAAACACAGGACTGAACAATCTACATGTACACATCTCCAGATATATGTACAATCACAAAACACACCACATATTCACATATGCTACATTTTCCACCTCCTTCAGTTTGTTCCTTGGTTGCAGCTATAACCTATTCCAAATTACATCTTGGAGGGTTTTTTGGGAATGAAGAAGTACTTCCACACCTGAAAACTCCCCTGAAATTCCCCTGGGCCAAGTCAGAAGAAGACAACACAGGACAAAGCAATGTAGGCGTCCTAAGATAAACGAACAATCGCACACCACACCACACCCCACCACATATTTACATCCCTTCTACATGCAGAAAAGAACAGTGTTTTCACTTGCTTGCTTCTAATCATCTTATCAGAAACTGTCAGTATGAGGTTGACCATCCATAAGCTTCTTTATTTCAACGATACAGAAAACCATATTGTAGTCTCTGTTGTGCTTACAAGAATTATGGACAACAGGTGGACAGATTAAAGCACAATTTACATGTACATTACCAATATTCTTGCCCAATAAAAAAATTCTTTCCTTACTTACCAGTTGATAATGCTAACCAGTTTCCATCTGTAGATGCATCACTATAATCCATTCTTATAGCATAGTCCATTACATTACCACCCTGATAATTAAAAACAATTCCTGCCCCAATCTCCTTAGAGTTGTTTCTGTAGATATCTTCAATTGTTTTCATATCACCATACATCTCATACTGTACAGAACCCAAGAGATTTGAAACATGTGTCATGATGGTTTCGATATTTGTTGTATTTGGAGAAACAAGAATTTTTTTTGTAACATTGAAATGGAATGTGGAATCATTCAATGAATTCACAGGAAACCCATTAATGGCTGGTTTTGTAGAAGGTTTTGATAAAGCCTTTATCATAGCCAATATGGCAACAAAGTAGATTGGAAAAAATATTTCCTGAAATAAAACAAGAAAAAAATGAAAGGTATTAAATTTTTATTGTTACCCTGGTTATTTTAGCCGCTTAATTCTAAGCTCTTCATCTGTTACCAATAACAGAAAACCCGTCACTCAAGAGTCAAGATTCTTTCAGCAGTCCTAGTTGAGCAATTGCCATTCTGGTACATGTAGTAATATTTACCTGGATAAGCTGTTTTTTGTTCCTTTTCTTCAGTAAAATGTTCCTCTGCATCAGAGCCTTCAGTTGTTGAAAAAATGAGGCCATTTTGTTGTCTAATATCACTGACTGTTGTGTTATCAATTCACATTCATCTAAAAATATTTAAATATCAATCTAGATAAAATGGAATTTGAGAAGAATTATACGAAACGATTGTTGGGGTATTGTTACATTTTCCCCCTTTCTATTCTATGCTATTCTTAGCTACTCTAATTTATAATTTGTGTTAAAGGGACTATCCCAATTTGAACAGAGTCTAAAAAATACAGGTCCTAGTACGTATGAAATTTAAACACCTGTAATGAGTGAAATGAGACCTACGTTCAGAGCTAAACTACTGATAGATAAGAAACCTCATCTCTCAACAGTATATCTCAACGTTTTTAGATACGTTCTCCTAGCTAGGTTGGTTCCTGATTGTGTCACTCATATCAGGTGCATGTGCATCAGTTGATCCCTTTTTTGCTAAACACCCCTGCGCAGTACGTTGATCCGGCTACTTAGGGTTAGGGTTAGTAGTGGAAGTCAAAAGTAGCCGGGTCAACGTACTAGGCCAACACCCCCCACCCGACCCCAAACAAAATCGTTATGTACGCCCCTGTGTTCACACACAGACCTGTCATGAAATGAGCACTCAACAGTAGCCTACATTTTATCAATCTGTTTCACAGAGATTTTTTAATATCTCTGTTACAGATGACTGTTTCGACACGTGACGTCACATCACGCGGCGTCCATCATTGGCTCAATAGCGCGTGCATTGTTTTGATAAGACGTCACGGATTCGGGCTAAATGGTGAATTTTACTTATTTTAATACCCATTTACACTAAATAGGAAATGATTTTTACCTACAAACAATTCAAACGACTTTATTTATTTTTCTAATAAATGAAAACGAGAGCATCGCTATCGCTGCAATATACGTCCACATTCCTGCTTTGATTCATATGGTACTTTTTAAAATAAAAGGCTAGGCGTTGGATTTGTTTTGCCAAATTTACAGACCTAATTTAACAAAACGTCAGTGTGACACAGCCCCTGGGGGTCGAGACATGCACCAAAATAAATGGTTGCTATTCTTACGGTATAAGGAATAAATATGTTCCAAGATGATCCATTCATATTCAGAATTCCAGCCTATAGACAAAAAACGCTAAAATTGGGCGTGGCTCTGCCCCTGGGAGTTGAATATGGACCAATATAAATGGACACAACCCTATGATGGATCATACTGAATTGGATCCAAATATGTTAATAATTGCAACCTGTAGATTATTTACAGACCAAATATGAACAGAACGTGGGTGTGGCACCGCCCGGTGGGGGTGGGGGCATGTACCATGTAACAAAATCAATAGTAACCGTCCTTGGGCCAAGCGGGCGGACCATGTACCAAAATCAATAGTTGCCGTACTTGGGGTATAAGGAATAAGTAGGCTATACTAAATTCCAAGATAATCCATTCACAACTGTGACCTTTAGACGCTAAACACAAAAACTGGGCATGGCCGCCTTTAGACTATAAGGAATACATATGCCAAATTTGAAGTTGAGTCATTCATAATTGTGGCCAGTATACGATAAACACAAAAATTGGGCGTGGCTCTGTCCCTAGGAATCGGGGCATGCACTAAAATCAGTAGTTGCTATCTTTAGGCTATAAGGAATAGTTATATCAAGTTCCAAGACGAATTGTGGCCGTAGGCAACACGCACACACACACACACACACACACAAAGGAAAATGGGTGTGGCTCAGCAAAAACAATAGGTTCATCCTTAAGGTATAAGGAATAGGTATACAAAGTTTCAAAAGGATCAGTAAGGAATTGCGGCCTATAGACGACAAAAGACACACACAAAAATTGGGCGTGGCTCTGTCCCAGGGGGTCGGGTATCCACCAAACAAAATAAAGTCATCCTTGGGGTATAAGGAATAAGTATACCAAGTTTGAAGAAAATCCAGTAAGAATTGCGCCCTGTAGGCGACACAAAGACACACGAAAAGAAAATGGGAAATGGGCGTGGCTCTGCCCCTGGGGGTTGGGCATGTACCCCAAACGATAGGGATGTTCCTTAGGGTACAAAGAATGTGTATGCAAGATTATAAGTTAAGAAATGTGGCCTGTAGACGACAAACAAACAAATACTAGAAATGGGCGTGGCTCTGCCCCTGGGGGTCGGGCATGCACCAAAAACAATAGGGATCTTCCTTGGGGTATAAGGAATAAGTATACCAAGTTTGAAGAAAATCCAGTAAGAATTGCGCCCTGTAGGCGACACAAAGACACACGAAAAGAAAATGGGCGTGGCTCTGCCCCTGGGGGTTGGGCATGCACCCCAAACGATAGGGATGTTCCTTAGGGTACAAAGAATGTGTATGCAAAGTTTCAAGATTATTAGTTAAGAAATGTGGCCTGTAGACGACAAACAAACAAATACTAGAAATGGGCGTGGCTCTGCCCCGGGGGGTCGGGCATGCACCAAAAACAATAGGGATCTTCCTTGGGGTATAAGGAATAAGTATACCAAGTTTGAAGAAAATCCATGAAGAATTGCGCCCTGTAGGCGAACCACAGACACACACACACACACACACACACACACACACACACACACACATACATACATACACACACACACACACACAGACAGGGGCGACGGCATAATACGTTCACATTATGAATGTGGACGTATAAAAATGTTTCAGAATTTAATTTGTCGAAAGAAAAAAGTTAATATTTTGTAGTCATTAAGTCGCATCGATGTCATCCTTATCAGTGATTGTAGCGGCCAAGCGAATATTCACTGCGGATCAGTGTGACATTTTACCTGTATATTTAACTTTAGAATATTTGATCTTCGTTCTTCTTGTCATGAATTCATATGAGGTCTACAACATGAAACTCCCATATTTATATTTTTTGTGGTTGGAGACACATGACAGTGACAAATTCTATTATGGGATAACCATTTCACAAGGTGTTGAGAAATGTTAGTAGTGTCTTTCCTTATGGACACAGCTCACCAAATATTCCTGGGCCGTCGCGAAACAAGGGCCAAAGCTATTTTTAGTCCTTCTCCCCCTTTCTCTTTTTCCCCCTATTGCATGGCGATCTTTGTTGACTTTTTGGTGTAGAATTGAAGAAAAGGGTTTGAATATACATTTTCTGTCAGGTTTTGGTGTGAATATTCATGATTTTGAGGCGGAAGGATACAAGAGTTAAGGCCTAACAATAAACGGCCCCTTGCAACCTTAACCTTCAAAAAAGTGGGAAGGGCCTAAACAACAAAAGGGCGGGGCTTAAATTATACTCGCTTTATAGAATCTATCAAAATCGGCCCTGTTGCATAATATCTAACGCTTACCTTCTGTGGTAGAAAGCGTTCCACCCAACGAAAATTTGGGAAAACATTGGAGTCGGTCTAAATGAAATGAAATGGAGTTTAACGTCCTACTTTTCTGCTCCTAACCTGGGCTAATGAAGACGGGCATACGCCATACAGTGTGCTATGAGGGAAATTTTGCCCGGACAGCGGCACTACGGCCTACTCTTATATCGAATTCCAACTGTCCAGGGATCTTTTACGTGCACGCCAATGTGTACACGGGACCTCGGTTTTTCGTCCCATCCGAACGACTAGACAGCTTTCCATGTCAGCCCCTCCGTCCTTCACCAGGAGTCGGTCTAAGAGACGAGATTTAACATTAAAGTCAATGGCAAATCATTGGTGATCTGTGGCCTTATGTTGCTACTGAACGGTTGTCGTAATTTTTTCACGCGGTGTACAAAATATAAATTATAATATGTATGTAATTCCAAACACAAGCAAATTTGTATTTTTCAAAAGGAGGTTTTATACACGCCATAATTAATTGAGACAGAACAGGTAACGATATTAAAAGGAAGGAGAAAAACAATGAAAAGCTCATTAATGATGATGGGTTAGTTGTATTTTACGTCCGCTTCCACCGAGGTGATATCGCAGACAATGACGTGTTATGTGTACAAGGTGCATTAATTTACAATGTGATTAGTGAGAAATAATAGGATAATTAGGTTTTCATATATATGTACATAGGACAATAAACAACAGTAGGATAACATGTGCCAGTAGACATTTACAAGCATGCGATTTGACGGAACAGACATGGACAAAGACGGACATTTTCACAGACATAGACATATTATGTACATATATATATATATTTTGGGTCGTTTGGGTTGGTCTGGTCGTTCTGTCCGGTAGAATGGCAGGGCGGTGCAACTCTACCTTGGGGCTTTGTTGGTGAGTATGAGTCCTGGTCCATTCTTCCTTCCATTTGGGTATGTTGTCCGGTATGGTGGCGTTGTTACATCTTTATTTATGTTATTCATTCCTTTTATTGTTGGTTCTCTGATATAGGGGAGAGCGGGGGTGGTATTCGGACAGTGGGATGGTCCGGACACCCCCCATAGTTTAATCTTTACAATGCTATCCGTTTTCTGATTGGTTATTTAAACACTAATGATCTCATCTTGTAACATGAAAAACGCATGGCAGAGATAAACATTCAAATGTAGATGCAGATAAGATTTTTCTATTTTTGACAAAGTTGATGTAAAAAATTTCTAATGTTTAATGGTTAAATCAATTCGGTGTTTAACAAGTTTCTTTTTGGGGTACGCTGTCATCTCTTTCTTCCTTCGCTAATTAATAGAAATAGATTGAAAATCTATCATATTTTCATTGTAAATAAACATAATGGCGGCTTACATCAGAATTATGGGTTTGGGGTACATCCGGACATTGTCCGGAATTATCCCACAAGTGTTTGGATCAAACTGTTAAATATTTCCAAGAGTCAGATTTGATAAAAAAAAAAAAAGAATGATGACTGGCAGTTACGGGGTCTATTAGGTTTACTGAAGTTATGGGTACTGCTTTACTTCCATTAAATCAAATTCTGTCAATTCTTCAGAAACCCTTATCCAGTAGCAATAATAAGGTGAGTTATTACTACAAATTTGGCCTGTCATTAGCAGAAATAAACATTCGGTAGCGTAAATTATGGATTGACATCATACCTAGGAGCAAGAAGCTTTAAAGCTTTAGAATTATCAGTTAATTCCTTTTTGAATATGTTCATTTATTTCCATCCAGCTATGTTAAAAAAAATGCCTCGGATAGATGACATTTTGCTTTAAATTTATCACTACTGGTTTAACTTTATTGTTAACGGTATTTTTTGAATGAATACAACTAAACTGTGAAAGAAACCTTTTCAATTTGCTTTTGTTTAATCGTCCTCTACATGTTCAAAGTATCCCCCCAGTGGTGACCGGTGTCTCCCTGCTATGGGGTAAATCCGGACATTTTACTAACCTCCCCAAAAGATGGTAAAACACGAAGACTTTTATAGCTACACAGCTGTATCACTGACTGAATATAGCCAATAAGGTAGAGTCTATTTTCCACTCTTAAGTTCAAAGACAAGTGCATTAGTAATTGCACAAATGTGAAAAAAACCCAAAGTGTCCGAACCATCCCCGCCCTCCCCTACCGGTAATTGTTAAATTACATAGCCTAATTACATATTTTAAATTTGTCACCTAACACAGTAACATTACAAAGCAGATTGACCCGCCCCCTCCCCCCATATAGACCTACGCACGTGCTTATTTTGCTTAATGGTTAATCCAGCCCTGGCTTCACGCGAAAGTTTTCGGGCATTAATCAATTAGCCTATTTAATCATTAAGTTTTCGGGAATCAAAATTTCGTTGACTTTGCCTTCTTGTCGATGAAATAGAGCACGAGAATTCCCTTGACTTTTCTTTTTGGTCTGGAGCTACTATCTGCATTGTGCGATATTTTTCGGCATCGATCATTATTCGTGTCATTTTAATTTTTCGGGAATCGGAATTCCTTAAAATTGACTATGGATACAAATTTGAAATCAGTGTAATAAACTGGAGGGCCTATCTTATATAGTATCTAGCATCAAGCTACAATACTCATTTTAGTTTTTCGGGAAGTGTAATTTTGGTGGCCTGTGAATGCAACGGCACCAATCTGATTTCTTGATTGGCGTTCACATATGTGTTTAGTGGGATTTCGGTTGCAAAACTATAAATAAGGTTTGGACCACTTTCAAGTTGTTGTAAGACATCAAAGGTGCAGAGGCCAGGGGCGGATCCAGGAATTTTTGCAGGGGGGGGGGGGGGTTGCCAGGTTCCTGAGAAAATGTATCTCCCTCCCCCCCCCCCCTCGGCTTGAAATTTTTTGAGAAATAAATGGTCTCTATTGTCATTTTGGCGTATATACATACACATTGAGCTTTTTAAACAGAGAAATCCAACATCCTGTTTGACGTCAATTTTTATTATGAATTAATACGATGACATTGTGATTCAATCTAATTATTGATGCAAAGCATTAATTTTTATATCACATATATCATTATCTCGCACTTTGAGTGCCCATCCTGTCACACCATCTGGTGATAAAGGATAAAGCACAATTATGACACTTTTCTCACAAAAAAAGTTGTTTTACAAAAGGTTGTTTTACAAAAAAAAAATTTATGTAGCTGAGCAGAGGGGGGGGGGGGTGGACCCCCCACCCCTCTGGATCCGCCCCTGAAGGCGCACAGGGCGGGTAGGCAGCCTTGCCCTCATAAATGCAAAAACAAAAGAAAGTGGAAATGTTTGATAATGCTCGAATCCGATGAGATTTCCTGCAAGAGGTATATGTGCCATCCCTTCCGAAAAAGCGACCACTCTTCTGAGTTTGGCAAAAAACTGCATGAGATAACGACGTGGGCTAATATTTGAGAGATTTTCTATTCTACTTCCGGATCCAACATCCAATCCATTTCCACGAAGCGAGGTGTTGACAAACATATCAACCATACTGACATACAAATTGCATTTGTGTGTGTCTGACCGACAATGACCAAGGGCGCCACGCCAACCGATCTGAATTTTTGATACATGCAGATTGCAATATTTGGCATCAATATATGATCACTACGTTTCAAATCACTAGAGTAAAACAAATGCACCAAGAATACCGACTGATTTTATTCAGACATATTATAATACAGCTTAGGACACATGTCTCCATTTCCGGATGGAGAATGTCGGGTTTAAATTGTTTGAAAATGTATCACGTATATTAGAGGATTTTAAGGGCTCTTAACACAAAATTAAGCCGTTTTATCCCCCAAAATATAATCGAGATTGGCCCTTTAAATTACTAGTTTACGAGCATTCCGCTCCATATTGATGTACACAATTTCCATTTTTTCACGTATTTCAACCCGTTATTTGTGATAATTAGACCTATATGCATCGTTGAGAGAATTTCATTAAAACAAAATGGTATAATATACATGTATTCGATTAGTATGTGTTGATCGAATGACAAGCAATTTTTGACATGTAATGACGGTCAATAGCTGTCGAGGTCAGTTAAAATATTGAACAAATACTGGGAAATTAATTTAATTAACGCAATACGCACGCACAGAGATTCCTGAGAAGACGAAAGAAATGAAATGAAATGAGGTTTAACATCATACTTTTCGGCACCCACAGACTAACGTGTACACGGGACCTCGGGGTTTCGTCCCACCCGCACGACTAGACTTATCAGCCATTGCCAGGTCCTCGTCAAACCACGCTGGAAAATCCCGGATAACTTTATCGACCGAATCCCGAACTTCCTAGTTAGTGAGCAAGCATCTTACTCACTGAGCCACACCGACCCCCTAGAAGACGAAAGACACATAAATCAGAATAATATTGTATTTATGTACCCATATATTAATGTATATGTATCCAAGTGCAACGTATTACCGGTAATCTAAACTTTATTAAAGCGCATTATGGACGATTAGTTAAAGAGTTGACAGTTCGCGCTATAATAGTTAAAAAATAGATAATGTAAAAGGGCTATGCTGAAAATTTCAGTCAAATTACTTCACTGTAAGCCGAGAAATCCTCGTTTTAAGAACACTGTAGCCTCTGTTGTCATTGTTACAGTTGTTACGATAATAAACAAAGTCTCGATTATCCACTTTTACGGTTGAACGGCAGATCAGATTCAAATATATGGAATAACGGGAATCATCAGGTGTCATTGAGATTTGATTATGGCCTTGTCATGTTAATAAAAGCCTAATTAATAGTTTACGCATGTATAACATTTCAGGCCTAAAGAAAGACCTGCAATTGGCAGATTTAGCTTTTGAACAATGTATGTTTAATTTTATGCACTTAGTATTTGAATTTGAACAGGAATTTTTTCAAATATTATACTATTGGAATTTGCCCCCCCCCCCCACCTAAGGGCCTCGAACTTTAACGTGCCGTGACGATTTGCATAAAAGATTTCTTACGAAACATTAGGCATTATATGGTGCATTTTAGAAATAACTAGTATCAGTGATCTACATAATTGTATATTATGCCGTTGCCCTGTGTGTGTGTGTCCGTGTGGCGCCTGCAGGTGGCTATTCTTAACGGATTGTTTTGAAACTTTGCATGCTTATTCCTTATACCCTAAGGTTAATCCCTATTGTTTTTAGAGCATGCCCAAGTACATATTTTTCCGTTATAGAATTCCTAGGTGTTTACATAACCACGGAAAAGCGTTGCCTACTTCACGTAGAACAGTCAGTCAACTGCCAGACTTGCTAATTCACAAACGACAAAATAATAATATACACGACAGCAATTTAATGCCGAGCTTAATATCTGAATTTATTTTTCGAGATGCCGCACCCATTCAGACAAGCACATATATCTTCATAGACCTTCGATGTTTGAAATATTTACAGAACAATAAAAACGAACTAGTCCATATAGCAGGGAGTTTGATGAGATAAGATTTAACCAATAAATACACTTCAATAGAAAGTCGATAGCTAACTTCATTTCTATCACTATTCAAACAAATAACCGCTAATGTCTTCAAAGATTTATAAACAGCGTGACCGATTTAGCTATCACCCTTCAACAGATTGTGTTCTGTCCCTCTATCGAGTACAATAATTGTTACCATAAAACTGGAAAACAAATGAGTTTTAGTCTATACATGTATATGGGATACTACCAGTGCCGGATTGAAGCCAAAGGCCTGAAGGTCTAGTGGACCTCCGGTCAAGGTTTTTAATATTTCTGACACTTTCATAAGTCTTTCTTACATTTTCTGTGGTCTTAAATATCCGTCATCATCCTCGGCTTTCTTCAATTGTGTTTAAAACACGCTTCGATCTTTCTTTCTCTAGTCCTGAGGTTGGGGGATTGGGAGGGGCCTCGTACGTGGAATAGGAGGGTCTCTCGTCATTTATATCCGGCCTTTGATGGATTGTGAGCGGTTTGACCTGCCAAGAACATTATGATATTGTGGACGTCTACTCATTCATTTATTGTGAATAAGGCCTCCCCTATACCCGTCAAATGCAACTATCGCTGATACTTTTAAAGAGGCAGTTACTCACAATATTGTCCGATCAACGATCAACCAAATGTATTAATCCTTTCATATTGTTTATTTCTCAGCTAAGATAACGCAAAGCATCGGAAATATATTGATAAACGTATTTAATATACAAGTGCGACTACTCTGGCCAAACGCCACCTACCCCACCCCTCCATAACATTGGACGGAAGTGCAACTGGTTTGACCAAAAGTCACCTACCCCCCTCCCCAACCTCCGTAACATTGGACGCATAACCATAGTAGATAAGTAAATGTCTCTTATAGTAAAGTGACGAAAATATCATAAACCTCAATCCGCTTTGCTTATTTAGATATAAATGACAAGACCTTTTTGATATTGGTCAAAAATGATATTGTCAATTATATGTTGATGTGGTTTGTTGATCGACACTCTTGTCTTCGCTGTAAACTTTAAGTCTATTGATAAAGCCAGTAATGAAGTATAATCAATCGTGTGTTCCACTTTCGACACAGTAAGCCAAAAATAACACTGAAATTAGTAAACAAGTTTGCACTATATCTTTTGATAAAACATTTAATCACATAGAGTTTGCCCTATCACTAATAGAAGTATAAATATAATACATTAAATGAACGCAATCCAATCCAATACTTTGACGTAAATGAAAGAGGGTTTAACCCCGAAATTATAGTTTTAATGAGTAATACGAAACAAATGTATTAACTTTTAATTCATTACAAAATAATTAATTAAATAACATGTCATCATTACAAGAATTCATAAAACTATGGATATAATATACATATTCCATTGGTCACTGTAAATTTGTAAGACGGTTTGGCCCTACGGACACGCACGGGATGCCTAGAAGGTAGACGATTTTAGATTAAGATTCGCAATTTCACTATTATTAGCCTGATCAATTTAGAATGAAGATGTGACATACAGGTTGCATATGAACGTATACTAATATGATGTCCCGATTTGGACTATGGATTATTATTTCCAGACACTGTCCGTCTGCCAGTCAACCCTCCTGTCCTGATGATTACGTCCTTTGCTATTGTCATTATTCGATTTGGTAACACTTGTGAATATCGGCAAATCTATTTATGGAGAACACTGCGAACACTTTAGTGACAATGATTCGTAGTATTAATAATAGTAGTGCCGTAACAGGTGGTAGAAGTAGAGAGAGAGAGAGAAATGGGGTTTAACGTCCACTCGACACAAACTAGGTCATTTCGGGACTAACACATGGTTTAATTTTATTTCAATAATTCGCTTGCGCATAGGAGTCTTTAGCAGTGGGAGGAAACCGGAGGACCCGGAGAAAACCCACGAGGTTGGACAGGCAATGGTAGAAGTAGGTAGTAGTAGTATTAGTAGTTGTAGTAGTAAGCAGCAGTAGTAGTAGTAGCAGATAGCTTAATGTTTGCTTCCATCCAGTGATATGCAGTAAATAAAATTTGTAGGTTTTGCCTTTTAGTTACACGCGACAACCTTTACGGACTGCTCATACAACAGCTTTGGTGTACGTGTGTTTCATTACCCGTCAACCGATCTTTATACTTATAAAAGTATAATTAACATACGATCAACACAAATAATCCGTAAGGTATATATATATTTATCGTTATGTTCCAATATCTTAATACTAGTAAATTTTTAAAAAACTAAAACAAAAAGCCCCAGAACGCCACAGCGTGTTTCAGGCGCCTTCGCGGGCTTATCAAGATGTTTAGATAACACACAGGTACTTCATAATATAACATAATACTTCAAATACACAAATTATTAACAAAGGGTTGATCACATCCTTGAGCGCCATTATCTGTTTTCTTTGCCAAAAGCAGATGTAGTCTGTTCTTAAAGGGAAGTACATAGGACACAGAAAGGTGTAAAGGTACACGAGCAAAATCCCACCCCCTCCCTGTTACACAACTAAAATCGTATCATTTAAACTCCCGGTAGGGAAAATAATTTGGTTTCCGATTAAGTACATGTATTTTATGCACAAAATCTACAAATTTAAATTATCTTTGTTCGTCATTAGTCTTTATTTCTTCTGGACGGAAATCCTGTTTGTCCTTTATAAACAATAACTATTGCTTTCGCTCTCACTACAATAACTGTTGATGGTGACATCAAGAAAAACGACGATGTATATCACAAAACAGCATTATATAAAATAGGTCTCATATCAAGACATAAGATTACGAGTATGTTAAATTCTGAAAATAGATAGAAAGAAAGAAATGATATATAGACACCTTTTTTTATATTCAGATTCTATTTTCACCCAAATAATCAATTCTTTTTATTTTATTGAATTGTTCTAACTTTCTTATTTGTAACGGAAAATTGACTTTTGTAGGCCTACAAATGAATGCTAAAATCCAGTACAATATACATTGGCCAAATATTATTGTTGGGTTGTGTTTTTTTCTTATATTGACAATGTTTTCCGATTTCTGACACCATTTTAAAATGTACTCATCCGACGAGAAATGTCCAGAGCGAAATCTAGCTCAACGAAATATATATACATTTTCTCATACAACAAAATATGTGTATTAACAAGGGCGGATCCAGTGATGGGGGGAGTGGGGGGAGCGGGGCGTCACGGGCGCCGAAGCGACCAACGCTGGTCCGGGAGGCCTTCCCCGAAAAATTGTGGAAGCTAGAAGACCGGAAATGCCATGTCCAATGGTCTCAGTCAAGATTCCGGTTGTAAAGTGGTAGGGGGCGACGGATACGCAACTTTCCCCACTAGATCCGCCCTTGATTACAACGAAAATGGGTAGGAATTAGAAATATTACCTATATAGCAAAGACACAACGATTTAATATTATTTGACAAAATAATTTACTAAACAAAAGTTGCTATTTCGGTGTTGTGTTTAAGTATATGGCAAGGTAAGAAGCGATTTGGAGGTTTATTCCAGATACAAAACAATTCGAAATTTTCTAAGTTAATTTATAATTTTTAAACATAAAATATGTACAGAATAAATCTTACCTAATGTCAAGCTAAAGAACATCTGAGTAATCAAAATCTGATAAAATATCGTTGTATATAAAAACAGTCTTTGATGTATTCTACACACTTTCCCAGGGATTAAATAAACGGGCACCTTCAGTTAGTGGTATTTTACGATGACGACAAGGTAATATATTAGGAAGGGGTTTTCCTATTGTTTCGGGTAATATTAGCGCACTAAAACCAACTGTAATAATAAATCCACCAAAGACAACAAATGGTATTGTATAATGAAACGCATCCTGAAACACAAGAATAAGAATTAGTTGTTCATTTAAAACGATATGTCCTACTTGTCTGCGCCAACCGGACTAATGAGGACGGGCTTATGCCATGCAATGTGCTACGAGTAGTGGCATTTCATCAAATTCCAACTATCAAGGGTTCTTTTACAGGCACGGCAACGTGCACAGAACCTCGGTTTTCGTCCCAGCATAACGACGACTACACTGTCCCTTCAACAATCTGATTAAAATACAGATCCTCCTTCGTTTCGTTTTTTATAGTTCAGAATTTAGTTTTACTTGTCTTTAATACACTAGCATCTGGAAAAGTTGTTATATTACCGGCCAATGAAACGGTCTGTTGTGGCAACTTCTTGGCGTGCCGTGCACGGAACTATGGGGGTCGTACTAAAAACATCAACGTTGATTGGTTAATCAAATGTCTGACGTCATGGGTCAAAGGGCGTTCGTAAAACCCCTGACGCGACATCCCACTACAACTGGTCAGATCTTCATGCTGTAGAGGCAATCGAAAGTATAAAAACGAAAAGAAATATAGATCTGTATTTTAATCAGATTGTCTATTTCAGGGCGGAGCCCCCGTGGCATAAGTGGGTAAGACGCTGGCTCGCTAGCCTGGAGGTAGCGTGTTCGACCCCTGCACTGGTCGAGAAAGTTCATTGGGATTTTCCGACGTGGGTTCCCCTTGTTAGTGATGCAGGACAGCGGACTGATAAGAACAGCTGTATTCATACGGTGGTACGATAAACCGAGGTAACGTGTATACATTGGCGTGGACGTAAAAGATCCCTTGGCAGTTGGAATTCGATATAAGAGTAGGCCATAGTGCCGCTGCCCGGGTAAAATTTCCCGCATAGCACACTGTATGGCGTATTCCCGCCTTCATTATCCCAGTCGTAGCAGAACAGGAGGACGTTAAATCCCATTTTATTTCGCTTTCTGGGCCCTCCGTCCTGCACCAATGGCAAGATTAGGCTAAACCTTGGAATATACCGAGGTTCTTTCTTGGGATCGAACCTTCTGTTTAAGAACGGCTCAGTTAAATAAGACGAGACATGCTGGGTATTGAAAGTGGTAACCATAACCTGCCTCGTGCAGATTGTTAGTTAAGTTCTTTACATTTAATAAAGCGCCGATTACTGCAGTATTAGGCGACACTGTGTAATTAATAAAATATATCATTTATTATATGTATCTATCCCAATGAGTAATTAATTTGGAAAGGTCCTTTGAAAGGGATACATCTTGTGATTTACAATTTTTCGTGCTGTATAGCGTTTAAAAGCTGTGTAAAATGTTTGGATTTAAATAAATCATTCAAATACTGGGGAGCCAGGTTATATAGACACATGTTAATTAGAAACAGTACCAATCATTGGCCTGGTCTGCATAACAGTAGGACGCTAAAACCACATTTCATCCCATATTCTTTCATTTCAGTTATATACGAAGGTCGAGAGGTATCATTTCCAGCGTCTTTTACAAGTCATTCGTTATTTTTTACTGATGTACATATACCAAGTCAAGATACGTAAGTATGTTTAATTAGTGTATAAAATACGTTTATTAATTAACGATAATCAAATGCAATTCCCCAATGCCTTGTACAACTTGAAGATGTAGAATCATTAATAATAATCATGGGTTTTTTTTTAGAAAGAAGTAAAATCAGTATATATAATATAATATAATTGCAGATCATTAACGATCACATGAACGTTGTATGAGTCAAAGGGATATCACAAGGCATACATATCATATTAGTGTTACCAAGATAAAGATTGTTTACCGAAAAGTGTATAATATGTGAATAGTCTTAGGTTTACGCCTGACAGCAATCACGAGATATTTTGTTTTTATCTTTCCCATTATTTCCAGTCTAAATCACTGCTTTCTAACACAATCTTCAATTTCGGTCACTATAGTCACAACCCGTTTAGGAAAAGAAATGAAAAAGCGTTTAACGTCCTACTTATCTTGTTACACATCAACCGTTTCTACTTTTTTTTTACATAACAATGATAACGTAGTTACCAGGAATTTAAACTGTCTAGACAATATTGAACCAGCTGCGGTAAAAGCTACACCTATAGCAGTTCCCATACATCTGAAACAAAGAACATAAGGCCTGTATTGTATCGAGCTGAACCAAATCCAATTTTTTTGACGGACCTGTCGGAAAAAAGTAAAACAAGAAGCCGTCTCGCTGCTACCGTTTTGAATAATTATTCGATCAGATGACATTTGCAAGAGGGGATGAGGCAAGAATCAATACAGCGCCATGAAAAGGGTCTCATAAAATAGGAGACCTAATTACATCGTGAAATAAGCCAATACAGATGTCGGATGACGACTTGGTAAGGATCTTCACAATTTGTAGTGGTGCTATTTGTATGGTTGGTCATCAAAGTGTATTAAATACTTTTATACCTGATAACTGTAGGATACATCTCTATAGCCATTACACTGATGAGAGAAAAAGAAGCCGTCACTCCCAGTTTACCAAACATACATAGTCCCGTTACCATGGTGGGAATAGACTGAAGGTTACCCGTCATATGTAGAATCATCACAGACAATAAAGCAAAACCAGAAGCTACAGCGTAAAGAAACGTACACCATCTTCTACCTAAACTATAATATAATAACAAATAAAAAAACCCCTCAGTATAATCCTAAATAGGAATCAAATATAGGCTGAACAAACGCCAACCAGCATCTTCGGTGCACGTGCAGCTGCGAAAGGTTGTTATAAACCAGTAGTGTCAATAACTCACCACAATTCCTGGAAGTTTATGGCAACACAAATGACAACGGTCCTAGTCACTGGGCAAGGGTTAGTAAAGTAATCAAAGTAATTATCATGGTCATCAAGAAACCGTGCGACCCGACGAAAATCCACGAGCATAGGCAAGCAACCCTACCCTTGATCACTACATGCTTGGGATCGAAACCACGCTATTTGACACAACGGCATATCTTATGATCTAAATGACACGCGTTATACCACTCGATCACCCAGCATCTTAATTTAGAAGCACGAAAATCGCACAGTTCTTGTGTCTGAACAGGCGAAACAAGCTAGTGTACCGAGGATAGCGTAAACTTCTTTGAACTAGCTTCACATGGATGCACTCAACTCTATGTCTACAATATGCATAAGCCTAAATGTCAAGGCGAGTTGAACTACGCGAACATTTTTTATAATAATTACAATTCAGTCATCCCAAAGATCGTCCATGTACCGAGAGGCGGACCAGACCCATTTCTTTTAGGGTCTTACCTAAAATCACCCACACGGAGAGTCAACTGGTTGGAATATTGTAATGTTACAAAGACCCTGAAGGCGGATAAATAACGTTAGAATGTTAGAACGTGGTTTAAACAGAAATCTCTAGGCATACGTTGAGAAATAAATTGATAAGCACAATGTAATGATAATATTGTAAACGGCATTAATCCCAAGAGGCGTCCCGGTGGATCATATTTATTATTCATTGTAATGAGGACATACTACAACAATAAAAGATAAATGCGACTAGAAAAGAGATGATGGACACCTTGTGTATTCGCACCTGCGTAAAGTAAACCATTGTTCTATTATAGGTACGCGCTATTATGTTTTGTATCGACTGGTGTCGTAATATATTTACATGTATTACATGTACACTCCTAGCGTATAATAACAAAACATGTTTCACAATAAAAACATCTTATAGATATGAGCAGTTGACATTTCAAATTATTAGCCAATATATAGGGCCTACGTATTAAACTCCTACACCATGCACATAATCTTTCATTATATATATTTTGCAAGTGTTTTATACCTAATATTTCTCAACTGTCATTAAATTGCGCTGTGTAAGAATAATATAAACTGCCCTACAAAACTACATGTCGCAACTTATATTTGTTATTAAAAGTGGTTATAATTCTAAGTGACATGTATTGCTATTGAATTTATGACATCAAATCATTTATAACTGTTCATCGACTTGACAGTGTCACTCCCGCTATTGTCTACAGACCTGCCAAGCCTTCGCTGAAATACAGATATCTTAATATAAAATTTACTAGCCCTACATGATGATTAGATTGGGTTAGTTTATTTTGAATATGATAATCAAATTAAACACAGAAATAAACAAATTTAATAACAATTTAATAAAATTAAAATAAATTGATTCAAATATTACATAATGTAATAATAAGCTTATTAATTTGATGTAATATCTACAGCAGCTTGTCTAAGCCAGGGTATAAAATATCTTACATTATTTTACTCATATATTTTGATATTGACCAATTTGCTGTTAACCAATTAAATGATTTTGGAACTTTTTCTTGGGGAGATAAATATTCATAAGTAAAACAAGGGTTGTTGAGCACATTACGATTGTATAACTCTTGCCAATTATATATTGATTTTTATAGAAAGGGGTCAATATCGAAATATTAATGGCCTATTGATCCATCGTACAATACTATTTACGAACTTATCAATTATCAGTAAAAGAAAATTTGATCTAAAATTATCTATTTTGATGCAAAAATATGAACATTTACTGATTATTTACATACAGGGAAAAGGTCACCCCAAAACAATCTACATGTATTTGTTATTTAAAAGAGCTAAATCGCTAATATTTAGGACCTATAAATTGACACAAATGGTTCGCAACACAAATAATAATGTAATATGAATGTACATAAACTGATTTAGTATTTATTGCGCATGCTCTCCAGATAGGAATATGACGTAACCGTTTGAGTTACTTGTGGAATATATCTAGCCCCATCCTTCGAGTCCCTTGTTATAAATGGCACTTAAAGGCATTCGTGAACCAATGGTAAAATGTTTATTTTGTCTTACAATCTTATGGAAGCCTATAACTACCATTCATAATTTCTACTTTTCGCCCCTTCAAAACACGAAAGTCGAATATATATATATATATATATATATAATATTTATTTATGGCTAGGGATATGATATCATATCTTTCTTATCTAAATTACATCCTGGTTATATGATATCATATCCCTAGCCATAAATAAATATTTCCGTGTAAATTTCCACATCAAGAACTCGTAGTATTATTCTTAAAATTTCTCGTACAATAGGGGCCACAAGGCAAGAATTTAGGCCCGATATACGCGAACATCAAACCGAGATCTTTGATACATAAACATATAATATTAAGTTTTTTTCAAAACCGGGTACAAATCGTTAGGGGGACCACAGCCTTCGATCCGATTATCACAAAATTCAAACCCAGGGTGTAACGGTGTATATTTAAACGGTTTTTAAAATCGGGTATAAACTGTAATTTTTGGTACACCCAGGGTCCATAATCTAGGAGGTTACGGACCGATGTGTGCGAATATGGAAAGAAACAAAAATCCGTGGAATATAGACATATATTTTAAGTTTGATCAAAATCGGATAAAAAAATTGTGACTTCTACAGTGTCCACAACCTTGGTATTATATACTTTTACACTATTTGCGAACGAGGAGCGGGCAGTTTCAATCCGATTTTCATGAAATTCGAACTCAACCATCATAAGGGTGGAATGGTGATATGTTAGAACAGCTTTTAATATTGGATAAAATGCCAATATCGAAAGGAACCGCGTGTCCACAAATAAATTGTGGGCTGACAGGGGCGACTCAATACACGTCCACTTGAAAATATGGGCGTACAAAAATAGCTCAGCATGATAAAACTTGGTTTTTGGAAGACTAAACAACTGATATCAAAGACTTTATATAAAATGAGATTTTTATTTTAGAAATTAAAATGTTAAGTTATTTGATACTCCCACTGGCCGGTTAATAGTTGTCAACGCTTATGTAATTTATATTAGGGCAATGCTACTCAAGACGGACATGTTGTTTAGATCAGCATACCAAGCAATTAAAATCAGTGAACCGGACCAAACCCAAACATCAAAAATTTAGCACTTTTTCCTAAATAGTCCTAGCACTGTATACCTTATGTTATTCCCGAATTGATCTAGTTATTGTTGAGTGGATGTTAAACACAATTTCTCTCCCTCTCTCATATACATTGTTATGTATTTCTTAGGCATTTCGATATCATCAGCATATACACTGACAAATTCAAAGCTTTATAAACAACATTAGACATACAAACATATTTAACAGAAATAGAATATCAATTCAAATAGATATTAAAATAAATATTGAATTTTAGTGTACAGATGTGCCATAATTGGCTTGCATTTTAATGATTCTGGATTTAAACCAGTGTTCTTAATCAGCTGTTTTTTGTCGGCTTTAGCCGATTGATGTTTAACCTAGCCGATTGGTAAACCAATGAACCGGCCACTAAGGTATCATTAATCAATCTACTATCGGCTAAATTACATCGGGTTAATTATTACATGTTAATTAAGAAGTCAATCAACTTGCTTGTCAGCTACAACAACAGCCATACCTTTTTAAAAAAAATTCTAGGGACTGCCGAATTCATATTGTTTCAATTAAAAAAAAGGAATGTCATGTAGAAAAACAAATATCTGCTTCTAATATGGTAAATTTCATGAAAATTAAGGCATAAATTAGATTTTTTGGCTGAAAATTATGAAAGAAATTCAAAACTTTTACTGTAGAAATTATCAGAACAGCCCAAACTTTTAGAAGTGTGACTAAAAAATTGATTCTAGGCTCTTGGTTGACATCTTATTATATCAGACTAGTAATTCTCTCCCGATTGCTATAGACACACTACAAATCATGGGGACCGAGATAAGGGAAGTAATTATCCTAGTCTAGTCCTGGTATTAGGAACCAACTCTTTTATTCCTGAATCATGATATACAATATTTTACTATTTACTATGAGTTTTGTTAGAATCTGATGGAAACCTTAAGGACAGTGTTGATTTTTTAGTAATTAATAATCTTTGAAGTTTGAAATTTAAAATTTTTTTTACTGATCTACATTAGCAAGAAAAAAATATACATATGAAAATGTTAGATATCTTATAGGATTATGCCTGTACCCAATATCCAAATTTTCACCAAAATGATCTGTCCAAAGTGTACAAATATACCGTACAATGTACATGTAGTTAAATAGTTAACAGTGCCATTTCAAAAACCTGATGAGATTGTTCATTGGTGATTGACACAAGACATTGCCTAAGGAGAAGAATTCATTTGTTAGATTTACTCTGTAAACTAATCAGAAACCAATTTTGAATATCTGCTTGTTATATAGAGTTTCTGTTGCTATGGCTGAATAATCCTCGATTTTAGATGGTATATTGTTTAAAACAAAAAAAAGATTTTGCTTATAGAAAGTAGGATTGACTCCTACATACAAAGCTTTAACTCACTTGAAATAAAGTGGTCAACAGCATCAAAGAATTTTTTTTTTTTCTGCCAAAAAATGGAGACTTACAAAAATGGCATGTATTATATGTGGTAGACTAGAACACAACACTACTGCTATTTTTAAATCATTTTATCTCATTATTATATAATAATTACTCCTAATCTATGGAATTTATGACAATGTCAATGATTTTCTTTCTTAAATTAGATATAATCTAGAACAAATTATTGCTTAATTATGGTGTCGATTGTCATTGGAATATATTTTTAAATACTCAATGTTAGCCTCCATGACAATATATAGCTATTTCTGTACTGCTGTTTAATCCTATTTGCTTCACATTAAGCTATTGATCATTGGTCAACTAAAATATGTACCATATTGATTAATTTCACTGAGATGGAGTCAAAATTAAATTGGGCTTGAAGGCCAATACCAAAGGCGGAAATTTCATGGCTTTCCAAAGTAAAGATAACGAATGATTTACTGTTATTAC